ACGCAGAACAGGCGAGAAATCTGGTTTTCCAATCGGCCGCACGTTCGAAACCAGTCCGCGCGCAGTCTAGCTCCCTTCCGAAACAATGGGCTCTCGATGATCAGCAGCTCTACTGAACGGCACTCCCCACCCCCGCCCCCACCCCCGCCCCCGGGTTTGCCCAGCCTCTGCAAGTGCTTCCCCGCAGATCCGACAGATCGACGGCTCCCGCTTGTTACCTGCCGTGCTAGCCGATCGCCGAGCTTCTGGTTTCCTGGCCAGTCGCTCGTCATCTGCCTTCCGAGCCGATCGGTAGTTCTTCTCGGCGGACGTGGGACTCGCTCTGCCGTCCTCTCCGGCTCGTACGCAGCCCCAAGCTCCGGGTGGGTCGTTGATCGTTTTGCGAAGGGTGGCCCGGCAGACCTTGATTGGTTTCTACTCGTACGAGTGTCCCAGGAGATCGTTGGTTCTCCGCAAGCCTTGGAGCAGCAGCCACTTGCACAACCAGCCGTTCGTCCACGTGGCTCTGGACTCGGACTCTGTGGCTGCAGCTGGACTGTGGCTCCAGGACCAGGGTATACCCAGTAGGTGCACTGGTGTGCGGCTCCCTTCACACGTGTGGCCTACGTGGTCGGTTCTTGAATTCGCCGACCAACGCAGCGAGGAAAGTCAGCCGGCTGCGGAGAGCTTGGAGCCCGACTGCGCCGTGGCAGCAAACGCAGGAAGGACGCAGGACGCACATTGTATTCATCACGTTTGTTGTCTTCTCACAGCTCTTCATTGCTTGTCACAGCTACTCGTACAACTCAGTTCACGGCTCGTCCCGGTTGCAGTACAACTTCTACGTCGAGCCCAACAGTCAATTGCTAGGCCGCGTCCACATCCCGCCCCGTTTCTCTCTTCCCAGCAGAGCGTCCTATCCCCCCTCAATCCAAGCTGTCCTTGCTCATTCAGAAAGAGGCGTCACGGCCACCAGAGACAAGCAAGGAAGTGCCTTCGCCATGTCACTTGCGATGCAGGACCGTTGTTTTGAATACCATCCTCCTGAGAAACGTCCTCACTGCCTGTTCCTCCGGTCGACGTCGAGAAGAATAGCAACAAGCTAGCGAGGAATTAAGAGACAGCTGATAGTCCATTGGCTTATTGCTGCCTTGGGAGCAAACCTCCCTCTTGCAGTCGTCCTTCCAGTTGTCTCCTCCTATCTGCACGATCCCTCTTTCGACCCTCCTCGCGATCCCCACCTCTCGATTCTCTCCTTTCCTCTCGATTCTCTCCTTTCCTCTCGATTCTCTCCTTTCCTCTCGATTCTCTCCTTATATTCTCCCATTCCTCCTGTACCTCGCTGTCGAGGGTGTCAGGCTCCTACCATTCCACATTACAGCGCTGGAGACTCAATACCCCGGGTCATCTCTCTTAGCACTGGAGACGCCCAGTGGGGATTGAAATTCAGCACGTTAAGTCCATCGCCTGAATCATGACTGCTGTATACTGAAATCCTCAAACGAAGGGGTTTTCAATACAAGGAGATGTTCGGTGTCTGGCCAAAACCAGCCGAATGCCTTGTCTCTTTCCCCCAAGCCCGAAACGCCGCAATCACAGTCCAACATTCGGCGTGCAGGAGACAGCTTGCAGAGCCGGAGCCAGAGCCCAGCCGCACACAGCACAGATCTCTCTCCAGGCTCTAAACAACCCTGTCTGAGCACATGAATTGCATTCATACAACAAGGACAACTGCTTGTTCCAGAGCTTGCCGCTTGTCCGAGCCGTCCAACCTGCAGCGTTCGCACGCTCCCTTCTTGTGTCCGACAACGCACCCACCGAGCCGAGCAATTTGAACATCGCAAGAGAGGGCGGCACCTCTGTGCAACTGCGGGCGCCGTTGTCCCACTGTCAAGCCAAGCCGGGCCGCCTGTCAATATCTCACAAGACAAACATCGGTCTGCGAAACCGTGTGCAGTTCGCTGGTGGCAAGGTAACAAAGGGCAAAGAAGGGTACCGTGTTCAGCCACTCTTATCTGTGGCTTGTGGTGGGTTCCGGTCCGCTGAACCTCTCATCAACGCGGTGAACAGAGCCAGGAAACGAGGATGCTGCTGGCAGTGCGTCCTTCTACTTCTGTCTTGCTTGCGGTGCTCCGACGGTCTCTCGTTGCAGCCGACGAGATAGCCCTGTACCAGGTTGGCCAGGGTCCATCGCCATGCTAGCTTGAGGGACCAAAGATGTGGCGGGCACAAGATTGAGACTTGTGCCAGGATCTAGATGCATATCGCTGAGGGCGAAGCCTACCCTGGTGCTGCAAACTTTCGACGCCCATCCTCGGCAGCAGTGCCAATGACTTCAGGAAGAAGCTGCTCGACGAAGGCGTCAATATCATCGACAGTGCAAATGACTGAGAAGAATCTCTTAGATGGAGACGTCGTCAACATCAGTGGCAATACTTACAACTACGAGAAGAAGCTCTAAGACGAAGGTTAACATCATTCTTCGACGAAGTTGTTGCCGGCAATAACAGCAGCGGTTGCAAGGACCACGAAAAGAAGCTCTTAGGGACGTTGCTGTTGACATCCGCGATAGTGCCAACAACTACGAGAAGGAGCGCATCGACTCGAACGTCGCCCTCAGCATCATCACCAGTATTGTCGATTACAAGAAGCTCTTGACGGAGCTGTCACCGTCGACATCCTCGGCTATGCTAACAAGCACGAGCAGACGCCCTTCAACAGCGTCGTCGCGGTCAACGTCCTCGGCAGCGTCAGGGACTGCATGAGGCTTCTGGACGCCATCAAGGGTCTCAAGATGAACATCAAAACGGGTATCAGCTTCGTCAAGAACCCACCGAAGCAGGATTTGAGCTACCCCTGGTGGCTGAGAGTCACTCCTGATGGCTGTGAGCTACTCCTGGTGAACGTGAGCGACTTCAAATCCTACAGTATGCCCAACAGAGGAGTAGCAGCGGTGTCCCGAGGCAACATGATGGTGTATGTGTGCGGTGTCCTAGGGTATCATTGTGGTATAGGGGTGTTTGTACCCAGCGAGTTAGACGTGCTCTTCACAGGCATTGCCGTGGGAGTTTCGCTGTATTGTACATATTGTTAGCCGTGTATATCAGCGGAGAACTTAGGTATGTCGCGGTTAGTAGCCACGATGATGTGAGAGAGTCTGCCAAGTACTGTTCAAGTACCATCCCTTCTCGACGTTGGCCGGTATAGACGTCCAAGGACCTGTATCGCCCTTGTCTTCGGAGCCCCTACTTCCGGAGAACAGCAGTAATCTGAACGACCTCGTTGAATTCTGCATAGGCTAGAGACACTCCATAGAGTTACAACGAAGCAGTTGTACAACAAAAGTTGCTGTTCAGCATACGGTGTAGATCACCAGGACACCTTAAACTCACGTCTTCGCCGGCTCTAAACAGTGCAAATTCAGCCAAGAGGATCTACTGAGCCTTTTACGGGGCAATGAGTTCTAGCTTTTCTGCTTTGGGCGTGCTCGGAGACATACACTTCTACCAAAGGCATATCCTTGAATTAAGGCGATGTGCTGAAGAGCGCCGTTTACTGGGCAGGGCCCGCCACCGGCTTGGGGCTCGATGGCTTCGCGGCCCGCTATTGCTCATCCAACTTACCGAGTCCTTGTTGGGGGAACCAGCGAGTGTATATCTGTCGCCATAACTTGGCCGTTGCGATGCCGGAGTCGCCTCTTGCAAGTGTGAGCGGCGCCAACACCCTCTGTGATGTAACGAGGACGCCACGTCTTTCTGATGCTGTGATGGGAAGCCATCTTATTCTGCTGTTGTGACGGGGATGCCACGCTATTCTGCTGTTGTGACAGGGATGTGGCCAGCTCTGCCTTTGTGATCACCCCAATTCCCATAGCCGTTGATCCGATTGTTGCAGTTGTTGCCAGTTCCTATAGCCGTTGTTCTGACTGTTCCAGTTGTTGCCCTTGTCTGTACTGGTTGTCCTGTTTCTCACCTTGCTGACGATCATCGCAAGGTTGGAACAACTTCTGACCATTGCCATTATTTCTCTCTTGATTCGGAAGGGTGTTCTGGACCCGCTGGCCTTGGTTTCGGTTGCCCCCCTTTGCTGTTATGACAGGGGGGTTGCCATATTCTGCAGTCGTGACCGGAGCTTTTGACAAGAGAATTCTCTTATGCTCCAGGGGATTTATTCCTCTCACTGCACGAACATACTGAGACGAGGCGTTGGCCACTGTGTCAGGGCTAAATGTCTCGGCCGATGGGCGACAATGGGATACTACACCAACGACGGTGTAATGTTGACGGTGGCGTATTGTGGACAGGGTTGTATTGCTGACAGTGACGATAATGAATAGTTGACATCTGCCTTTGGCAACTGTTGCACCCATCAGTAGTGGACCATTTCTCCTGCAAGATGCCTGGTCGATGTCGAGAGCACCCGGTATGGGTTTATTGGTGGCGATACCGGTGCGAAGTGCTGTTATCAGTGACAATATGAGGGTTACCGTCCTTGACGATCCACTCCGTACTTGATGAGCCCCTGCTCTATGCCCGTCAAAGGCCCGTCTCCTCGTGGGCCACATGCAGTGTCCGCGCCCACGGTAGCATTTGTTCTTGTCCTAGCTCGAAGCGCGCAGACTGGAGCGTATGGTATCGTTTATAGCAATGGCGTCCCGACTTGTTGTGCCAGGTGGAATTCGTGAACTCTGCGTGCAGGTTCAATAAGTCTCGGTCCTCGTACGCACAGTTGCCAAGTTTATTCAGCTGTCCGCTTCGAGCGGGAATGGGGTAAACAGAACTTGCCGGTATCTGCACGGGAAGAACAGCATATGCTTAGGGGTTCGTCACTTCGACGTTTCGTTGAAGATGTAGGCCTCGCAACGGAGATTCCGTTATTACAGGTGGGGGAATAGATCGACGGCGTAGTCGGCATGCTGAAATTCACCTTGAGTTGGAGATCAAGCTAAGGCTTCCGATGTCTGCACGATATCCTGACGTAGGTCGACGGCGTACTGCTTTCATGAGCCACTCGCCATGGGGTTAGCCACTTCGCAGGCCGGGCTGGTCCAGCCGGTACAAGTAATCGGCAACGTTGAACCAGCCCTCGTACTCGATCTCTTCTTTCGTGTCGTCGAGATCATAGTGGTAATGCCCGCCCTTCGTTGTTTCCGCGGGCCCGTCGACGGTGGCATCACCGCTACCACTCACGGTGAAGCAATGAGTATGCTCCATTCTCAATGCAAGGCCATCATCGTCTCCCGAGTGGAGGACGGTGAGACAGACCAGTGGCCCATGTTCATCGTCAGTGAAGCCCATGTCAAAGTACCGCAGCCACTTGTCCACATCGTCTCTTGACTTGAACGGCTCTGAAGGAAAGTCTGGCATAACATGTAACTTTGCTGTCCCCCTCTTGATCAGGAACACTCCTCCAATAGAGATCAATCGATCTCCGAAAGAAGATTTCAAGGCATCTTGAATTGTCTGTGTGAAATTCAGCGGACCGTTTCGACACTTGCTGGTGACATGCAGGCAGGGTCCAGGTAATCCTTCTGAGCAAAATAAATTGCACATAAGCGCAAATGCCGTGGAATCGTTCGGGATGCGAGCACAGCATACTGAATCATCCGGCTTGATCTTCGCGTAGTGTGTCCGATTCCTCACATCGCGCAAGTCCTGTCCACCAGCTGCTGTACCGTATGCAAAATTGGGCATCAACTCGGAGTTCTGCCCCACGACGTGGAACGGGCCAGCTCCAGCACCAAGCATGAAGCCGGTCGACGTGGACATTTCAGCTTGGTGGGCGACAGAGAGCAGGTCATATTTCTTCGTCAGGTCCGGAGCAGGGCTGAGGTTTGGCGGTCCGCCGATGTCGACGATGCGAGGAGAGCCGGTAAGGCCTGGGGCGGCAAGGTGATATGGCGGGAGGGTGAGGTCTGGAGGGGTGGAAACGGTGCATGAGGAGTGCGTAAAGTTCGAGGAGAGGCCGGCAGAGATGCTCTCTGCCAGCGCGGAAAGCGAGGGCGGGAAGAGGGGGACCTTCTTGACAGGCAGGCTGCCGGACGACATGATGGCACAAGGATCGATTGTGCTGTCGCGGCTGTCGAGCGTTGGAGGGAGCATCGACAATGAGTTCGCGGGGGTGCGAGGGACGGGTTTCTTCTCGGAGCCAGTGTATTCCGAAAGCCGAGGCAGCGCGTTTTACCTCAGCCGAAAGCCGAAGTTCATCCTCGAGATCACCTCGAGAACTTGACGCCTCACTTTGACAGCCTCATACGCCGCGCCGGCGCGCTCAATTAGCGTGTTCTTTATCTCTGAATCTTTAGATCCCGAACGGCCTTTCATGCGCGACAACGTTTTGAGGGAGCAGGTGCTCGTATAGCGTTTTCGTACCTCTTGTGGAGACAACGGCCCTGGTAGGTCTATTACGCAAACAGCTACGGCACACTCCTCCGCCCAATGCTGGCCGCTTTCAAGGCGGGGCAGCTCCCTTTACCCCGCCGAACGCTATATCAAGACTAGCGGGTACACCCATGGCCCCACCTACCCAACCAAATGCCCCTCAAGCCTTTCTGAACCGAACAGCCTCCTGTGTTGGTCATAATGAACGTCGGTGAAGAAAGAGCTCAGCTTTCCCAAATGCATGCAGGCGTGCCACAGTGTTGACCTCTGCTTGATCGGGAGCGGTTGCTCCTCCATTGTTACACAGCCTCGCTGTCGACCGACCATCTCCACAATGTGCGAAGTCCAAGTCAAGACGTTCCGCGAATGCCAGATCGAGCCTCACCATAACGTGCGCGGAGCTTATATCCGATGTCGAACCGCCTATGCCCGCCCCCAAAAAGAGCCTTGTGTGCCTGAAAGTGGACACCTGAGAGACCTGCCCTTGGTTCTCGATATTCAGGACACGAACCTCGAAGGAGAGTGCCCTTCCTGTGCCAAACGGACGCCCGTCGACTCCTCTGACTCCGATGGCTCCGGGTGACTTCGGTCAGTGCCCCAATCGAGCGTCATACAACGCCAGCGAGCATATCTGCAAGCTCCTTCGTTGAGTTCATTGAAGAAACTGACTCTTGGTTAGCGTCAGTCTATCCACGCAGCAGGCGAACGGACAAATGGCCGTCTTTCTTGACCTTGAAGACTCGGTACGGCAGGGTGTGAAGATTGACCACGGGGACCGATTTGGCATGGACATCAAGGACGATGTGCATCTTGGCAGAATCCTCGTCTGGAGGACACAAGTGCGAATAATAGTCGTCGGCCAGCCTCAGGTCCAATGATGCGAAGAATGCCTTGTTGATAGCCGCTTCGTCGAATTGATGTTTTTCGTGGAATCGAAGAACGATTCGCTTTGGAGTAGGACGCTCCATCACCTCGCCATCGAATATGCGCCAAAAGTAGGCACTCACATCGTTGTTGAGCGCGATGAAAGTGGCAGATGAATGCGGATTATATTGTCTCTCGCAGAACACTGTTGTGCAACGGGGATTCGGTTTTCAAATAGCTACCTCCTCCAGGAGTCGGTGTGACAGAGGCCAGATGACAACTGTCAGTCTCCCTCCATCCTGCGCCGGGGTGTGGGGGCAGAAGAACCACAGAATGACAGTGGCGAGGGCCTCAGTAGCCCTCTAATAAGGAAGCTGCCGAGAATTCGCTTAGCACAGTATCTGAGCGGTGCAGTTAGTCCAATAGCGGCCCCCGGGGTCAGCAGGACGTTGTGGACCCATGAGTGAACATACGAGGTACTTCGAGCACAACGTCAAGCGACTGGTTGGCGCCCGCAAGGGGCCAGAGGGCCAGGAAAGCTCCCACACACAGGCACAGCCGAGCAAGGAGAAGGGAACAGATCGTAAACGACCAGATCCGATGGGCCTTGAAATCGAGCCGCGAGATCGCATCGTCCGATTTTGAAGGGACCGCCCACAGCCGAGTCCACAGGGGAAACCTCGCCATGATCTTCTGCCTGCACCGTGGATGCGTGGATGCTTGGGGGATGCATTAATTGGCGATAGCTCAACCGCTCTGAGTCGTATTCGTACGGAAGTCCCGCAGAGAGTTGGACTGCAACTTGTTTAGGCGGGATGGTCGGAGATCGATGAAGGTGAGAGCGGCTGGTGGGTGGTGGGTGGGCACACTAAGCACGCCCACGAGGAGGAGATGGGCATTGGATCACAGGCTCCATAGGCGGAGAGCCACCGGATGTTGGGGCACCACGGCGCTAAGGCTCGCTCGGTTCTGCAGCCTATTGCAACCCGTCTAGGCGCTGATCTAGGCCTTGCTATCGCTAAGCCTTACTTAAGAGCCCAAGACTTAGGCGCGGGGCAGAGCGTCCCCGAAACCAACAAGTTCTTCCATGTTGACAAGGTACCCATCTTCAAAGATACTTCCAATTAAGGCTCGCATCCCACTTTATATACATGTCATGGTACCGATTGAGATGGGCACGAGGATCCTGTCGAACTTCGCAGTCGCCGGTTAAAATCCAAACCCTCGCGACTCGGTCATCAAACCTCCGTTGGGTCATGAAAGGTCGTGCCCGGCGCACAGCTGGAACGACCATGCACGCGACAATAGGCGCTGAGCACCCGCACGTCTCGCATGATATCTAAGTGTCGCTGCGGAATCTCCTTCGGTCCTATAGAACACGAATCCCTGATTCTCGAGAGCGACGCTGCCAACGAACGGTCCCTAGCACGCAAACGTCGGTTGGATACCTGCGAGAAGGTGAGAACTGAGCATATTGGGTGAAATAGGAGAAAGAGGGAAAGGAGCTCCCTGGACATGACGCGCTAGCTGTAGGCAAAGTGCTCCAAGGATGCGGCTCAAGCAATTACTACTCGAGGGACGGAGACTTGCAGGCGTTGCACCGCGGGAGCAGCATGGGACAAAGACACGCACTATCCCTCCTCAGCCCTCAAGACAATCAAGTCCCAGTGTACCCCGTCACTGCGTTACTATCCTGTCAGATGGCCATCGCAGGTCGGCATGTAACTCGAGCTTGAGGATGGTCCCACTCGAACCTCTCGCTCAGTCTCTTGACGGCAGATCGAGGCGGTGGGACATAGCCATCTCGGGGATTGGCACCCACAGCACGTCTTACAATACGGGGGACGAGAATGTCCGGCAAACCGGTCTACTCTGTCGCATCGAGATAGACTTCAGTGAGACGGACCCATGAGTTTGAAGAGAAGGTGCATCTGACACACAATTGAAGAGAAGAGGCATATGGTGATACGTAGGCTGACGGAGCTTAGGCCAAAATGCACGACAAAAGAAAATCTCCTGCTCGATCTGGAATTCTCAACGGCATGGTGGCCAAAGGGCTCCGTCGGTCGCCCTTCATGGACCCCTATCATGCACTCGATCTGACGAGAGAGGCTGAATTGCTGATGCTGCTCAGTATCGCGATAAAGAACCGGCATCACCGGGTACAGTACACGGCGCACGGTGGAGAGAGCACAGGGGCAGGGTATCGACGAGGTGTAGACCCGGAGTCGGACGCAGACAGAACCAGCGAGGATTGCTTATTCGTCCGGGCGCTGTGCCGCCCGATCGGCGGCCAACGCAGTGGTTGTCACCGAGTGCTGTTACGAGCGCGAGTACAAGTCCATGGACGTGGACCAGGGCATGACGGCCGAGATGAAGTCCAACCTTGGCCACTCCGACGGCTCGTAAGGAATAATCATGGAGCCATCTGCCCTGCGTTCCGATGTCGCTGATGTGGCTGGATGCGGGCTCACGTGCGCGTTACAACGACGAGGCTGTAATTCCTTGGACGGGTTTCTGGCAGACCCCGTTCCCAGACTCCGCCTCTGTCCTCTCCGCTCGGACTCGGGTTCAACTCCCAGCCGGACGGAGCTGTGATTAAGTTAAGAGTCCACGTGTCTTTCGTGCCGGACTCCTGCGTGTGGGCGACTAATCAGATTGTACTTCTTCGGCGGCAGGGAGGTTAGCTTGAAGCTAAATGGGACGGCTAATTTCACTGTCGTGCGATGAATCTGTGATGGCTTTCCTTTTTCGACCACTTGGCTCGCTGTATACGGCAAAAAGGGCGGCAGTCGGCAGTACTGTCGGCCGAACCCGTCTAGCTGGTACTCATCGAGCCGTGCACCAAAAAGAAAATAGGCCATCAAACCCGGAGGTTAAATAGTCCAGCTTGAAAGCCATGTCCCAGGCTTGGTAGGTCGGGGATCTTGCATCACCAGGCTGTGTCTTGCTGCACTTATCGGATCTAGCGGAAGTCCACATGATGATTATCCCACCAGTTCAATCAATGTTGACAAAATTTGTATATGGTCCGGTATGGCGTGTGCGTCGGATTCTGGAGCCGGCCTGATAGACAGTAACGTCATATGCAAGCAGAAGCGACGGCAGAGTCTTTGTGGAACGTCGGAACGGCGGGAACGACGTCCTGATATCTGATAGCAAACTGCTGTCATTGATACAGGACGCTATGCTGCCTCGCCTAGTTCAATGGTACCGCCTTCGCTCGGCCCCGTTGTTTCGGTTAGATGTGTTGAGTCCCATTGCCAGCATGACGAATTCCATCCGAGCGCAACACGAGGCCCTCGAAGCCGCCATGATACTCGGGACCTTAATATGCGCGTGACTGCTGGACTTCAAGGATGAGGCTTGGCTCTGCGTGGGCGGGGCACGCTAGAGCATAGCAAGGCACCTCCGGTGCAAAATGACAACACCCACGGCATTCAACAGGCAGGCTCGTGGGAACATCTCCGCGAAGCGAGTACGTTGGTTGCTAGAGCAGTAGGGAGGATGTGAGAGAGTCGGGGGATTTAGTCGCAGAGACAACGCTCCTAGAATGTAAAATCTAGCATATTGGCCCGGTATGCATTGTCCGTGGCTCTGTGGCGCCGTGTCGGAGGTTGGAGAGGTCGACTGCTGATGTTCAGGAAGTGAATCAAGTTTGAGAGTGTTTGAGTCTGCCCTTCACACGTCCTCTTGCTCAACGCGTGCTGCGATTCAGCGAATGCCTCTCCAAGATACTCGGCGCAACGGGACGCTTCGTGGATTGCAGGGTTAGTTGCTGACTTTCATCCAAGTCGGTGGTTATGAGGCGCTTTGGTTGAACTGTAGAGTCTCAGCTTCATTCCCGAAACGTCATTCCGCAGGAGGTGAAGGCAGACAACCATTGTGATGCTGATCGCTATGGTGTATTGGAGCGTAGGGTATGTGGGCTGCGGGACGGCTAGTCGGGAACAAGGATGCTCGAGTGCCTTTCGCGTTGCGATGCTCCTCGCCGTGGCTCCGAGCTGGAGACCGAGGCGACGACTACGTGGACTGCCTACCCACCTACTTACGTAAGCAGGTAGGTACCCCGCACCTAACCGTACCTCGTATTCGTCCTGTGTTAATTACTGATGACTTGGTTTCTTGACGGACCTTGTGCAACCCCCCCGGCCTGCGGTACTGGAGGACTCAGTCCGTAGTCCGTGATGGGATCAAGCATCGAGGGCATTATCACTGTGATGACTCGTTCAGCTCGTTGCAGCAATTGGACAGCTCAGCCGATGGTCAACATGTCACCTCCGCGCACGTCGTATCGCCGATGGCCTGGTGGGAAACGCACACGCCAGGCCATCCCTCACCCCTCGTCTTCCTCTTCCTCTTCCTCCTTCTCCCTCTTCCTCCTTCTGCAGCTTCTACACACGTCTTACTCTGACGGCGCCCCAAGCGACAGGTGCGCCTGGCGACGTTCGGGCGCACCTCGCGCTCGCGTGTCGGAGCTCCTGGCTCACAAGGCGCCGCCGCCCCAACATGACGACGGCGCTCCCAAGCCAACACGATGGTCTTCCTCGAACCACGCTGCCTGGGAGTTCGATGCTCCTCGTCTGGGGCGACGTCCCCAGCACGAGTTATATACGAATATATTCTCATATAAAACGGCGGTACAAGCACGACGGTAAGGAGTTCTACGACTTGACAAACCTCGCCGCCTTAATCTTCCCCACTCTCACCACCTTATAGACCACAGGCTTACGCTCAGTAGCTCGCCAGTACTAGCCTAATCGACTACGCACACTACCTGGTGGTAACAGAGGACCGGGCGCTGGCGTTATCCGCTCCGTGTCGCTCAGCGGTTCAGAACACCTCCTGTCGGTTGCCACACAATGACGCACACCATGTTCATGACGATCAGAGACAAGGGCAACCGGCTCACAGATTTGCCCGAGTCTCTAGCAAGGGGCATTCGTGCGTCGCAGCAGCCGCCAAGGGTATTCGACCTGGGCTGCGGCTCCGGAACCCGAATCATTGAAATGGCAGATATTCATCATTCTGAGAACTGGCCGAGGGGTCCATAATGGATCCCAGCCTCGAAACAGATTGTCATGCACATCGACTGCCCAGATACTCCTTCCAGAACTCGCCCAATTCAAATCCCACTTTCCGTTTCTCGCTTGCGAAGTCAAGTGTCGCGTCCCATGGCTTGATGGCACTCAAGAGACCTGGATCGCCTCGTCTGGACACGTCTCCCATTCAAACTCCGCCGGAGTCGTCGTCGAGCTTGGTACAACCTTACATTCTTCAAGCCAATCCAAAGACTCAGCGGAACAGAGTCGACAAACCGGCAGCAGTCGACAGTTGCGGGTGCTGTCGCAGCTGTTGACTTTGACACAAATCTTGGGGACCTTAACTCCACCGCTCAGAGTAAAGCTACCGTTACCAACGGACAAGCTAGGGCAACTTCCTGGGAGTGCCGTATGTTAGCTGGAACCCCTGGCATCCCTGACTCTCTGTGCTGCAACCATACACGAGAACAGCCTGCACACTGAGGCTTGACTTAGGGATCGACAGGACGTTTTGGCACTCGTCGGTGCTCCCTTTGCCTCCCTCAAGGTATAAAGCCTTGAGAGTATATATATATATGTATAGGCGCGGTTACTGGTTCGGCGGCTCGTGTCGGGACGAGTCCCTCATGGTCGGTCACTCTACTGTGAGGAGGAGACGTCCGCTGAACCGGGCAGCTACCGGGTAGGCTCGGTCTGGCCTGGCGCGGGATGAACTTCGTCGCGACGAAGGAAAGGTCGGTCAACGACTCTTTCGCGCTGGCTGTGGTTCGTCGACAACCCAGGAGAGGTTGACGAACGACCCCCTGGCCGTGGCTGGTCTTCGACGCGACCAGGAAAGGTCGGTCAACGACTCCTTCGCGCTGGCTGTGCTTCGGCGCGACAGGAGAGGTTGACAAACGACCCTCTCGCGGTGGTTGTGGTTCGTCGACGACCAGGAGAGGTTGACGAACGACCCTCTCGCCGTGGCTGGTCTTCGACGCGACCAAGGAAAGGTCGGTTAACGACTCCCTCGCACTTTATCATCATAGAACGAACCTAGGGCTCGACACATCTCTCAACGGGGTGGATGAGCTCGTCTCATCGAGACAAGAACCGTAACCCTCGAGTTGCTCGACTGTAAGAGTGATCCTGTGCCGACGTGCGCAGACAGACGAACAATGCGAATCCTTTTCATAACCTACTCGAACTAATGACGTGAGCCGCTTGTACCGCTTACCTCGCACGTAGTCGGGTAATTTCGACGAAGGGATCCTGCCGAGGCGGTCCATGTGTCGTAAAATCACGCTGTGGAGGTTCGCTAGTGAGCAACGAAGCTCAACATTTTCGTCGTCATCACGGTCATTGCATCCAATACAGGTAATAGATGTTCTTGCAGCGGTTGTGTGCCGAATTGAGATATGCAGTGCTTGTAATCGACATGGGTGGTGCCATGTAAGCAAGCGGCTTCGTACCCTGAAGCACCTTCGCTAAGTCGCATATATCAATACTCAGCAGCGAATCTTTGACCTCTCGGTAGTCCGGTTCCCTTTCCAGACCTGAGTCGGGCGTACTCGCTATTTGACCGGAGGCATGACTGACCCATTCTGAGCACAAGCACAGCCTGGGTTGGGAGACCCTGAGCCGCCTCGTTCAGCGGAGTGAGCACAGCGGGAGCCTGGCAGGGACCACACTGTTGCCTGACTCCTACTTTCGCAACTTGTGGCCTCCAAGCGACAAGTTCCAACTCCCTCAGTTTGTTGTTGTCATGAGTACCATCGGAGTCATTTCCCGCTTGAACTCATAGCTAAATACGGGCATTGCATCTTGGTCGACCCAATCGGCAGCCCGAGATTGGCTTGACAGGGTGTCAATGGCCTTCAAGTTCGCGATGTTCCGGAAACTTTGCTCAAGTCTCAGAAGCGTCCTCATTTGGATGGAGGGGATTCGAGATTCCCAGGGTTAGAGTTCGGCTTGTAAAGAGAACATGCTCACCGCTACAATATATCCCGACGAGCAGGTCCAATCGTCCAAGTTGGCGCTTCGCCCAGGACTTGCCCACTGGTCGGCCGAGCTCGAGTGTTCGACTTGCGTAGCACGACTCATACCAAGGGCCTCTCACCTTGGAAAGACCGTGCAAGCAAGTCGCTGTTCGAACAAACCAGCTCTTGCCATTTCTTGGACACAATGGCAGCTGGCGCTTTTCTCTGTCGTGGGAACGTCCATCGAGAAAACGAAACCCGTCGCTTGATGTCAAGGAGTTGCATATCAACTCCTGTTCACATGCTTGGTTCCCCTGCGGACGTGTTGAAGTACCTTGCACAACAAACTTATCTAGGAGGAGCTGAAATCAACCAATGAGCATTTCGATCAGGGGAAGAGGAGCATGATCCGCAGAAGGCCATAGATGGGGAGAGTGCCTGACTTCGATTTCGGTGTTGAGGGGCACCTGCTTAAGAACATCGCCCGACATCCAACGAGGGTCTCCATGGGTGCCGGGATCATTGTTGAGGTCGCTTTGTCTTCCAGTTGCGGAGGAAACCATCGGATCAGGATGAAACTGGGTCAGATTGGTATCTAGGCCTTTTCCATCAAGCCAGATGCCCACATGGTTGTCGAGTCACTGTTGATGGACTTTGAAAGCTCATTGGGATGTTCATTTCGTCCCGAAGGAGCCAATGGCATTGCAGACTCCCCTCGATGAGCTGAGCGAGGGTCGTCCGGTCGGTATATCTCATCATCAAGGAGGCCCTCGTGGCCTTTCAAGATTCCTTCGAGTACAACGTTGATGCTGTCGATAACTTCGCGACGGTTCAGGTGGTCAACTATCAGTGTCTGCCTTTCCTTAAGATCTTTTGTACAACAAGCTAGGCACGAATTCTAGATTCGTCCGCGGTACCCCGTCACGAGGAGTCAAGCTGTGGAAGGAAGGGTCATGCAGATGATGTGCTATTGTCAGTCACTCGCGGCAGCGGTTCTGAAAGACGTTGTGCGAGTGCGAGTGCGAGTATGGCACGGCGGAAGGACAACAGGAGCGGCAGGCATCCTGTTAGCCACTCGACCTTTTGTTAGCCAACCATCGTCATTGTCCATGTATCCTCAATAGCCACTTATCCTCTTACCCACTCGTCCTTACGCCTTTGTGGCTCCCACTCTCACCGTGGGTTTGAGCCTTCGACACGTAGTGCCTCTTGGGTGCCGACCCGTCGGCCAGGCAGTCGATGGCCCCCGCCATGGAGACGCAGTCAGGGTATGCATCAGCCTGCCTTCTGAACTCGACGGTACTACTGTTGCGATGGGAGCCTTACTGTACGAGGGCGTGGTGCGCATTGCGTCGAAATCATCCTGGCCGTGAAATCCACAAAATCCCGGGTATTGACGCAGATCTGTGTAAGGGTGATGCAAGAGCAGCAGAGGTAAGGAAGTGGGAAATGGTAAGGGATCACCGCCTTTCTGCAGGCAGTCCCCAATGATGTAAACTGGCGCGAAGCTGAGCCAGAGGCTCGAGAGGCATAAGTGAACCCGGAGGTGGACTGCGTTCTCGTACATTGTAGCCTGACCAGCAATGACACCGAAATCAGACGACAAGGCACAGAAAATCGCCCTGTGGCTGCAGCATGACATCCTGGCCTGCTCCGACCTCGATCCACTGACCTTGAACAACGTGCCGGCCGTCAACTGTGCAGCCTGCCTGCACGTTGAGCGCGATCAGTATGGCCCGAAAGTCCGTGATGGTAAGGAAGGTGTCCTGTCTCATGACTCTCATGACCTCCCACCCCTTGACCTGCTGAAATGGAGTGTTAGGACGTTTCTCGGTGGTGATCAGGGCCGGCGACGTACGCCCTCTAGACTAGTCCTCAACTTTTTCCACAGAATCTTGCCTATCCGTGACTTTTGTAGCGTGAGGATCTTGTCGTCTCCCCAGTGTCCGTCGACAATCCGCTGGGTTCTTGCCCATCTCGCCAGGTCTTCCACGGGGACATTGAGTGTCGTGGACTCTGGGGTGCTCATCTTGGGCTTGGAAATGACTGGGGCGTGCGTGACCGGCTCCACGCACTTCCTAAAAGGTTTCTTTCCGGTTCGTTCAAGCGTGGAGCCGTCCCGCAAACAGAGGATGCGCGTCGTCCTCGTGGACAATGGCAAGAGGAGCACGGAGGTGGTGATTCGACACCCAGCTCAACCCTCTCAGGGACATCGGGCTCGGAGTGTGATACCGACGAACCCCTAAACTGAATGCTTCTGGGGGTCATCAACTGGTCGCCAGAGGGTCTGACCGCCAATTAACAGCCTCTTAGGCACGGTCTGCTGGTAGGTTCACGGAGAAGCACAAGCTGCGAAACGAAGTGGGGAGCCCGCCGTGGTTGATTGCTTCACAGTACGCACTACACAGTGCTCTCCCGGAGTCTAGCCAGTTTGAGAAGTTCATTGCTAGAAACGATAGCATCCTAGGCTACCTCGGGTAGGTACTCGTAGGCCTCTCCAGATAAGTGATCTACCCTTTCTCAACAACGTTCTCTTCAGTCACGGGCGATTCTACCTCATCCTGAGCAGCCAGGCGGGAACAGGTGCACGGTCGGCTCTGTGCCCCTCTGGGGAGCTGACATCATACTCACGCGTAGCGAGGTCTTGGCAAACGCCCAGCGAGCCAATAACGAATAATGTCAACCACACAATGAGGGCTGCCCGCTGCAAAAGCTCGCAGTCTTGGCCCAGATTTGGATCAAAGCCTTGTCGTGAAGAAATGGTCTAGCGGACGTGCAACGATATCAAGGAGTCTGTCTCAATTTCTATCACAAGCTAGACGATATGCTCTGCAGGACGGCGAGGTTCCGTCTCAAGACTGTAAGAGCAAAACCTCAACCTGGTTGACTACTTACTACAGGACTCTCATCTCACCTCGTCCTCCACTCCTACGACCCGATACGCCTGGGTGCGACGCGCTGCGAGCCGTGCCATGCCACCACAGTGTGAAGCGGGCAGAGCAGTCTTGAACGTGCGTAGCCTTGATATGAGACGAAGAAGAGATGGCTACACGTTAGATCGTTTTTCATTCGGAATGAAATATGTAAAGAGCTCTACAGAAAACCCGAAATTTGTGCCCATATCGGCAGTAGTGATGGGGATCATGAGGCAGAGCCAACCAAACCAAACCAAACCGAGCCATCCATGTCCCACAGCACAATCCAAATAGTCAGTCTCAAAGTCATCAAAGTCAGTCTCACGTCATCAAGTCATTCAATTCGGTCGTTCAAGTCTGGTCCTCGCCCATGCCCGTGTCCGTGTCCGTGTCCGTATCCGCCGAGAGACGTCGCTTCCGATCCCTGAACCTGTCAATGTCCCGTCGTCGACAGAAATAGCAGGCAACACCCTCAAACACGCCTTCGTCGATGAGGGCATGTGGATCGGCGTTTTCGTACAAGAGGTCGAGCGTGAATCCATTCCTCACCGCCACATCGAAAGCTTTTCCGAACTCGTCTTTGAGCCAGGGCGACTGAACCCTCGACTGTTGCCAGGTGGCGTAGTCTCTCAACTCGTCGTCGTGAGGCCCTGTAAGCTCTGAGGGCTGGGGTTTCACTGCGGCATCGTGAACAGCCATCGACTGCATCGGCTGAGGTCGCACCGCAGTATTGTGATTACCTGACAACTTCGTTTGCTGGAGTTGGACCGCGACATCGTCAGCAGTAGTCAAATGTGGCTGCTGGGGTTGCACGACGGCATTGTCAACAGCCGTGATTTCCGTCTCTTGTGTTCCAGTGCTGTTCGGCTGACGACGAACAGCTGACATATTATCATGAAAACCCGTCAGACCCTTCTGTTGGGGTACGTCGCCGTCCGACTGACGACGGAGCATTGATGGATCATCCCGGAGACGCGTCAAATCCCTCTGTGTGGGTAGAGCGCCGTCAGACTGACGACGAAGAGTTGTGTAGTCTTGTCCGACGTAGACCCCCATGAGTTGTGCCTGTGGACGCCGACCAGGCGACACGTTGCCAATTTGGACGGGCATACCTGGCACCGCATTCCAGGCCTGTGCTTGACGGTCCATAACCAATTGCCGCTGGACGTCCAGAGGCATGTCGCTGTGCGAGGCCGGCATTCCGTAGTGGGTAACATGGGCTTCGAGCAGTTTGAAGCACTCCGGAGTCATCCTGTGATGAACCCCTTTTGAGTTCACCCAGCAGTACGGGCCCAGTAAACAAGATGTCGGGCAGCGCATAAACACGCACAGATCATACAGGAAGGGCGGTCGTCCCTGCTGTTCTTGTGCCATGGCACTCTCCTGTCTCCGTGGTACAGGCATGCGACCGCTAGCTGATACATGTCTTCCTCCGTCACCCCGTGGCGTGACAGAGCGTTGGACTGCTGGGGGATTTGGTGCCACGAACTGGAACGTCAGGGTGACACGAAGAGCATTGCCTCTGCGGAAGTATGAACTCCAGTCGAGCAGATGGTTGTCTGCGGCGGCCCAGTCGATCTCGAGCCCGGCATACCTCTTTGTGAGGTCTCCTTGCGCAGGGTCCGTGACAGAGACGACGACCGTGGTATGCTCGTGTCGCGGCTGTCGGTCTCCGACAAACGCTCGGCGCACCGCTTGCTCGAACCGGCCTTTCAGAACATGGCGCCAGTAGCAGCTGGGAGAGACGGCCACGTTAGACTCGGACTGGGTGGCGAGGATCTTGGTATCGAGCTCCACCCTCCACTCGACGGAATAGTGGATATGGTTTCGTCCATGCGCCTGGTAGGGAGCCCCATCCTTCTCGTTCAGGAACGACGTTTGTTCCGGCTCGGCGGATGGAGGTTGGCCTGAGGCGGGCTGAGCTCCGTTGGCGATGGACGAGCGTGTCTCGCCTGCTCTGCTGGTCGTGACGGTATTCGCAGAGGGCAATGGGAGACGCCGCTGCCGCTGTGAAGAAAACTGGGCAGCCCACTCCCATAGAAATACCCGGTCCAATCCTGGATACTCGTTCATGGCGTCGAGGAGAGTGTGGCGGGTCTGGAATGGCCTGAGGTGATGGCGAAGAAGGAAGAATGTGAAGGGCTAGAAAGGGGAGTGCGTAGGACATATGTGCAATGGAATGTGCAGGGCCATGTGTAATAGATAGAACACGCCTGGGCCGCCAACGTTCCTGCAGTGTACAGATAAACGCCTTCACACTGCGAGCTCACCTGGGTCACTGTCACAGCTCAACACACGGAACCGCGGATGCCCCTGCAGGATACACAGAAGACAATTCGAAGCCGCGAGCTCAACATCCAAACGCCACCAGCCGACGGGGGTGTGCTGTCCCATGTCTTTGGCGAATAACCTTGACAGATGCCGTATGCCAAACGTCCTGTCTCCTGCACACGTTGCACCATCCCACCACCAATGGCCAAATTGCAGATACCAGTCCGTCCAGCCTACAAAGTAAGGAGGGAGAAGGTTTTGACGTGCAAGGGAGCGAAATCGACGCCAACATCGGGTGGCCCCTCGTGCCTCGCGTGCGGTCCATCTCCCTCCTTACTCGTCTCCATAGACTGAGCCCAGGCCGCAGTGGTCGAGTGTCAGGTGTTAAATCCAAAGTGGCAGGTGTCAGACGGCGAGACTGACGCCACAATCCAAGATTTTGTCGCGTCTTTTCCTTCTTAGCTAGCGCCTCTGTGTCGATAGAGTGCAGCTCATCCGTCTCCCCGTCCCCTCACGCCAAAACAGCATCCTCTGTCTTGTGGTGGGATGGCGGTCTGATCTCGGTCCTGAGCCAATCCAAGGTGTGCTCTTCCTGCAATCGACCCGCGGATGCTCGGATCTGGGACGGCGACGGGAACGAGAGGGATCGAAAGTAGCACACCGACTGTTCCCTTGCCGCCACCCCAAGACTTAGCGACCGCTTCACCAGACTTCAATGATCTCTCAGCCTGACGCAGCCTCACCGACTCTTATCCAGCGTTGTTCAGCCCTACTTCGCTCTACTGTCTAGGGACTGTTGATACTGGTGTCGATAGTCGACCTTGGATACACACATCTTTCAGTGTAAGATGAGAGAGGTCTCTGGACCAGGAAAATGAAACGGCCAGACCGACAGACACCGGATGCCACCGGCCGTGAAAATGCTCAGTCACACCTGACTGGTGGCACGTCTTCCGGGTTGACGTCTTCGAAGACTTTCCCCGCAAGGTAGGTGCAAGGATGAGGTTGGGCAGATGTGACACGGCGAGCGCATTCCGCATCGAGCCGCGTATCTCCCAAAGGTTCCCTAGCTGTCTTGCTCTCCTCTGGGGGTCATCTTGACATGGATCGGACAAAGTGGAGGAAGCGGTCGCTGTCGGATCACCCTCCAAGCCGTCCCCCCAGATCTTCGAGCGACGTAGACGGGACTTGGGCATCTACGTCCGCTACCCACTTGCCTGCCCAAGTCCAAAGTGGGTTGAGTGTGCAAAGGTTACGAAGTCAGAGCCTGGTGGACTCGGAGGGCTACCGTCAGGACTAGAACACTGCGACGTAGCCACGCTTCGGTATCCAGACTCCGGCGGTGGAAGGTCTAGGAACCTGGCTATCAGCGCCATGCCATGTGCTTGCATGGATCGTGATGTCCATTGTCGCCCTTGACCTTGTGGGGAGACTTTCACCCTCAAACACATCCCAAAGCTATTCTGGAGTGAGCGTGGCGCCGCTTAGGAATGCCGTGACAATACCAGAGCCGCCAGATTCCATATACTGATGACAGATCCCCATGATATGTCAAATGTAAGTTCTGGGGCTTTGTCGATCACTGGCTGGCTGGATAGTCCGGTCTGCGGGCGATCGCCCATCTCGGACCGTCCCAAATCTCTCAGATCAGGGATGCCCCAGTCGCGATTCCTGGCGTTAGTCTGACTGACTGGGGGTGTGGTGCGTCGAGCATGAGTCATTCACGGCTTTCCTTGGACTGGGCTCCTGAAGGCTTCGCTCGTGTCAATTCATCGGGCATTCATTCATCGCCAGTGGTGACCATCGAGTTGTCGGCTCTGAGATCTAGATTATCATCGAGTGAAGGTGCATTGAAGGAGCGGTGCCGTTACCAAAGTACATTGAATCATGACAACAACTTTCGTGTGCGGGAAGTCGTGCCATCATATGCAGAGGTAGCATCGACTATGAGGCGTGGATCTCGGTGTGCTTCACGCAAGTAGGTATCTAGTCACATTGGGAGACGTATCGACTCCATCTTGGGGAGGGAAGCAAACGCCCCACGGGGACTTCTCACATGGTCTTATACTGTAGGTGCGTAGTCGTTAACAATCATACGAAGCATCACCACTGTTGCTTACAGCTGCGTACTCCGAAGTGCTGCGAGAGTCTGATTCATCCTTCGACAACCGAACAGATTATCGCCGCTTACCGCACATCGCGGCAGCCACACAGTCGATCGTGAAATGAAGCTCAACTTTCCGATAATGACCATGGTACTTTGCTTGGAAGATTTCCCCCATATACTCCGTACAGAGGGAGTATTCTTACGGTGCGTCCCAGGGCTGCGAGACTTCCACTACGAGATACTCCGAGGAGATGCCAGGAAACTTGGTTCTTGACGATGCGCTTTGAGAGTTGGCTCTGCAAATGTATGGCACGTCTCCCACTGCATGATCGCTTGCTCTATCAGTGAGTAGTGGAGGAGTACAAATGGAGGAGTGCCAATGGTGCAGTAATTCTGCCAATGATACTTCGTACAAGTGCGAAAACCATAGTGCTAGTGGGATCCCTGCTGCTTTAAAGAACCCAGTAGCTCGCGATCTAGGGCACTGGTACTCACCCACTATCGATAAGGAGACACTCGACCTTGTTTCTCGCTGTTTTGGAGACTCTGTTCGAGGCTACAGTAGGTATCTTACCACGGCACTGACATTTCGTGGCAGAAGCACGTAAGGGTGCCGGGCTTGGCGATGCTGGGTGACCGCTTCCCAGGCACTGCACCACCAGCGAACAGAAGGCTGGACTATAATCGCGCAGTGTTGAGCGACGGAGGACTGGAGGCCCATAATTAGGAGCCTGTCTGGTCCATGGGATTGTTGGAAGAGGCAATCCAGATGTCGACAGCGCTGAGGTTGAGAAGGGCTCGCGCATTTACCCAGCTCCATGACCAGTTGAAGGGTAGTTACTGGACCACCATCAATGGTGAGTTGCGCGACCTTTAGAAGCGAGTCCCCAGAAGCGGCCCATGTGGGGGGCGATGTTTGCTTTAGCAAGTGCCGACAATGCTCTGCAAACAGACACAGCCATTTCCAGGGGTATTAGCACACGGAAGGGAATATCTGGATGCCATTGACTGGATCGCCACCGGATTCGTTGCTTCTATTGTAATGCTCATCACCAGCTTGTTTCACCCACTCGTCTGCTGATTTCTAGCACGACCGGTGGACAACGGTCTCTCTGGCCATTATTCCTGAGTCTCTCGGCCCGTGCGAAGCCGGGATGGATGGGTTCGACGTCCTTGGGGGCTGGACGGCCTTTGCGGCAAATAGGAAAGTCCATCCCGGTCAAGAGGGCGGCGTAACCTCGAGCAGCGCTGGGCAAGGGAGACGGGCCAGGGGGAAAGAAGCCAGTCGGTATAGGATGACAGGGAATCTGAAGGGAGACCTATTCCGTACGTTCTCCGTACGTTATCTATCATACTATGGTAAGTGGATGCTCCCGGGCTTCCACCAGGGTGAGTTGTGACAAGAGGGGTCGCCGTTATGAGCAATGAGCCCGCAGAGAGTCAAGACATTTCTTCTCGCACAGAGAGGTTTCTTTAGACTTGATGGAGAAGCGAAGGCGTGGAAAGATGCCTATCTTATTGCTGTAAGAGATCGCTGATGGGGGCCCAGGGACAATTTGAACGGACCTACCTGGAACACGGCGAGAGACATGAATGCACACAGCAGTTGGTCTTGTCGATCAACACAACCGATCACTGGCTGCCCCTGCGCTTCTGTTAGGCGTTTCTCCCTACCTATGGCAGCCCGGAACATCGGCTTTCTCACTCCTTTTTTGATAGAAGCCTAGGTGCCATGGCCTCAGCAAGCGTCGACCCCCACAGAATCCTTCTGACAAGCTCGCAGTTGCTTGTGCTGTGTGCTGTGCCTCAAAATGGGTTGGCGAGCCGTGTTGTACGTCCTGTGTACATACAATGCGGCCGAGTTCAACCCCCACTCAGGGTAAGCCACTCGCATTAGACGGCCGCTTCCACGCGTTAGGCGGTATTCGATGTATGCTAATACCCTTAGTTCGACACGTTCTCGTCTTTGCTCACGTCGCCCCATCATTAACGCAGCTCGATCCGATATAGCGGCTTGGCTAGGCGCATTTTGGGGGTATCTGCAGGCGGACACGATGCTGCACTGCATGTACTCCGTACTCAGTACTAACACAGTACCGTGCTATGCTGCGGCGAGATCAAGCGGGTGTTGGCTGAAGCGCCACATCAGGTAAGCTCACTAATTAGGCCATAAGCTAATTAGGCCATAAGCTGTATATAGTAAGCAAGACGCCCTGACGACCTCCGGATTCACTCTACACATACCACAGCAACTTTGTCTCTGGACCAAGGCCTGGAGCACAATACCGCGTCATTGGATGAGACTGTTCATGCGGATCGACGGGCCTTTCCTAGTTGCAGCCGCCATTCAGCCTCGTCCCCGTAGAATAACACAACGATCTATTTCTGTTATGGCTGAGGTAGTTTTCAGGGTGCAACTCTTCACTTGGACCCCCGTCTGAACAATCCATGCGCCAGGACCGAAGAGCGGAGGCTCCTGTAGTGCGTGGTATATAGGGCATGCCCAAGGCCTGGAGGTAAGAGTCATCTGCAGATCTACCAAGACTGCGAAGAAAAGTCAGCATTCTCCATCGAACCCCTCTAGCAGAGTCACCTGCCAGCACCCATCAATCAGTACTTTCAGGACGTGAAACTCAAGAGCCTAACACACCACAATTCACCGCGCAAGACCATGTCGGGCTTTATTTCGAGCATAGGGGCGGGGCTGACGGGAATGTTGGGTCATGGTGCATTCGACCCTTCCCAGTTCCCTAGCGAGGTGCAAGAGATGGAGGCGGACGTCAACTCCGGCATTGATGACAGCGAATACGAAGCACTCATGCAGCTCCTGCAGCGCCTCGCCCAGTCCGGCGCCGACGTCTCGCACGATCCCAATCTCGCGCACGGGATGGAAGAGCTGGCACACGCAGTCCTGTCGATCGAGACCTCGGATGGCACAATTTTCAACGACCAGCTAATCACCAGCGCGGTGCACAAGCTGCACAACGAGGGCCATTGCGAAAACATCTTTGCCTTCCTGGAGCAGTTGCATCACGACAGCGTGGACTTCAGCCATGACGAACAGCTGCAGGCGACAATGAACAATCTTAGCGTGCAGCTTGAGCAGGTAAGTGATGATTCGTGCCCGTTTCGCATTGTTGCCAAAATCCTGGTTGGGATGAGAAACCTGACAAGCCGAACAGGGAGGCGGAGAGCAGTCCCCGAACCCGGGTCCCTTAGTAGGTGCAAAGTCAATGCCTCCAAGCGATGAGAACGAAGCTCTAACAAGCGACGATAGGTAGGCGGCTTGTTCGGAGGCCTCGCCCAAGGAGGACAACATTAAGTGGCCGTCAGCGATGGACTCATCCATCTGGATTCGGATGCCGGGCTTCCTGGTGCACTGGCAGTGTGACGGAGACGAGCGAGAGCAGGAGGGAGTGTGTTGTCGTACGAATAGCTCATTCACTGCAACAATGGTATCGCGTTGCATGCAAGTTTTGGTGTCTGCATGCTGCCTTGTTGAATTTCCACATCAATAGATTGACATGGCCCATCACCGAGGAAGACATTCAGGGTCATCCGTTCCACCAGTACCGGCGGAGGCAAACATGCACGTGCCTGTTGAAGTGAGAAGTGTAACTGGTAAGAGCACTACTCCGTACATAAGTGAGATACAGAGTGCAATGTAAGTGGCATCGATAAAAGGCGCGGGAATCTCCTCGGCGAATGTGCGAAACGAAATTACTAAGCCGCGGGGCTGCTGGCCTTGGCGGCAACGACCTTGTGCCTCACGTGAAAATGGGGAACTCCGTGACCAAGCCTGTCTAAGTTAGACGACTTTTTCTCTGTCACGTGCTCGTCCTGCGCCTGTTCGTGCCGCCGCACTTTCACCTCTTCCGCTCCCCCCACGTTACGCCAAAGGACCAGTGACCACAGCCTTGGGACGAGCAAGCTCAGAGTTCAAAGTTCACAGTCCAGCGTGCACCATGGGAAGAGCCTCCCCTCAAGGTCTGACCGCTCAAGACTTCCACCACCACCAGCCTTATGTGAATCCCCTCGACGTCTTCCCCGCCAAGTCGAGATTGGCCGGTCGTTCACAAAACTACAGGTCACCGGTCAGGAACCAGGCCACAGCCAGGAGCTCATCGCGTCTCGCGGCCGATCGACATACATTCGCGTGCTGTGGCGAGGATGAAGATGATGGCTCTTTTCTCTCCTCCAACGCCCTTGACTGTTGCGTCACTTTCGACCATGGAGGCGACGGCCTTGTCAGCTTTGACGAGCCTTCGCCCGGCTGCTGCGATGAGCCACATCACAACTCCCCAACACCCATGGACTGCGAAGATTGCGTCGACGACTGTGACGACTGCGTGGAGGAGCATGTCAAAGCCATTCAGAGACCCTGCCACTTCGTTGATCAGTGTGAGGATTGCGACGACGAAAAGATGACCCACTGCCCTGATGGCCCTGCATGCCAGGACACCTGTGACGAATGTGACTTTTCGTGCTTCGACTGCGTCGACTGGACCGAATTTGAGAAGGACAAAAATCTAGGCCTCTCCTTCTCAGTCCCACTGCTGCACAACAACGACTTTACGCAGTCAGACTTGGGCCTCGAGGAACCTGGTATGCTGGGCATTCAGCCCCTCGACATGCTCATTGACCCCCCTAACACGGTAGTCCCCCCAGTCGATGTCCCCATGCATCATCAGTGTTTTGCCAACACAGCCCCTTACTGGGACACCATTGCCCAGGAACAGCTCTGCTCCGGCAACCCAGGACTAAGTCAGCAACTTCCACTGCCACCGTTCTCCCTCAACTTTGGCTGCCACCCAGCCGTCGCTCACCAGCAGCAGCTGCAACAGCCACAGCCTGTCCCGGTGACTGACGGTGCTCACCTCGCTGCCGGACCATCGCATCTACTGGACGGGCTTTCTTCAACGGACGCCCCTAAAGACCCTCTGACCGACACGCAGGACCTCCTCTCCGCCGTCACCGCCCCCAGCACATCCCGCGCGTGCCAATGGCTTATGCCCTGCGGGACCGTGTGCGGCGCCTCCTTCGCCACAGGAACGGACCTCAAAAAGCACGTAAAAGCCGTGCACCTGGCCAAGGGCGTGACCAAATGCCAATGGCAAGGCTGCGAGGCTGCAGACTTTGCCTCCGAAGCCGCGCTGACGGGCCACATCTCCAAGAAACACCTGGCGGCGATGCTTGCGCACGCATCGGCATCGGCATCGGCATCCTCGTCGACCCCGAGCGCGACCGCCACTCCGCACAAACACCACAAGCACGCCCACGACGGCGGCCCGCCCTTCAAATGCACGTTCCCCAACTGTGCCAAGTCCTTCACGTACAAGCACATCCGCGACGAGCACGTGGCCACCCACCACGGCGGGAACAAGATGTACTGCCCCATCTGCCACGCGTACCTCAACGGCGAGGGCAGCAACTTCAAACGCCACATGGCCCTGCACCGCCCGAAACATCAACACATGCTGTGCAAGTTCCACGACGTGGGCTGCAAACGCCGTTTTCCGCGGCTGGACAATCTCCGGCGCCACGAGGCCTGCTGCAAGTTTGGCAAGAAAGCAAAGGCCGAGGGCGGCCTGGGACATGCCGGACCGCACCATCACCACCATCATCACACACGTGCCTGAGGGTTTTCTGTGGGTGCGATGAAGGTTGAGAAGCACAGGCGGGTTGGTCTACTGTGGATACAATGGAGGTTGAGGCACAGGCCCAATGGTCTACGCGGATACAATGGAGGCTGAGAAGCGCAGCCCCGGTGGTCTACTGCGGATGTAATGGAGCTTGAGAGGCACGTGCCCGGTACTCTAGTGTGGCGTACAATGGAAGTCGATGAGGAAAAGTCCGCTCGCATTACAGCCGAAGACCCTTCCTCCAGTACAGTAGCTGGGATGGGCAAGGAATTTTGAGTGTGGCCTAAGTAGATAGGTACTGTGGCTACATACATAGCTTGGCTCATCACATAGCATGCCCTGGGGATGTACGCTCGTCTACCTGCCTACGAGTACTGGCCGGCGATAATGTCATCGAACAACCACTTTCTTCGATTGGAACCTTTCATTTCAAAAGGGCCAAACACATTGATTCGTTTATCAAAAGCGGAACGGACACGAGAAGCACAGTCACCGACAGACAGACAGACAGTAGTCGGTAGGCTAGACTGGCTAGAGTAGGCTACGGGTACAATTCTCTTCGATCCTGGTGCTCTGCCCTCTTGGCCTATGTTCATGATTGATTGGGGATAACGAAGACCACGAGGCCGCCCCTCTAAACGCATGATGCATGATACATGATATTGTGCTCCAAGGTAGAGCGTCTCTCCTCTTGGCTCCATTCTATTACATTCCCCTGGGCCTGCAGTAACAAAAATCATCATTCATGCAATACCTTGTCGTACCGTAAACGCCGGGTGAAGCTCCAACCATTTCTCGTTCGACGTCCTCTGTATCATGGGTTATCAACGTGGGTATCATTTGCGTATTATTCATGCTAGATCTGTGAACCAGGGGGGTATCCAAAACAATAGTGTTAGTGTTGGTAGGGGCGGTGGAGTAGGGTTGAGCCGCCGTGCTCCCAGGGTATCATAATGCTGCTCTGAGTTGCGGTGTGTGACGTCTGCGATTGCAGGACATGGTGCATCTATCGAGCTGAAGGATGCTCGACGGTGGTGAAGGCGTTACCTCCTGGAGAGCCTGCCATTCGCCGGAAAGGCAGACGAAAAGCTCACAGATGAGCTAGTGGCGACAGATCATGCCAGTGTATCATTGCTGCTTCCAGCACCAAAGTTCAGCATTCCGCTAATGGGATTCCTCCCAAATCTTTCCTTCTTCCGCTGCCGCCTCTTGGCCGCGAGCTGAGGGCTCCAGACACCAGCAAACAGATCTTCACATTCGTCTTCGTCCTGCGAATCGAATTGCAGGTCTCCATCCGCACGGGTCGCGCCGGTGCTAGGACCATCGATTAACCTTCTCAACTCGTGCGATGGGAGTGGAAGGGCCTCGTCGTGCGTCTGCACCGGCGTCGTATCGTCCTCGTCATTCTCCCAGCACACGCTCACACGAATCCTCTTGGTTTCGAGGATGAACTTGCCGACTTTGTATTTCTGGCTTTCTTCACTGGCCTCGACGTATTTCCAGCCCAGGATGTTCCCGCAAATGGCGCAGCTGATGTCGCTCACGACATGTTGGCCAGTGACCAGATTTCTCGAAATGGATTTATTCTGAAACGTGTTGGGGAGGGCGGGTGTCATGGTTTCGATGTGGCTGGTCGTTCCTTGGACCAGGAATGCGCGGCCATGTCTGCCCATGAAGCCTTTGCTTATGATCTGCGAGGTGAGGCAGAGGTCTGTGGAGCATTTGGCGCATTGGATGTGGGAGCTGTGGCCGTTGAGGAACTTGTCGTCTGGGGGGATGATGATGGCGGAGGACGAGGAGGTAGGGATTGGAGTCGGAGTCGGACTCCTTGTGAACGGGTTTGATGAGGACGAAGACGGAGCGGATAGCGTGGAGGTGGTTGTATCGGTGGACCCGTTGCTGTCGGTGCTGGATTGACGCGACTTGCGGCGGAAAGGCAGCGAGGGGAGCAGGTATATAGGGAAGAGAGGGAAGAAGGCTGGAGGATCCGACGTCTTGCGGAGAAACGACATGGTCGCCAGCTTCGAGGGTCAAGATAGATTGAACTGCTACGATGAGGAAGACTGCACCGGGGGGAATGTAGGCAGTAGGTCAGTCATGCGCAGCGTGGGGATCAGTCATGGTCTCTCAGGCGTCTGATCCCCGGATCCCCGGAGTTGCGGGATGTGATCGTAATGGAGACGCGAGAGTGCCTGAAACAGTTGTTGATGACGTGGATACCGGGTGTCAGTTGCTCATGGGCACCGGTTGAGACAGGAGGACAGTGGACCAGCCACGCAGAGAAGAAGGGAACTTGAGTATTAGCAGTATCAACGCAGAGAAGCAGAAGAGAGAGTCGAGGCCATGATGGGAAGCGGTCCTGTATCCAACAGCCTTGCCGCAATGTCACCTGGCTGGTTGCTGGTGTCCCAGTCGAGGTCGCATGATCATCGGAAGCCGACGGTATCATTCTCGCTGGGCAGGTCAGACGGAGTGGATGGGCTCATTTACGCACAGTAAAGGTGAGATATTCAAAGTCAGACGAAGTCATGATTCGGTGATGACAAACCTCGGAACATGTGGAAGGCGGGGAAACTGGTGCGCCTTGTCACGTGCTTGTGTACCCCGCTGGAGTGAGACTGACAACAGTCACTACGCCTTGACGTGCTCGGTTCCGTCCATCATCAACAGCCTAAAGGTGAAATAGAGGGGTTCATGGCCCGGATCTTGGTGCTGTCTCGCCATTGTTCGACTCAGTTGACAATGACTTGCGAATGATGAAAATTGAGAGGAAGGCTGCGGTAAGGCAAGGTGAAGTTGCTCCTTGAGCCGAGTTTACGCACAGATTTCTCGGGATTCCTCTACAGTCAAGGGAGCAAATCGACTATATAGATGTATATGTGGCTGGCTACAACATGCGCTGACAGACACAGGATGCGACACCTATTGTAGGCGCAGCCCGCCACCCTCGTCACGCAACAGGCGCACCCGCATCTCTTTGGCCTTTGCTTCCATTTCTTTCAGCGTGCAGACATTGGAGGAGACGTTTCCATCGCTATTGAGTGCTGAAACGCCTTGTTGGGGTTCTGGCCCCCCAGAAACGCTGCCCGAAGGTGCTAGGAACAAAGCGGCGAGCAGAGAAGATTTCCAGATGGGAGTCCTGCTGCGGAAGCTCGAAATCATCGTCATACCCAAGAGCAAGAGCGCCAGAGCCTGCAAAGCCAAAGGCAGTGCGAGCCACGCCCAGCGCACATGGATGTACGTACTGTCCTGCGTGCTTGCCCCCAATGCCCACGCAATGTTTGCACCGGGGCTTGAGCGGATCTCGGCTGTCATGCTTCTTGCCAACGCATCAATGATGGAGGTGCCACTGCCATCGGAAGACAGTGAGTTGTACAAGGCGTCCATTGCATCTGAACTGTACGACGCCTCCGCGAGGATGGCAAAAGCGTCCCCAACAAGGAGTTTCCGAAGATACGAGCCTACGGCTTGATAGCTGAAGTCGCTCACTGCGAAGTTCGTCTGCTCGTTCGGGGCAACGAACGCTGGCGGAGCGGCGATGTTGTAGCCGACGGTCGAGTTCTCGCGAGGTACGTCAGAAATATATTCGTCACTGACATTTTCTTTGAAGACGCCATTTTGGAAGCTTGTTTGGTACTTCTGTAAGCAAAAGTAGATGCTGCAGTCGTAAGCTCTGATATCATCAGGTGTCGTCGAGAAGTTGGCCTGGGATAAGATGATGGAGAGGTTGATCAGGCTGGCACCGAGGTTTTCCACCACCACCTGGTTGGGCATCGTGTTTGCAGTGGTATTGATCAATCCTCCGTCACCGTCGAGCAGCAGCTGGTTTGGCAGCGTATAACTCCTACACTGGGTGCTGGACCCGGAGCCGGAGCAACCATTCCGAGCCACCAACCGAGTCACATTCACACATCTGCTGCACACCGCTAGCGATGTATACTCGGAGAAAGTGCAATTGCCAGTACTGCATTGAGCGGTTGTCGATGCACGCGTTGCAGCGGCGCCTGGATCGAACAGACCACTATAAGCCGCCGCTTTCATTGTCAGGGGAACGTCTCGGATCCCCAGTAATCCTCCAGGTGCCGCATTTTGATATGTTTGAGTCCGTGGTACTATCGCCGTGGATACGGCAACGGTGCGCAAGGGGTAAGTAATGGCTTGTTGTGTAAAAGGTCCGATGGCGATGGCGGCCACGGTCACCACGGCCCCCACCAAAGCGATATGCCACAACGCCGGAGTGACTATCATCCGCAAGGAACCTCTCACGCCCCTCGAGGCTGCGTCGAACTGCTCGAGCTCGATCAGCGGGCGTCTGTGGTTCGTCAATCTCGTCCACTTGAGCTGGCTGATGCATGACGCGGTAACGGCGAGTAGGCACGCCTTGGACACCAGGGCTAGGGTGGAGATGACGGCGTTGAGAGAAACCCTATGAGGCCATTCTGAAAGCGGCCTATCGTCGTAAACGTGTAGGACGACGATCACGGCAGCCATGCCGGCCAGCGAGGTGATCCAAGCAATTATCTCGACGGCCCATTCGACCGGCCCACAGCGTCGTGGCCCGTGTGGCCTCGGCTGCGCGTGTGTGGGAGAACCCTCAACATTGCCGACTGGAAAGTACACGCTGCTTTCTGCGGTCTTGCCAGGCTGGCGGAGCGGTGTTGACGGCAAGGGTGAGCTTGGGGACGAAGGGAGCATTGGCTCTGACAGGGGTCTTTCGGGTGGGTGATGCATTGCAACAGAACGGATACAATACGAGCAAGGTTGCACGAGAGAAGCCAGAAGACGTACCCAGTACTCGTACCGAGACGACGCACCCCTTCTTTAAACACAGACATGCATTCCATAAGGCAGCGCTGGCGGCGGCGGTGTCTTCGTTAGCGACTTGGCCGGGCATAGTTGGAGGCTTGGATTTCTTGGCCCCCATCGAGGTTGGTGCAAAGATGGGCCTGTTTGCCTTCTGAGGCTCGCATGGTTGCCTTTTCACCACTGGCGGGAGAGTGGTGGCGTGGTTAAGCCTTTAAAGAGGCAGCCTGGGTCAAATATTCTACCCATCTTGGACGGATTTGAAGGTGTCGAGGCTTAGACTTGCAAAGCTCGTCAGTTGCCCAGCAATGGAATGGAATGGAAGGGACAGGCTGGTGACTGCAGGGTGACGGCCACAGATCCGACTGATCCGTGAGACGAGGCATTCTGTGACAGTACTGCTATCGACTTGATGCTAAGTACTGTGATGTGCAGCAATATTAGAGTCTCAGAGAGCACCACCGAGAAGGTGAACGGGTCCTGCTTCCAATGACGCGAGTGCTTCTCGGGGGTTTGCTCATCTCCTCACAGTTACTTACACTCTCCTCACGGTCTCCTCACACCCACCTCACAGTTACTTCACCGTCTCCTCAGCCTTGCCTCAGCGACACAGTGGCAGCCTGTAGGCACCTCTCACCCAACGATTACCCCTCTATCCTCCCCCCCTCCCCTTCCCCTCCCTCCCCACGAACGTGACCAGACAGCATTTCCATGGCTGGCTGGCCCTGGACAGCTGAACCCTCTTCATGCAGACATCTGCGTATCGAGCACACACCATCACGAGTGGTTACAGCAACATCCGCCATGAGGCTGGCTGAATAACAGCGACAGCAAACCCGCCTGTGTCGGTTCCCAAAAGCAGAAAGCGCTACATTTGCCTGCGATCGTTTAGCGACTCACACACGCAGCAGGTTTATCGGCAGAGACAGACAGAACAGACGGACAATACAAATGTCTTTGCTATCGTTCGACCACCTTCGACATCTCTCTGCCCCGATTCGGTCCTCAGCCGCTTCTCTGCTTTGACGCATGGCCATCGCTTTCCCAAACCAAGTCTAGCCGGAGTCTGCTCTCGCGGTGCAGAACCCGCCCACGAGGTGGAACAGACATAACAATGGTAGGCGACACGGTTCCAGGCCAATTCGCTAATCGACGCCTGAGCTCTTGCAGATCATGTTCCTCGCTCGTAATTTTGTCTCCCGTCAGCCTCATCTTGCGCATCTGCGACAACCCCTGCAACAGCTGCCCTTTGCTGTATCTCTGAATGGCCGGCACCTCTCACTTGCAGCACAACCGGCCGCGACATGGAGCAGGGACATCGTCTAGACCCTTCGACCTGAAAATGCACATTCATGCTGCATAAGCCCGTGATGGGTCTCTAGCCAGGTGTACGCTGCGAATCTGATCAGCACTGAACCTCAGCTCCTCGTGGCGGCGCGCCTACGAAGACGAGACACAGATATGGGAAAGGTTGCCTGCCATTGACAAAAGGTAACGTCTCGCGATATATTGCTAAGACGGCCCGGCTCTGTTCTCCCTTTCATTCCAATCCATACTCTCTTTGCTATCCTCACCTCGCCGTCAACCCAGCCCAAGAGCGCAGTCCTAGCCACCATGTCCCTGAACAGTCAAAGTCTGCTGGTAGACCCCACCAAAAGCGCCGCCACAGCAACGCATAATCAAATCGATGGATCACGACCAAGCGATGTCAGCGGCCGAGATGGCGACGGCGACGGCGACGGCGTCCGTGCTGGTGCTCCAGGCGGCCCATCACGGAACATGTCGAGCAGTTCTAGTCCCCCAGCCAGCGACAAGCGCAAAGCATTCCGCCAAAGGATTGGAATTCCTGACGACGGTACGAAACCTCCCCACATTGACCTACAACAAAGGAGCACAAGGAGGAAGCGCCGCCAGCCGCGCAGACCTTCCACCCCACCAGGTAAGCCAGGCTCGCACGAATGACTAGACTGACGATTTCATCGCATTTTCCACAACAGACACCACCCTCGCCGGACACACGCTGAGCGCACACGTCGAGAAAGCTTACCGCGCGCAAACACGGTACTACTTTCTCGTGGCGAGCGCCTCGCACGGCATGCTCTGGCTGCAGATCGGCATCGGCGCCACCGTGACAGCCATCGGGACGACCAACTCGAACGCGGCGCGCATCGCCATCACGGTGCTCGGCGCCATCAACACCGTCCTGGCCGGCATGCTGACGTTCCTGAAGAGCCGCAACCAGCCGAACCGCGCGCTGCAGTTCCGCAACGGCCTGCGCGACGTCTACGAGGACCTGTGGCAGGTCGATTCCGAGACGGGCCGCCCTGACTTTGACGTCGACAGGAAGGTCGACTACCTGTGGGGGAAGTATAAAGAGGTGATCGCGGATGTGAGTTCCCGCCTGCCCTGCCCTGCCCTAGTCTCCCCTTCTCGCGTATCATACGTATCATGCAGGCATGCATATATGATTCGGTTCTGCGCTAACGCTTTCCTCCCTTCCCACCTTGTAGTCCGAGGCGAATTACCCCGACCTGTGGGTCAGCTTGAGTAACACGGGCAAGTCGCCGTCTCAGACACAGAAGCAGAATGGGAGCAGGAAAGGCAGCACCGCCAGCGGGACGCCTCCACCGCCGGGCTCCGGTCATTCTCTGGAGGTGCGTGCACCGCTGTTATCCAGTACGGTGCCTTGAACAGGGCGGGTCAGTTCAAGTTCCGCAGACGACGTGTCACCTGTCAAAGATAAGGAAGACCGATCAGAGTGTCTGTCCGTCTATCTGTATGCTGTGTACCTATCTGTCTGTCTGATCGTGCCTACCTTGGCCAATTCACCCCCTCAATGGACCTGGAGATTCGCGAATGTAGCGACTGTGTCTCGGACCGCTCTGCCCGTATGAAGGGCCACGAATGTGAACTCAATTTCAGAGGGCACGAGCCGAGTAACGGTCGATAGGAGTGAACAGCCCTGCAGTGGACTCATGCTTTCGTGCTTTCAAGTACTGCGCACTGCCGCTACGGTGGTATTGAAACCTGAAGTAGAATGTCATCTCGCTATCTCCCTCTCTTCCCACCCCCCTTTCCTTTCCCGCCACCACTGCCCTTCCCTTTGCCACCTCCACTACTCCCGCCAAGACTCCCGCCCAGCCCGCCTCCCTGCACAATCCTACATCCCTTGACCGGTACGGCCCCGACGATTTCTTCAACCCTCCACTCCTTCAACAGCTCGACCTCGCGCCTCCAAACACGTTCCCTCTCGCGATTATTCTCGTCAACGACCTTCGGCCCCCTGGTACCGAGAGACGTCCAGAATCCCAGAACCTCCTTGACGGCTTTGCCCTTCTTGACCGACCCGGGCTGGAGCTTGATTTTATATTTCTGGCGCGTGAGCGCGTTCCATGGCGCGACCACGGGGATCGCGGCGAGGAGTTCGTCGCCAGGTTCCGGCAGCGGCACGAGCCGGTCGATGGACATCAACTCCTGACGTTCCTGCTCCAGCTGTTCCTTGGACAGTTCGTCCTCTTCATCTAGCACCGCGGTCCCGGCATCGGCGTGTTTCTCCAGCCGCTCCCGCCTGGCGCGCTCGCGGTCCGCCGCTTTTGCGTGCTGCGCCTTTCTCCTCTCTCGGTCGGCCTGCGCTTTCGCTTCCCTGGCCGCCTTGTCCGCTTCGGCTTCCTTGCGCTGTTCCTGCGCGCGATTACTTCCTAGGAGCTGCATTGCGAGGGCGCGGTCTTCTTCGTCTTGGTCGGCGTATTTCTTCGCCGCTCGCTTGGCTTTGCTTCTTTTGCCGCGTGCGAGATGCGCGGGTTTCGGTTTTGCTGACACGGCGTTGGAGGAGGATGCTGGAGTTGACGGGCGGGTTGACGGGGTCGCTTCTTCGGGTGTGTCTTGGGTATCTTCATGGTCGTCGTCGTGATCGTCGTCGATGTCGTCGTCATCATCTTGCCCGGCTTCTTCGTCGTCTCTGGCGGCTGAGATTTGGACGTCGGGGTTCTCCTTGGGGGTGTCTTCGCCGACACTGGCCCCCTGCACTTGCAACGGGTTTGATCTCTCGTCTTCGGCCTCTGAGGGAGCCGATGAGTCGTGGTTTTCGTCCCCATCATCGACCCCAGTGACGTTCTTGTGAGCCTCGTCTAGGTCTACTCCACGATCGTCTTCATTTTCCTCTTCTGCTGCGTCGTCGGCGGCCTCCTCCACATCTGGTATTGCTTGTTCTGGCTGGCCGTCCTGCTCGACTTCACTCTCGGCATCTTGTTCGTCGATGGACAGCCCCCGGGCATCGTTGGCCAGGGCTTCAGCCTCGCCAGACAGCATGCTCTCCGTCCTCTCCAATCGATGCTTGCCGTGGTTAGCCCTGCTTTCCTCGCTGATCAACCACATGACCCCGAAGCCGAGGAGTAACTGGCTTGGCGGTAACAGATTCTTACGTCCTCTAATAATGAACCCGCCGGTGGTGAGATACTCGCCTGTCGGAGCCGTCTTGCTGACTTGATCAGCATTGACCCACCATGCGCCCATCAACGCCTTCGAGTCCCAGGCACTACTCGTACATACAGTCAACGCGCCGGCCTGGGACAGCGTTGACGGAGGAATCGGCGCGTCGGGGGTTCTGGGATTATTCTTCACAATAACACTCGAGGCCCCTTGCAAGTCGGCGTGGACGTAGATGTCACCTTTCTTCAGATATCGCCTATACAGCAATTCATTCTGTTGCGCGTCTTTGCCTCCAATCACCAGATATCCGTCGCTGGAGATGAAATACAAGAACTTCTCGAACCAGAATTGCTTCCGTGCAGGGCGTAGAACGGCCTTTTCCGTTTTCAGGCTCTTCTTCAGGTCTGATTCGATCTTTTGCTCGGCGGATTTGAGGGCTTTCGCCGAAGCCTCCATGGTTCGTTTCTCTTTGCCAGCGGCAAGCTTCTTGTGATCGTAGTATTGGCGTGCATTTGCCCATGGCGAGAGGGCGAGGTCAATGTCGACTGCAAGCCGTCTTTCTGCTTCTGCAGGCTTGTTCATTGGAGACCCTTCGTCCGATTCGGCCTCCTCATCGTCAGTCATGTCTTGCTCATCCGATTCGTAGCCCTCGTCGAAGCTAGGTTCATCGAGTAGCAAAGTGACGGTGTTCTCCTCGAGTTTTAACGGAAGCTTGACCATCTGAGCCACGACGTTCCCTCGCTTTTGCTCGTTCTCGATCAGCTTGCCGATATCCACCCAGTCCATGCCCTGGGCAATCAAGCCGTTGACAGCAGCACATGCCTCTTCGACCCGGTGAGTATTTGCCTCAATTGCTTGTGCCTTCCGGACGTGCACGTCCTGCACCTGTTGCAGACCTGCCAGCCGTTTCTCATGTTCAGTCCTCGTCGCTTCTAACTTCCGCCTGGCCGCCTCTTCTCGTTCAGTCAAGCGGGATTCCAACTTCTGCGACTCGATGGAGGAGTAGAACTCATCGACGGTGCGATTGAATCCGTCAAACTCCAGAATATGAAGGGCAGGCTTATTCTCAAATTGCGCAGGTCGAAAGGGATGGAAGTCATCGTACAGTAGATTGTCTCTGCTCACCTCCCGTTGATCTGAAGGCTGGGTCTCCGTATGCGTCTGCTCCTGTGTGGAGGGAGCTGCCTTGACTTTTGCGATTATGTATCCCTTGGAGTGACTGGCATCCAAGGTGTTGAATATCTCCATGGCACGCTGCAACGCGTTGATGGCGGACTGCAGCGCCTCCGAACTCGCTAGAACAGCATCTGCCTTCTGAGTGGAGTCTGCTCCTGTCTCGATGAAGACATGCTCGAGGAGGTGATAGGGGAGTTCGGGGAAGCCGTCACTCAGGGCTTTCCTCACATCATCTCCTCCTTTTGCTCGCTTCGCCTTCTTCCCACCCACCTCCTGTGCGAGTTTAGCTCGTTGGACAGCCTTCTCCAGCGCCGTCCTCACCCGGTCTTCTGTAATGGGTGGGATGCCGTGGAAATTCTGCTTCGCCTCCAGCGTGTACTTGCTGCCCAGCTTGACGTCCACATCTTCTTGTCCCTCACTGACCTGTCGCTGTAGCGCCAGCACATTCAGATCCGCATCCGTGACTATGATATTCCCGGCAGCAAAGAACTCCAGGAACAATCGATATTGCCCATCGCTGAACGTGATCTCAATCACACGGTCCGTGCCTATCTGGCTCACGGCCGTGACTCGTCTGCTCTTGAGGTATTTCCGCAGTCGACTGACGAATGCGGATGGAGCGGAGGCTGCGGTTCGCGAGAAGGAGGTCAAATGGCACCGGAAGCCTGAGTCCACGAGCAATTGCTCTCTTTTGCCAGGCTTTGCGAATTTGAAGAGGAATATCCGACTGGAAAGGTCGTAGATATTGGAGACGCGAAGGGTGGTAAGGGAATTAGCTAGTTCGTTTGCGATGACCTGGAAAATGGGTTAGAAACCGAGAGGCAATGGAGGGGGGATATTCTGATTGACCTTGACATCGAGGGACGAGAACCGCTGCTTCATGCTGGAAGGTAGTTTGATACGGACGGCGACTGAAGTCTACGTATAATAGAGACGATAGAACGTGTAGGATCGTTATCGTCGCTTTGGAGCGTCTGAACTAAAATGTTCCGAGTCCTTGACGACCTTCACATCCTTCGATGTCGCCATGACGTCGATTTAGTTTTGTGATTCACTGTCCGCGGCGAGGCTGAACGCCCACCACAAGGCTGAGGTTCTCGAGGTCCCCCTCTGCAATTGCAGCCCAGACTTGTGTCTTCAAGAGCCGGTCTCTATCAATGGTGCTTGTCATTCCTTTTCGGCCTTCCTAACGCCATGCAGTGTGCTTCAGCAAAAAATGCCTACCTGCCCAGTCGCAGAGCTTCCATTCGGTTTCGGTCAAAATCACTTCCTCACCCTCCACAGTGCGCACCCTGATCTCTTACAGATTCCGCCTCACAAACTCCATGCCCTGCTTCTTGCCAAACTCCCACAAATTCTGTATGCCTTGTTCGCTCAGGTCGATGTTCTTCATGTTCGGCGCGTCCTGTGCCGGTGCTTTCGACACCCTTGAAGCCACCATGACCGGATCTGTCTCCAATACAATGCCGTCGTCCACGATCTCGTCGATTGCCAGTGTTACCAAGTCGTAGTTCTCCATTATTGTGCGCTTGTCTGTCGAGTTCCTGTGTCGTGTGTCAGTGATTTTCCCGGGCTGCCACAGAGGGTGGACTAAGGCCATACTTGAGTAGAATGCTTAATGTGTCTCTCAGCGCCAGCACAACATTGTAAAGTAGGATCTCATTTTCCTCGGCGCTGCCCACAACATACAGCATCACGTCGCTCTCCATCTTGAACACCACAACTTTGTTGTCGTAAAGTATCACATCCGAGGTTTGTTTGGCAGTTTTCTCCAGCAGCCCTTTCTCAAACGCCTTTTGCTCTTTCAGGCTCGTATACGGCTGCTGCGACGCCTGTGTAGGCTGCTGTGTGGCATTGGTGTGAGGGGGGTTATAGTATTTCGCAAACAGTCTGGCCGAGTCCGGCGGAGAGTCGGTGGTGAGGATGAGGATTGCGACGACGCTGTGCAGCGACATACTGGGCGCCATGATCGTGACGAACTCCCTGATGAATCTTCCACGTGAACAATGTGCAGTAGCGCGGGACGGGAGCCTTGGGAAGCGACTCGACCTCGTCCTGCTTTCTTGAACTGGCCTCAACTGCGGACTTGAAATTGCGGACTGGGTGAGAGAGTCCTCCGTACTAGCCTCGTCCGGCGAAGTACAGTGCGGCTTCACCATTCTCGCAGCCTTGCCACGCCTCGCCTCGCCTCGCTCGGATTTCTCGTCTCGACGCTACCGGCACTCATTCAAACACAATACAAACTGACAATCATGGGCAAATCCTCCAAAGATAAAAGAGACGCTTACTACCGCCTCGCCAAGGAACAAAACTGGCGTGCCCGAAGTGCATTCAAACTCATCCAAATCGACGAGCAATTTGATTTATTCTCCTACGCCGAGCCGGAGAAATGCACGAGGGTGGTAGACTTGTGCGCCGCCCCAGGAAGTTGGAGCCAAGTGCTCAGTCGCATCTTGATCAAAGGCGAGAGTTTCGGCCGACGAGCGTGGTGTGAGAGAATGGAACGCTTCAACCGTCCCCAGATGGCGCAAATGGGACAACAACAACAACAAGAAACTGACCTCGTGGGGGACTTGAACTCTCTCGACCTGGATGTACAGCAGTCCGAACGCGAGCTGAAACCTCGCGCCAACGTCAAGATTGTGGCCATAGACCTCCAGCCCATGGCGCCCCTTGAGGGTATCATCCAACTCCAAGCCGACATCACCCACCCGTCGACGGTCCCCCGCCTCCTCCACGCTATCGATCCGGCCTTCACACCCACAGACAGCACGCATCTCGTCGACTTGGTCATCTCGGACGGCGCCCCCGATGTCACGGGCCTGCATTCCCTTGACATCTACGTTCAAAGCCAACTGCTCTATTCAGCACTAACACTCGCAACCAAGGTGTTGCGCCCTGGTGGGAAATTCGTCGCCAAGATCTTTAGAGGTCGGAACGTGGATTTGATCTACGCACAGTTGAGAATTCTGTTCGAGAGGGTTAGTGTGGCGAAGCCGAGGGCAAGTCGGGCCAGTAGTATTGAGGCGTTTGTCGTTTGTGAAGGTTACAGGCCTGTGATGGTCCGAAACAGAGACGGAGAGGAAGTGCTTTGGACGCCGGAGATTGGAGACGCACCAGAGCCCGCGAATGGAGACATTTCGGAACAAGGGGCTCAGGATAATACCGCCGCGGGAGAAGAGTCCCGTAACGAGCTCACTGCTTCCGGAAAGTCACCAGAACCCGTAGGTGCCAGAATACAAGGACAAACCCGCAATCGGCGGCCTGACGGCGTCGTCGAACTGCATTTCCGCGACGAACAGTCAGATCCAGCAAGGTACATCGCCCCATTTCTGGCCTGTGGCGACCTCTCAGCCTGGGATAGCGATGCTACCTACAAGTTACCAGCAGGCCACGTCAGCCTGGACCCGGTTCAACCGCCAACCGCACCACCCTACAAGATGGCAATCGAACGACGACGAATCGAGGGTGGAATGTATGGCAAGACCAAGAAAAGGGACAAACTCCAGAGCAGCGACGCGGGATGACTACCCGGTGCCTGCGTTCATTGCTTCATATCAAATATCCTTCGTGACTCGTCATCGTACCAAAGTACGCCTATTCACAGGATCCCTAATGGCACCCAGAAAGTCCCGTCCACTCGAGTATCTATAACGATAGACAGTATCCGGAATCCGACCCGTTGCACGAACGCTTGCTTCAATGTTTCATGCAAAAAACAGCTGACCCATCATCGTCCTTGCGCTCTTTGGTAAAACAGAATATAGGCTTCGCCATTCTGCAGCCTGTCTCTCGAACTTAACTTGTTCGGATCCAAATCGACATGTCTCTCATCGTCGAATTTCCTCCAACAGCCGCGACCCTGATCCTTCACAATGGACACGTAATGGCCTCCATCGCCACTATTACCCAGATGCCTCAGCACACCGTACGCATCATATGTGTAAGGCGCCGTGGTAGCCAGCTCCATGTTCATCCGACCGTCTTGGTCTGGTTGAGCGGGCGGGCGAGGGATGACAAAGTCGTCCATGCTGAGGTTTTGCAGAGGAAATTCGATCGGCGTGTGAATCTTCTTGGCTCTCTCGTGCTTCGAGGCAGCAAAACGTTTGAAGTGGATGACCAGGAACTGTGGCAAACGGGTGAGGATGATTTGTTTGGTAGCTTCACGCTCACATTTGCAGTATGGACATCGCCAAAGCTCCGACAGCTTCTCTTCGCGGCAATACGAGGAAAGGCAGTCATAGATGTGGCCAGGACGATCTCGGGGGATCTCCACGCTAATGCTGTAGAAGGCTTCATAGGTGGTTGAAGTCCGTTTACAGGTCAAACAGCGCAGCCGCGAGGCATGTTGGCCAGCAAAAAGAGAGGACATGTAACTGTGGTCGCGGTGCTCGTATCGCTTCCACTCGATTGGGCTGGCTTTGGCGATATCCATTCGTTCCCGTTGCATTTCCTCCGCCGCGGTGAGAGGTCGCAAGGGCGTGCGTTCCCAGTTGACATTCAGGTCTTCGTGCAGACAGTCCACGAGGAAGTCGAAGAATTCCTTCGCGTCCTGTTGACGATCTATCACCCATTCTCGGTTCATCCGGCCACAGAAGTTTCGAAACGTCGACGGTTTGATGACCTCACTATCTCCTTGCCACACGGCCTGGACCAAGTTGGCGTAAAGTTTGGGCATAATGCCGTTGCTGCCTTTCCAGTTGCGCTGCACGTAAGTCTCATAGAGTCGATCGTTGAAAAAATTGGACAAGGGAATGGTCGCCGACAAGCATTGCAATGTGGAGTTCATGTAGCATGTGACACCGAAGTTTGTCAAACCTGTCTTGGGCAGCCTCCTGCGTAACGATGTCACAGTCGAGTACAGAGGTGGTCGAGTCGCAGAGGTGACTCTGGCCAGCGCAGGTTGCGGCGCGTTGATGTCGGCGTGGCCGGAGTAACTGGGTCTGGGGATGGCAGGGGCAGGTCTTGCCGGTACCTGAGGGAGCGGTGTTGGCGGGAGGGGAGCGGACTGTGTTCCAAAGGCAGCAGGATAAGACGCCACTGGCCGCCGAGCTGGCATGATCATCGACTCTTGCTGCTGAATCGAAGGAAAGCGCCGCAGGAATGTCTCATAGTCGGGAATGAAGGGCGACGGTGGTTCTGTTTCGACCTCGATATCTTCATAGGCATCGTCACTGCCCGTCTGAGCTTTCTCGATCGGGGTCACTTCCTCCTGGAGTGCCTGTTGCCGCCAAGCCTCTTGCTCATTCTCGTCCAGGAACTTGTGATCGCGGAGGCGCCTGTTCCGCACTTCGTAGCGGGAATTAGCAGATACCATGCGCTGTCGTGCAATTGGCCGCCCCGCGGCCACGGGTCGCTGTCGCGTCGTTCCTAGGGTGGCCGCCGTCTTTGACCTCACTAAAGATTGTACGCCCATGTAGTCAACCCAGCCATCGAGGCCGCCCGTCAACAGCGCTGGTGGGCGGCCATCCTTCAGAGGCTTGGTGTCATTAAATTCGTAGAGCGTGTCATAGAGAGCTCTCAACGCCGGAGCCTTGGTCAATGTTGGAGGCCCGCTCAGGTAGGAGACATCGCTCGTATTTTGATCGTAATACACCACAAGGTCGAACTCATTCCGCCTAGAGAAGTGAACCTGTTCCGTATCAGGGGCCAGCACAAGTCGATCCTCCAGTTCCTCTGCTGAAACGCCTTCCTTCAAAGATATTGGTTCTATACATATAACCGAAGTAGACATGATATGTCCGTCATCGAACATGGCCCGCTCTCGAATATCAATAAGAAGTACATTGTACTTGGTCATGTATTGCTGAAGCGTCGCCGCGTCAACGACTGTGTGATGAGGTAGGTCACTGGAGCTGTTCTTGGAGACGATGGCGGAGTTGATTCCATTCGGAGTTGTCGGCCGATAGGGAGCAGAGAGCTCGTCGCGGGTCCTCTGGAGATGCAGGGAAGTGGTGGACGAGTTCTGTGACTGCTGATAGTAGGTCTGCTTCCTCTCCGACGGCGGCCGGCCTCCCTCGGCAGATAAGCGACTGCCGATCGTATGAAATCGCGCCGCAGTATTGTCGATCGGGCTGTAGGTGGGACTGGGAGGTTTGGGCATGGCCATGGAGGTGTCCAGGGGTACTTTTGGTGGAGTGGTTGGAACCTTTGGTGGAATCATAGGTCCATTGCTAAATGCCGGATTCGGTCGAGGCCCATTGAGCCGCGAGATAGGCGCCCCGTTTGTGCCCGAATACGGCTGGGATGTGTAGGCTGCACTTTGCTGGAAGTCACTCGCCTTTGGCATGGACAACAACTCTGACTGGTCGCCTGCATTTCCGAGCCCTCTAAGCTTCGCGAATCGTTGACTTAGGTCATTCGAGGTGTCTGTCAGAGGCCGCCCTTGTAGAGTGTCCGGTTTCTGCTTGCTGGTAGGACGTGCACGTTGTATTCGCAGAGTCTCGGGCAGTCCTGACTGAGGCGAGCCCGGCCGAGGATTGGCATCGTTGCTCCCAGAAGAGGTTGGCCGACCAGGCACCAGGTTCGGGGGGATTCCGAAGCCACTGGAATATACGGGCTTCCGAGGAAGTGCGCGGGACTGCGGTTGAGTGCCGTGGCGGGCATTGTTCTCTTCGATCAACGCTTTGACCCGTGTCATTTGGCCCTCCAAGTCCGTCAACTTGTGCCGCGCAGCCTTATATTTAGCCCTCCACTGTGGGTTGGAATCCCAAAAGCCATACTCTTTGTGTGTTGGAATATGATTGACGGCGATCTCGTATGCTCGAACGTAGTTCTTGTAGGCCAGATCGTGGCGGCCAAAGTCGACGGAGCTTTTTGCCACGGCAATACAATTTTCGACTTCATTCAAGTACTGGGTGAGCGAGCCACCATCTTGAAAGGAAGCGGTGGCGTCTTGGACAATGTCTCTAAAGTGAGGATACACCTTGCCTATGCCCGGACCTGCATTTGGCCCCGAGTCTCGAGGATCGGTCCAGCTGCTCCTGGCGCTGCCGGCGGTAGAAGTGGTGTGGGAGGAGGATATGGAGGAGGAGGATGCGTACGCCGCCATGGCGATATCTAGGCTTTGTTCACCGGAGGATCATTGCGCACGAGCTCGGGCCGAGTCGCTTGTGTGAGAGGGTTCTAAATATAACTGCTTGATGTTGAGCGTTCAGCGATGCAAAGAGAACAGTGAGCATCGAGACTTGAAGAGGGGACGGAGTGACCTCGAATAAGACTCCAAGGGCTCGTTTGTCCAGTGGTGACAAAGGCCGTTCTGTTTGTCAGAAGTCACTTCGATACATGTGAAACGAGGTAAAAAGATGTTTGAGTTGCCTGTGAATGTCTGGGGGCCGCAGATCAACAATGGAGACGGAACGGAGACGGCGCAGGTGGATGGCGATTGTCTCTCCGAGCGTCTCATGCCTCGTCACCACTCTTTGACGCTGACTGTACGAGTATGAGGGTAACTACGGCGAACGGCTACGGAGAACCACTGCGGAGAACCACTCGTGCCACTACGGCGACGCGGGGGAGCACAGGGAGAACGGCCTGTGGCTAGTGACCTGTCTCCCTGTCGTCTGTGGTTGGTTGCCATTGTGGCGGCTGTGGCGGAAGCGGCGCGTAGACAGTCGCAGACATCATTCCGCCAACGCTTTCGACCAAATATATGCGGGCCACTACTTCTGCCTCATCTCCTTCATCTCCTTTCCACATCTAGCTTGCGTAGCTGAAGTTGCTCTTGTTGAAGCAAGGAATCAGGCCCGGCGATAGTCCTTTGCTCCAGCCGGTGATCTCCTCGTTGATTCCACCTCTCCTTTCCAAGTCAGGTCCCCCATTCTCCCGCCATGGCCGGGTGGTTCACGTCAGGCACGTCTGTGCTCGACGAGCAGATCGACAAAGCGACGTCCTCGAGCTTGGAAGATATTGCGACATCCCTCGAAATTACCGATCTCATCCGGTCGAAAACAGTGCAGCCTAAAGATGCTATGCGGTCACTGAAGAAGCGAATAGGCAACAAGAATCCCAACATCCAGTTGTCCGCCCTGAAGCTCACGGACACATGCGTCAAAAACGGCGGCTCGCATTTTCTTACTGAAATTGCCTCACGCGAGTTCATGGACAACTTGGTTTCGTTGCTGAAAGCCTACGGACCCGCCGCAGTCAACGAAGAGGTCAAGCAAAAGATCCTTGAACTCATCCAGACCTGGGCCAGCGCAACACAGGGAAGATACGATCTGTCATACATCAACCAGGTCTATCAGAGTCTGCAAAGAGAGGGCTTCAGTTTTCCGCCCAAGGTCGACATCTCCAGCACCATGCTGGACAGCAGTGCACCCCCCGAGTGGACTGACAGCGATGTCTGCATGCGTTGCCGCACGTCCTTCACTCTTACAAACCGAAAGCACCATTGCAGGAATTGCGGCAACGTTTTTGACCAACAATGTTCCTCCAAGTCCATCCCTCTACCCCACCTGGGCATCATGCAACCAGTCCGAGTAGACGACGGCTGCTACGACAAGCTGACCAAGAAGCTGGGCGGAGCCCCAGACCGTCGAGTTTCTTTTGCGGCCAAGCCGAGCGCAATGCAACCCCGGAGCGCCCGAGTTGACACCAGCTTCGATGAGGACCTGAAGAGGGCATTGGAGATGAGCCTTGAAGAAGCAAAAGGAATCTCGGGCTCAGGTTATATCCCACAGTCTCAAACAAAGCAAGAGCAGGCCAAGACAAACGGTGCAACCAATAATGAAGAAGATGATCCCGACCTCAAAGCTGCTATTGCACTGTCGCTCAAGGAAGCTGAGGAGCAGGCCAAGAAGCACGCTGCGAACCTCAAGAAAACCACGACGAATGGAGCAACCTCGACCCAGCCTTTCGTTATGCCCAAGAGCGACTACGAGTTGTCGGTCATGGAAGCTGAGAACATCAACCTGTTCGCAACATTGGTGGATCGATTACAGCATCAGCCGGCAGGCACCATCTTAAGGGAACCGCAAATACAGGAGCTTTATGAGAGCATTGGAAAGCTTCGGCCAAAATTGGCGAGGACGTTAGGCGAAACCATGTCCAAGAACGATGCATTGCTTGATTTACACGCAAAATTGTCCACCGTCGTTCGCTACTACGACCGGATGCTTGAAGAGCGGTTGAACAACACATACAATCAGAGAAACCCAGGCTATGCTGCCTACTCCATGCCCTCCCCTGCGGCTCCCCAGGGCTCCAGCATGTACCCATCGATAGCGGCAGCGCCACCGTCTTCCATGAACACAGGTCCCGGCGGTGCAGAGAATTACTATTTCAGCAATGCATCGCTCGACTCGTATGCTCCCCCCTCCCAGCCCACGGCACTACCGCAACCTCAACGGTCATATTCATACTCGAGTCAGAAGCAAGAATCTCCAGCCGCTTCGTACCAACATCCAACTCACCAACCACAGCAGCAAGCCGGCCAGCAGCAACCATACTCGTTCCAACAATCTCAGCAGCCTCCGTCTATGTACCCCCAAATGCCACCACCCGAACCTCAAGCTACTCCCACACCCTATGCTCAGATGCCGCAGATGCCTGCCGAAGCTCCTACCCCCCAGCCACAGACCCAGCCTGTTCAACAACATCAACCTTCTCAGCAGTTGTCATATCCGCAGCAGCATCAATCTATGCCGCCGCCTGGACAGTTCAACCAACCCCCTTCGCCTCAAATGTACCAGCAGCCCCCGCCTCAAACTCAGCCCCAACAATACCCTCCGCAGCGAACCCAACAGTCACAACAATATCCTCCTCAACAACAGCACGCACCAGCGCAACCTCAGCAGGCCATGTCGACGGGAGGTTCATACAGTGCGCCACATCCCACTTATACTCAGAACCAATTCCCGGCCGCGCCACAACATACTCCAGCTTCGTATGGTCAACCCCTTCAGCAACATCAGCCGCAGCCTGTAGCCGTTGAGGAAAGTCTGATTGAGCTTTAAGGGTTTGCAACCTGAAACAGAAGCATGGGCCTAAATTGAATGTACCCTGAGGGATTTTGCACGAATTCAAGGAGTTACATTCGGATAACAATTCGAGCATGTGGTCTCATTTGCTTGCGTTTGTCTGGAAAACCTAACGACGGTGATGATAAATTGAATCTCGACCCCCAAGGGTGAGCTTTATGAGCTTATATCCTGCCTGTTCGGAATGCGGGCAATTTCAGGGATGACATGGAATCTCGATTATGATGCGTCAACAGCTACGGAGACTGTAGTGTCTCTCTCAACCCGATGAATTGCATCCCGAACTTGGCCAGCAGGAGCCGCATTAATACTGGCCCATCCATGCGTGTGCATATGATTTTGACGCTCAGAACGCGTCTTTGCAAGGTCCACGTCTTCAGGCTGACGTTAGCATCGACGAGCATCAAAGAATTATCCGCATTGGTGTCCATGGTCTAAATGTGCCCTACCCATGCGCCTTTTCATCAACCATCGGTCTAGCTACAGTTCATCCTTTCTCCTCACCTCTCCGTCACCCACTGTATCCTTCCCGTCCGCCTTCCCCAGCGAATCCTTGACCATCAACGCCATAATATCCACCAGCAAATCACTCGCCGCCACGCTGGTCACCTCTGCGACCGTATCATACGGGGGACTCACCTCGACTACGTCAGCGCCGACCAGCCGAATCCCCTCGAGACCCTTGATGAACCGTTTGACCTCGCGCGTCGTCCAGCCACCGGACTCTGGCGTGCCCGTCGCGGGCGCGATGCTCGGGTCCAGGACATCGATGTCGATGCTCAAATACACAGGGTTCGTGGTGCCGACGATGGACTTGACACGCGCGGCAATGCCGCTCATGCCGCGCGGGTCGTCATCGATCTCGTGCGCCTCGATGAGCTCGAATCCGACGACCTGCTTGTCCGTCTCGTAGTCGGCGGGGCTGAACAGCTTGGTGCGCAGGCCGCCGTGCACGGAGCTGCCCTTGGCGATGCAGCCCTCGCGCGCCGCGTGCCAGAAGAAGGTCCCGTGCGTGATGGCCGACTGCTCGCTGACGATGCCCGTGTACCCGGCGTAGGGGTCCCAGGTGTCGAGGTGCGAGTCGAGGTGGATCACGCTGATGGGGCCGTAGATGGTCTTCAGCGAGCGGAGGACGGGGAGCACGATCGAGTGGTCGCCTCCCAGGCTTAGAATGCGGGGATGGGACCACTCGTTCAGGCTACTCATACTACTAGAGGCGTTGGACGTGGACGTGGACGTGGATGTGTTGTGGTAGAGGATCTGGCGGTATCCTTGCTCCATTTGGCGGAACGCGTGCTGGGCGTCGAAGGGCGTGATGGGGATGTCGCCGCAGTCGACGATGTTGAGGCCGCCGTCCGTGAAGGGGTCAATGCCCCATACCGTGTTGTACGAGCGGCCCTTTTTCTCGCGCGAGCTGGCAGCGCGGATGCCTCGTGGCCCGAAGCGGGCGCCGGGGCGGTACGATGTAGACGTGTCGTAGGGAAAGCCTACGATTGCGATGTCGAGCGGAGAAGTGTGGCTGGCCGAGAAGCACCGGTGCCAGGGAAGGTGGGCGAAAGTGACCGGTTGAGAGAAAGGAAGGTCTTTATCCAGGTCTTCGAGCGCGTAGGGGTAGTTCGGGCCCACTGAGAAGGACAGCGGTGGTTCTTCTTCCGAGGAGGCTGTATCATGATGGGAGTGGGAGTGCGCGGTGATGGCACGGAGCGAGAGCAGGATGACGAGGAGGGTCAAATTCAGCTCGAGACTGAGCGCCATTGTTGTTGGTGCCGTAGTATGTCAGGTCGGTTGTGGTTGAGTTTTCAGCCTCGCAATCCCCAGTGTGTCGTCCCTCTTCCCAGCGGGTGGTGTCCTATGAGTCTGTAAGCGCTTCCAGTCGACCTCCTCGAACCATAGCGCGGAGCCGTACTGGCTTGTCTTTATACTTGGCCTACCCATGCTGGTCGCGGGGAAAATTCTGTTCCGAGTTATGACCATGGCATTGGAATCGTGAGACCCAGGACTATGCGGACGGACAACTCCTTGATACGATTCTACCAGACGCCGAGGGCCATGCAGCTGAGATCTCCGCGCTCCACCTTGTAACCGCGTCAGATCCACAAGGTCCGCCTCCTCGAGGCTATATGGGACCACTTCATATAGCCGTTGGTCTGCCTGGACAGTCGGGTAAAGTTAGACGACTACCTTGACGCGTACGGCTGCTGTCAGTAACATGGGGTACAGTGGAGGAGGGTCTGTATGATGAATGGATGATGTCGAAATGGAGATGGTGGACAAGTCCGTCCTTTCTTGACGCCATTTAGTCGAGTATATGTCCTTCTATCCAACCCTCGAACTTTTGTCCCGCCCTCATTTATGCCGTTGAGGGCGGATTCTATAATTTCGATGCCGTATCGCTGGAAGAGACCAGAGAGGAGAGCTCAATTGAAGACGACGGTCTTATGACCGTTCAAAAAAACTCTCCGCTCCGACCACCATTTGACCGCGGCGGCTAGTACCTGACTCTCGACGTTGCTGCCCTCATCGACAAGCTCCTTAGGAGTCATGTTGTGGTCTACTCGTGTCACTCTCTGCTCAATGATAGGACCTTCATCCAGATCGGCAGTCACGAAATGGGCCGTCGCTCCTATAATCTTGACGCCTCTATCAAACGCCTGGTGGTACGGCTTCGCACCCTTGAAGGACGGTAAGAAGCTGTGATGAATGTTGATGATCTTGCCGGACATTGCCTCGCACAGGGTCGGCGACAGAACTTGCATATAACGAGCCAGCACGACCAGCTCAATGTCATGCTCCTCGATGAGGTCAAGGATCCGACTCTCTTGCTCGGCTTTTGTGTCCTTGGTGACTGGGAGATGGTGGAAAGCGATATTGTAGCTTTGGGCCAGTGGCTGGAAATCCGGATGGTTTGACACGATGACAGGCACATCGATGGCCAACTGGCCCGTCTTCTGTCGGAAGAGAAGGTCATTAAGACAGTGTCCGATCTTCGAGACCATGATCAGGACCCTGGGTTTCTCGGCAACGGGCCTCAAGTGCCAGTCCATGTGGATGTCGGCTGCCAGTTGGTCCAACGATGGCATGAGGAACTTGGTATCGGGTGCTGGGCCAAAGTGCACTCTCATAAAGAACTTCTCCGAGGTGCGGTCACTGAACTGCTGCAGGTCAAGGATATTCAGCTCATTTTTGGCGAATAGCCCCGTCACAGCGCGGATAATCCCAGGTTTGTCCGGGCACGATAGCGTCAAGATATGATCATGAGCCATCTTGGTGACAATGGAAGATTCTTCAATTGAGCTCCGACGAGGTCTGCTGAACACCAAGGTCCTCGATTTCGTCAGTGCAGATTGGACACGACCAAAGCTGGGGGACACAAGTCTCGGACTTGCAAGTCTTGCTCTCGCCAGATGAAGAACCATCTGCCACTCTGCACCTGATTTCTTCAAGTCTGCGTGACTGGGACTCCCGAAAAATTCCTTCCAGAATGGCGCCAGCATACGTTGCACTTCGTCGTAGAATTTACCCCAATTCCTTCGTTGGAGCATTTGGCCACAAGCGATCAACCAGTGGCTGTAGCCTGGCTCTTGTATCCACCAATAGGCAGAGCTAGGCAAATGCTAGGCAACCTTCCCCACTTCCGGGCGCGAAACCTTCGTCTCACACAGGCGGATGAGCGTGCGAGTCAACACCATCCCTTACCACCCACTCACCCTCCCACTCACCCACCACTTACTCCGCACTCAGCCATTGAAAGCTTGAATCTGGAGGTCTGGCGCCTGTAGGTTTGAAACCGATTCCTCTTAATCCAGGCTGCCGCACCCGTTCACGCCTTCTCGCTCTCCTGAGTCTTCGTGCGGCTGCCACGTTCGTTGCAGACTTCAACGGCAGTGGATCACCACGGCCGTTCAGTCTTGCGCGACTTCACATCTCTCTGGATCGTATATATAACCCTCTTTTCACTTGACCTTGGAGCAGGTCGACCATTTAACCGATTGCCCTGCTCGTCACTGTCGGCTTATCTGTATCTTCGTTTTGCTCTCATCATCCACTTGTCTTCCACCTCCAGGCTCACTTTCATTTCAGTTCTCTTTCATCTCCCGGTCACTCCCAACGACCTTCGTCATGGCGGCAATGGAGCTTCCCCCACTCCCAGTGCCCATTAGTGACTTCGTCAGCTATGTCGACAAACACCCAAAGGTCCCGGCCGGCGTGGCTGAAGCCGTAAAACCGTTCAAGGCATTCGAAAACAAACTGAGAGAAGTCTATGCCCAGCAGCCCGAGCATCCGGCTGCAGCTGCAAACCACTTGCTTCCCGTCTTCGATAACGACATCTTGGCTGTTAGAGCGAGAGATCTTGCCAACGAGTCTCCGGCTGAACAGGACAAATACCTGCTCGCCCTCCCAGAAGAGATCCGCAGGAAGAATGGTACACCCGCGACCGTTCAATCCCTCAAAGACTTCAAGACAAACTTCAATCTATTCTCGGAGTCGGCCTTGGTCGACTTGGACTGGAGCAATGTTGTCTGTGCCGGGTCCGCTGTGGTTACGTCTTTGCTGCCGGTTGATGCCCCTCACAACGAATCTAAGGTATTGCCTGCAATCATAGCCCACTTAGAATTTTCTGACATGATTTCAGCGCGCGCTACGCACGTATTACCACGAGGATCTTGCTCCTGCCTCTGATGTTGATCTGTTCTTGTACGGTCTGAACGAAGAACAGGCCATGGAGAAGGTCAAGCAGATCGAAAGCAAGATTCGTGACAGCATCTTGGCCGAGACAACAACGGTGCGCACCAAGAATGCCATCACTATCGTCAGTCAATATCCGATTCGTCACGTTCAGATTGTCCTTCGCCTGTACAAAAGCGTTTCGGAGATCCTCACTGGATTCGACGTTGATTGTTCGTGCGTCGCTTACGATGGCAAGCAAGTCTGGGCATCCCCAAGAGCGCTGGCCGCCTTCATGACCCAGATGAATACCATTGACCTCAGCAGACGATCGCCTTCATACGAGAATCGCTTGTCTAAGTACTCACGCCGTGGCTTCGAGGTCTACTGGCCTTTGCTTGATCGCAGTCGAGTTGATCCAACCATTTTCGAGAGGTCTTTCTCAAGAGTGCTGGGACTGGCAAGACTGCTGGTTTTGGAGAAACTCCCGCACCCCAACGACAGAGACACCTATCTCGCCAAGCGTCGAGCCGAGCGAGGTCGTCCACCATTGCCTTGGAATGCCCGGTTCCGCCACGAGCTGCCAGGCAATGTCAAAGATGCGCAACCTGAAGATGTTGCTGAGTGGGTGGAAGAGGACGAGGTTTCCAATTACCATACTGTCACCATCCCGTACGGTCCGAGGTACCATGCCAAGAAAATCGAGAAGCTCCTCTTCGTCAAGGATTTGCTTCTCAACGCCGAATGGAACAAGTCGAAGGACAGAGAAACGCAGCTGCACCGTCATCCGGCGTTCTTTGGTTCTGCTAATGATGTCCTTCATGACTGCTGTGGCTTTTGTCCCAAGCCTGTCACTGATGAAGATTTGGCAGCCTTCGAAGAGGAAAGCAAGATTTACATCTCTGGAAGTGTTACTTTCCTCAAAGACGACCCTGGCAGACAGGCCATTGGGAGCTTCAATCCTATCACCGATGACGACTGGACAGAGATGGCGTACGTCGGCAACACTACTAGACTGTGTCAAGCAATCGTCGATCTTGATCTCGACGCTGTCAGAGACTGGTTCTCTTCTCCGGAAGTGGTGGATGTCAATCGAAGAGACCACACCGGCCGTACGCCTTTGCAACTCGCTGTGATGTGCTCGACTCCCGAGATCGTCCAGTGTCTGATTGAGCACGGCGCCCGCCTGGTAGCGCGATTGTATAACGGCATGACCGCTCTGCACCTGGCTGCCTACCGTGGGCAAGTGCAAATGGTGAAAGACATTCTCGACAAGAGCGAGGCTAATGAGGAAGCGGAAAACGCGAAGGAAGATGCACGCAGAGATGCACGAAGAAGTGCTGCTGTAGCAGATACCTCCTCCTCCGAAGATGGGAGCCATGAGCAAGACTCCAGCGCGGACGACTCGTTTGATTCTGCTGAGGATTTCAACCATGAAAACGAACCAGATGATGTGACTGAGGGTTCTTTCGTGAAAGTCAACGACAACGTCAGCCCCGATGAGGATGGTGGTGAGGACGAACCAGATGTGTACGATGTCGACGTTCTAGCTTGGGACAGCCCGCTTTCGCCGCTTCACCTCGCTATCTTAGCTGGCCATTTGGACGTCATCGAGCTTCTGGTTGACAAATATGGCGCCGATGTCCTCCTTCCGGTCAAGATTGCGGACGAATACAACCGAAAGCAGGCCAAGGCCGCGATACTCAGCATCACCTTGGCTCTGGAGCTGCCCCTTCAACAAGCAAACGAGACCGTGAGAGCCCTTCTTGGGCACGGAGCAACATTTGTCCAGGCCGATATGAAACATATCTCCGCCCTCAACTATGCTGTCAACAGTGCAAAGACACTCATCCTGGAGACGATGCGCTCTTCAGATCCATCACACTTCTCTAGCGCGTGCAACTTCATCGCCATCTCTGGATGGTTGGACACCGCCAAGGTCAATACTCCATTGTTGACCGGTATCCGGACTGGAAAGCCAGAGGTCGTCGACAATCTTGTTCGTTGGGGAGCCAAAACGCATATTGACTTCGAATCATATGCACAAGCCTACAGACGTAGTTTCGATCGACCCTCAAATGACCCTGAAAGAGTGAAGAAGACTTTTCAGAAGACCGTCGAACAGCCGATCATTGTTGCACTGCAACATGACATGGTGGAATTCGTTGCTCAGCTTGTCGAGGCAGGCGAAGATGTCAACACTTTGCCCACCAAAGCCTACAAGTACCTAGAGTACCAATACGCATCCTGGAATTCAGCTGGAAAATCTCTACTGGACCTTGTCGAAGACCGTATCGCGTCTCTTCGTCAGTACTTGCAGCCCGCGGACGCGCACACACTGGCAAAGCCGGCAGCATTAGACGAGGATTCTGTCTACCTTGATGGCTATGAGGCAGGGTCTTACTCTTACTGGACCGCCTTCGAAGATCTCCGTGCCGCCAAATCACTTCATCAATACCAGACGAAGCAATACGAGAAGGAGCTCAGTGCGAAGAAGCGATCTTCGGATGAGGCACGAAAGAAAGCCGCCATTAACAACACGATTGAAAAATTAGTCAACCTCAAATCGAAGCTTTGTGAACAGGGTGCCAAGTCATTCTGGGAGCTTCATCCAGAGGTGCGGAAAGAAGAGGAACCGCACCATCTCCCTTACCGCCTTGGCTTCAACCACCACAGCACAGAACCCTACAAGACGAAGATCTCTTTCAAAGTACCTGATCTGACTCCGGAGAAGGAGGCCAATTACATTAAACTGTTCGAGGCTGCATGGCATGGGAACGTGGAAACACTGAAGTCACTCTGCCTCCACGGCGACCGCCCTCTTCATATCGCAGTCTATGATCTCCGTGGGTTCAGTCCCTTTGCGATTGCAGCAATCCGTGGTCATTATGAGCTGGCTCGAGTCATCGTCGAAATTGCCAAAGCACAATATCAACCGGACGACAAGTCGGTCCGATACCATTACCGTGTCTGCACCAATGAAGATGACAGCTGCAGCGATGAAAGCAGTGATGACGAACGTTCAGAAGGCAGTGACCACGTGAGACTTCACGCAGAAATCGTTGATGAAGCTTTCACAGTGAAGGACGTTGCGGCACTGGAGGCTACCACCGTCAAATCCCGAGTTTCACCATCCACCATGGTCGCCTGGAATTGTGAGGTTGCTCGTGCGTTGCGGGGAGATGTTGACCAGCGCCAGGTCAAAGATGTGTTTGGAGGTAACTTTGGAGACCATCATGTCTATATCGGTGACCAATCCAAGCAGTCCTGGGCATGGTTCAATGCAGTGTTTGGAGCAACAGGCCAGGCGATGCAGCGCTCTTTGGTCCGATATGCGATCGTAAGTTCTCCCCCACTCCTCAAAGTCTGGGTCTTCTGCAAGACAGTCAGTACTGCTGTTCTATCAGTGTCATTTGGCTAATGGATGTCGACAGTTCACCGATGATATGACTCTCCTGAAGTTCTTGATCAAGATTGGCAACGAGTTGGCAACCCAGATCCCGGATGGCAAAAACGACAGCCTGAAAGTCATGCAGATCAGCCAAGACGATTTCGGCCTTGCAGTACGACTAGGTCGAGTCGAAATGATCGGTGAAATCATCAAGTCGACCGGCTTTGGGCTCCCCCTGCAGAAAGTTTTCCAGAAGTCTGGAATCAAGCTGGAGGAAAAGCCCAAATACTACCAGGGTCTCAGTGTGCGTGGCCGGAAACGCCAAGATTGGGCGGAGGCAGGTCGAGGGGGACGGCGTTCCCGCCGTGTGGAGTCCGATGTGGGAGTGCCTCTCCTTGCTGCTGCCATCGAAGGCAACCCTGATTCCACCGAGTTCTTCCTCACAGATGCACCACTGCGCCGATACCTCGAGTTCGCAGAGTCTCTCAAAGATGAAAAGCGCATACAAGCATTGGCACAAGCGAAGGGCGGTATCAAGGGCACCTTGAGTTCCTGGCTCTCGACGCGCAACCAACTGGTGCTGCATGTTGGTGTTTTGTCGCCACCACAGAAGGATGGAAGTCAACCCACTTTTGATCTCCTCCTCGAGAAGATGCCTGATGCGTTGGAAGTCCGCGCAGGAGACGGCAAGACGCCGCTTCATCTCGCGTTCGAAGTCCAGCGATATTATGCGGCGAAGAAGTTGATTGCAGCTGGAGCCAACCAAGCCACCAAAGATCGCGTTGGACGCAACATCATGCACACCATTCTCGACACCATCCCGGTCGACAAGCCGGCGTTCCTCGGGTCCGTGATCAATATGCTTGACAAAACAGTTGTCGTACCTTTACTACTGGAGCGGTGTAGCACCATCGAATCCACCGGCAACACACCTCTCGCAGTGTTCCTTGGTCGCATCACCAGCCGTACTGGCTGGGAAGAGTCTCTCAAGCTTCTGCTGTCTCTCTCTGGGGGCAAAGACCTCGAGAAGATGGACGGAGCAGGTGACTACCCATTGCACACTGTAGTGCGCAAGAGCCACCGAGAGCTCGTTCGCTTCATCGTCGAGTTCCGCCCAGGCCTGCTGCATTGGGAAAACGCTACAGGCATGACCGTGTCCGATATGGTGACCACAAGTTACTTGCGCCATCAGATCGATCATCCTCCGACGTTAAGCGAATCAGAAAAGCGACACATTGAAGATAGACCAGCCAGTGACTTCAAGGACACCGCTGGCCCCAGCAACACCGAAGTTGAGAATGAGGACGAAGACGACGATGCCAGCGGCCGCAGCAACGAGTGGAAGATGCGTCGCTTCATCAACGCCCTTCTGGCCAAATATCCGGCGAAGCGCAAGCTTGTGGGCCTCCACGACGCCAACGAAGTCGCCAAGCGGTTGGCTTTGCAGCAGCAGAAGCAGAATGAGGAGAATCGTCGTCGTGAGAGACTGGGGTTAAAGGCTGCCGGGCTGAGACATCAGTACCACTACGACAATGGTGTGGCGGACACGACCGAAGACCCGCAGGACGAGGTGGCTGACTATATCTCTCGAGGTAAGGGCTTCATCAAGTGGGATGAGATGGTCTGGCGGAAGACCGAGGCTGGAGAGACGACGGGTTCGGACGGGAGGGAGATTGAGAGAGAGTATGATGCCGATCTCCAGGACAGTATGTGAAATTGCTATGCTTGATGGAAAAGGTGCGGCTCGAATACAAGGGTAAGTGATCACATTGTCCTTGAAACGGGTCAGTTACTCACTAACACGGACAAACAGGCTGTCAGATGGTGTAATGCAGGACCAACCGGCGGGCGATTCATGCCAGGAGGAATCAATCATTACGAGTTGGGAGTAATCAGCCATGACATGCCAGGTGCATGCTCGGGCAATCACTCATTACATGCAGGTACAATACTGTGGTGCTGGGGCATCAATCAGTCGTTACAGAACCAATTCATTCCATCCTATCCGTCCGTTTGTCGGCATCCTCAATTCTCTTCCATGCTGTTGTAATCCCACCTCCTCTCCTCCTGTCACCTGTTCCCGACGCCTCCACGACCCTAGCACCAACGGCTGGCATTCGCGCACTAGCCCATGGAAACGGCAGTGGAAGCAGAGGGGGGGAGCCTTGAATCATTGGATCCCGACCGAGCAGAGTAATGAAGCATACAGAGCTACAGTATCACACTGCTCCATATATCCAAGCGTTGCAGGCTGCAGGACACCAAAACGTCCCCAATATTGTATGGCTCCATCTGTGTGTAAGAAGGGGTGCTTGCTGCCTGGGGTACTGGGACAGGCACCGCTCCGTCAATGGAGGCTGGTTCGGTGGAGCCGAGAAGAGGTAGCCATTACAGTGTCCTGATCCAAGAGTATAGACCGTGCTTTGCGACGGAGGATACGGCGCCGTCGACAGAGCGTGGCCTGGCCTCATGGAATCAAAATAGGTAAGGCCATGATACTGCTCCACGCGTCCAGCCGGCTGTGGCTGAAGAGGAGCGAGGCCCATCCATCTGACTCGGCCAGCACGTCGATATTCTGCGGTGGTCTTGATCAAGATTCCCTCCCAAACGCTGGTCGTCGTCGGTGCTTGGAGGTACTCCGTGTATCCCGTCATAGCCTCAGAGCTGCTATTGTTCGGTTGTGGGTGGACTTTGTTACTTAGTTGTCGCCCTAGCCATCACCGATGGGGCCCTTCGGGATGCTCCCTTTCATTCACCACTCGCACGCCGTCTGGGTCTGTGGGTTTCCAAAAGCAGCCTTCTCGTCTACACAGTACCGTAATTTGGTGTGTCCTTCCTGTGTCATCTTGACGGCATGCTCATCGCGGAGTTCCAGTTCTAATGACTCCACCATTTTCCAATAGCTTTTCGCAATATTGCTTGCGGTGTTGGCTCTCTCGGTGCTCATTATGTGCTGGATCGTTCCGGAGCTGCTTCTTCTGCTTTATGTTGACCTTGGCGCGGTGTCGTCGAAGTTGCTCTTCATCTTCGGCGCTTTGTATTTGTGTGTCATTCTAGGATATGTACGGCTTGACTTGTTTGCCGCTTTCGGCCCTTAAGACTGCGATAGGCCTTAGTATGACATGCCCGGCTGTGATAGGATGTTCCTGGGATCTCTGCTGGCTTCCACGAAGGAACGCAGGTCTTGTGGGAGACGTGCGGTCCTCATCTGGCAGAGTACGGGACTGGCTACTCTGAGCGACCTTTTCGTCTTCTTAGACATCCATCCTGAAGACGTCTTCGGCGTGCTTGTCGCGGCTGGCGGCGAAGTCATCAATGTTGGCAAAATCGGTTTCAGGAAGGGCCCCCAAGTGCGGTACTGCCAGTGATACCGAATGTCTCTCCCGATGCGGAGGATTCACGTCAGCCGCCCCAAGCTGTTCTGACTTGGTTGTTTCGTCGTCGCTACCGTGGTCCCGCAGTTGGTCTCGCACTTGGCTCATGGAGCTGTCTTCATTTTGCCACGGAGATTCATCGAGGCTCGCGGCCTTGTCCCCTGCTTGAAGGTTTGCCTCGTCCTGAATCCTCCTCCGTACGTCACGGGCGAAGTTGCCTTCGCTTTGTATCCGAGTAAAAAGATCAGCGATGATGATGGCTTTCCCATCCTGTTGAGGTTTGCCAAAACGATCGGTTAACTCTGCACAACTGCTTTGGAACCCGTCACCCCCACCACGTAAGCGAAGACAAGAACTATCGAGGAGCGTTCCATCTTGTGATTTCTCGGGTGTAACCTATACACCAGCTTCCAGGCAATCAGCGAGCACGGACTGAAGGCCGGTCCGATCGTGCGACCCGACGCCTTCCCAGCCATAGTTGTCCGAGCTGTTATCGGCATCCATCGGATCATCCACGGGTTGGGTGTACCCGTTGGTCAATTTCCCTTTTGTCGGCCCCCGTTCCATGAGCCATTGGTCATAGTCGTAGTCGGCCGAAGCATTGGTGATGCTGAAGCCGAGGAGAGGATTGCTGTTCCAAGGGAGCGGGCCAACTTGGCCAGTGAGTTGCAGTTCCGGCATGCCCATAGGTCGTCTGGCGTAGGCGGTTTGAGCTTCGATGGGCAGTAGGTTGTCGTCTCTTGTCTTTTGAAGCCTACCTGCCTCGAATTCGGCCTCTTCGAAGACAACTTTCTTCTTGTACGATTTCGTCATGATGCCCTCGCCGGCGGAGTGGTTGTAGCGTGGACCGTTCGAACGTGTTCGATTGAATACCTCACTCAGCACGCCCTTGAGGTACGCCTCGGCGGCCACGTTCACCAGCTCGGCACACTGGACGGAACAGCCCTGGGCAACGGACTCTTCGTAGCAGATGGGCACCATGCGGGCATGTATCGAATTAGTGTCAGGGAACTCTAGCGTCTCCAGGGACAGAGGCTGTAGATATCTCTTCCTGATTTCCAAGTCCCAGTTCGTCTTTGTCAAGCCTCCTGCAGCTCCCGCCACGGCGCCGGGTTCGGGCGCTTTGATCCGTCCAGCGTTGTAGTATTCCTCGTACGGGTTTCTTCTGACGGCTGTCTCCTCTTCGGCCTTGTCACCTGCAACGGCTTTTAGCCGCCGTCGCTCGCGCGCAGGCAGGGCCATGACCTCAGCCTTGAGTCGTTGTTCTGCTGCATCGCTGGTGACGGCGGGTTTCGCTGCAGAGGCGAGGTTGGCTTTGTCGGTCGTTGCGCTGACCCAGGCTGCGAGACCGGGCTCAGGAGGGTCTTTGCCCGTGTTGCATATGATTGCGAGGATGAGGGAGTTGTGGGCGTGCTCGGTCTGGGGGGTTGCGTAGATGAAGGCATCGCAGAGGTCACCGAACTCTCGCGTGTTGAGTTCTCCTGTTGTACATCAGTCAGCGGTCCTGTTTTCCCATCCAGAGTGGCTCGACGTGCCTCGTATAAACCTCGTGACGGCATCAAAGTAGACCTCCCAGTTCGCGCCAATTAATGACTTCAGCTCGGTGTAGAGGGGTTCGAGGTCGACACGAGGGTGACTCGCCTTCGGCTTCGCTGCAGGGGCCGGGGGAGCTTTGACGTTGCTGGCTGTGGATGCGACGGTGTCTGATCGCGTGAGTGCGGCGGGGTTGAATGTGTCGTCAACCGTCGCCATGGTCGAGTTGAAAGCATCAACTGCACGAGGGCCGCATGCGAGGCGTGGCAGGGATGCGAGTCTCAGTCATGAAGGGAAGCAAGTAGAAGTAGTCGTAAATACTTATGGGACACCCGAAGAGATGCTGCGTGCTGCCTTCGGTGAATGAGCTGAGGTGTCGGTGACTTGTCTGTGAGATGTTCCTGAAGTTCCAAGTTGCCGAGCAGTGCCAGCGACGTCGAAAGAGGCGGACAAGGTCAACGAATCGAATCCCATGTATGAATCAACGACACGAACACACCTGCTGGACCTGGTCAAACACAAAGATACGGAGCACTACTTGCGGGTGAGGCTTCTACCTGACTGCTACTCTATCTTGCGCAGCCACTGTCGTTACCCAGCCTCGTGATCATCGCATCAGGCTGGCTCATCCCCCATTCACAGTTCTTATGCCCGCTGTGCCATCATATCACATGTCCATCATATCATGCGTCTCATAGTGTCCATGCCTCCCTCAAGCTATGCGGACCTTCCACTTCTTGACCGTGGCGTCCGCGCCCGTACTGTAGACAGTGTCCCCAAGCCATACAATGCCATTGACCCCTTCCTTGTGTGCATTGGTTTCCTTCAACCGCTTGCCCGGTTCCTTCAAACTCCAAGCAAAGATGTTCGTATCGAGGCTACCAGAAACAGCTCCCGTGCCTTCGGGGTTCCATGCAAGGCATGTGATCTTCGCGGTGTGAGCGCTCCATCGATCAGTCACCAGGTCCAGCGAAGCATTGCCAGTCACGAGTCCCGTGAGCCCAGAGCTGATTTTGTACACATAGATTTTCCCGGCAGAATTGCCCGCCGCCACCAACGACCCGTCCGTGGAGAAGGATATTGCTGTCAGAGGGTGTGCAGAGACTTGGTCCACAGCAGCAATCTGTTTCGGTGCTTTTCCAGGCACTACTGCAAACAAGCGCAGGCTGGAGTCCTGTGATCCGATTGCGACAGTGCTGCCGTGCGAGGCGAGCGACGTTGGCGTAGACTTCAACGGCAACTCGCCATCTTCTTCGCCGTCTCTGTACACAATGACGCTCTCGAGCTGCGCTACAACGACCAAAGAATCCGTCGTGGTGGTCAACGCCTTTGGTTGCGACGATAGCTTGGTCGGTTTGCCTGTAAAGGTCTTCGCTCCGGCATCCACTGTCCTCAGGGTATCGTCCCAGCTGACGGAGAAGACCTGGGGGTGCTTGTCCGAAGAAGTCGCTGCAAGTCCTGAGATGATGTTTGTCGGGCCGTCACCTTCGATCGCCTCGGCCGTGCCTTTGGCCGCGTCCCAAGAGCAGAGGCGACCTTCGTAGCTGCCCGTCCATAGGGTTTCGCTGCCGCTCTCACCAGAGTAGGCAAGGGCGGTGATGTTCTTCTGGTGGCCTGAAATGATCCGCGTCGGCTTGCTCGAACCCGTGTTCAAGTAGTTGAGGTCCCCACTGAGCGAAAGTGAAATGATCAGCCCGTCTGATCGTGCCGGCCACACCACACCGACCTGTTGATCTGAGACGGCCGCAGCATCACCAAAGGTCCAAGTGTGCGTAACTTTGCCTGCTTCCACATCCCAGGTTTTCACAGTCCGGTCGCCTGAACAGGTCACAAAGCTCTTGGAGTCTCTGGACCAGGACACGCCAAAGATGCTGCCTTTGTGGCCTTCTGCGGTGTCCACGACCTCGGTCTTGACATCTCCAGTCTTGCCGTCGTAGAGGTAGATCTTCTTGTCGCCGCCCACACTAACCAGATGGTTGCCATCAGGCGAGAAGCCGACCCCGTAGACGAAGTTGTTGTGATTCCCTCTACCAGGAATACCATTAAATTTGAAGGGAGCGCCGTGGTAGAAGACCAGATTCTTGTCGTCGCCCGCTGTCGCTGCGCGGAGTGGTCGTTGTTGTCTTATGCTGACCGCATTGACTTGTGCTGAGTGTCCACTTATCTCGCCCACAGTGTTCCCCGAGTCCGCCGTCACGCAGTGGCCGAAGCGCTGCTTCCCGTCTCCCACTGCTATGATGCGTTGGCTATCACCGTCCCATGCAATGTCATTGATCCGGCCTGAAATAATGGCATATTCTCCTTTGGTCTTGCCGGAACCGTTCGGCGAGCAATCCCACACCCGCACTATGCCGGATACATCCCCGGAGGCGCAGTAGAAGCCAGAAGGGCTGATACGCGCGACGCTGGTTGTACTTGTGTGTTCTGTGTACTGAGTAGAGACACTCGGGTTGTCTATCGACCTTAGGAAGATGCTCTTGCCGCTTGCGTACGCTAGGCGCTCGCCTTTCGAGTCGGCATTCAGAGGAGTAGGAAGTCCGCGCTGGGTCGAGGGCAACGCCGCTAGGACGGCCTCTTCAAAGCAACGTCAGCGGCGTGCTCGCTGACTTGGCTATTTGCTTACCAGCTGTGATGGACATGGTCAACCATGCGCAAAGAAGACAATTGAACGACAACGTTTGATCTTAGGCAGCAAGCACGTAGAGGGTACAGTCAGATCGTATCGAGGTGCTTGGACTAAGTTGCCGGTGAGAACACAGAAAGAATCAACACATTGCGGCGGACGAAGTGCCCCTCTGTTTACAAGGCTGCAGCAGCTGGCCGCACAGCCTCGCTTAGTCAGCCTGCATTGTAAGTCCACGCTACTCGGAGGCTGTGGACAGAGAAAGCGTGTGGACGGCGACGTTGCATACATAGGCTCCGGTCTCGACGTGTGCCATCTTGAGTCATCCAGAATAATCCGAAGTATGAGGAAAGAAGCCAAACAGCTGAGACGACAACAAGGAAGCTAAATCCTTCGAAGTCCGGGATATCATTTGAACAGAGACTTGTATTGTCAGAGCACAAGAACAGTGTTCCTCGCGATTATCCACGATCTGCCATTTGATACCGGAGCGCGTTGGCTGCCAAAACTCAAGTCTCTTGTATTGTACATGCCAAATACTATCATATCACTGCTAAGCCAGACAAGTGCCGATGAAACTTCACGGTCTAGGATCTGGTCCAGCCCAGCCCAACGCTTTCTTCGAGAAGGATGGCTAAAAGGATAAGCTCCGATTAAGTTGCGGCACCTGTTGGATTTGTGGGAGTTCGCATCGCCTCGATCCAGTCTGCCATTGCACCCGCAGTAAATGGAGAGTTTATCGTGATATGAAGGCACAAGTTGGCGACGGAAAAGTCACTGATTCTTAGGAAAGAGAGGGTGTTTCGCTTCCTCGAGACTCTTCTCCTGGTACCGGCTACGGTGGCTTGCGCGGCAAGGTTCCAACTTTTGCCTGGTTCTCCTGACGTGCTCGCTGTGAGGTTGGTGCTTGCTTTCGGATAATTCCAGGTTTGCTGTCGCGCTCGATCTTCAGAGTCAAGAAGGACGCAAGTTGGACTATTTGCGTGCTCTTCGACACGACCCTGTCACAAAATGTGCTGAGGGTGCCAGACCACCGTCGGACCAAGGTAGATCTTTTGTCAATTACTCATCTTACTCGTCCAGAATTCGACAGTCTCGTCGATATCTCCTTCTTCAGAATCTCAGGATGTCTGTGCACGCTCGGCATCAACCCTAGCGCAATGGCTCTCCGAATGGCCTTGGCGATCTTTCTTTGATTGACCGGTCGCAATCCGGTTGAATTGGAGTGTCGAATTCGGCCCATTTCCGTGACGTACTCGGACATGACAGAGAAGTTCTAGGACTTCTCAGTACACGTGAACATCTTGATGAACTGCGTACACTCACCTTGTACAATGTCAGAGGGTTGACAGATAAGGCGTCGAAGGCATCAGTGGTGGGACGATGTTTGACCCTCCATTTGCGAGCTTCTGCGGCGCTCAGGTCGTGAGGAGCATAGACATCACCAGCCTTCCATGGTCTGGTCAACTGCCGGGCGATAGCTTGGTTCTCTATCGACATTGCCACTTTGCGGTCGGATTCCTTGACGGTCGACAGAATTCCGCGTGTTATCGTCTCTGTTCAAGGTTAGATTCAGGTATACTGCAAGTGGGGACACGGGCGTACGGTCGAGCGGCGAAGCAGCAGCGAGTCTGCTCGCACGGCCTATCTGCAGCAGTCGCGGAGACATGGCTATCAGTCGGGTGCACCCTGATAAATGCTGTCGTGAAGGTCGACGACGAGCAATGGACTCGTGTAAATGCGCATGAGTACCAGAGCCGAAAGAGGAAACTGCGCCGAGCCCGAGCTGCAACTCCGCAAATTGTCACTCCACGTTCATCATGCCATCATCATTGCAAGATGTGTGGATGTATATCAGTCTTGGACATGCCCCTTTTCCTTCCTGTCCTTGACAATCTGGTGTGACCCAGGGTGACACTTCTCGATATGAAATCTTCCCATCTGACCCGCGGCGTGTTCCGCTCCATCCTCGCAAATCGGCCATATGTAGTTCAAGGCTGCCAAAGAGCACTGGCGACGAGGGCGAAGCCGCTGTCCAACCACCCACGCACTACCTACGCACTCCATCAGAAGCGCCACCTTTTCGGTATCAATTTCGGGACCACTCGGAAGGGTTTCGAGGGTGCGAGGAGTACCACGGCCAACGTTGAATTGGCTTTAGGCAAGCTGGTCGATCTCGTCCGGGCAAGGAGAAGCCAGTCCAGACTACCTCCCGAGAATGAGGTCGTCGATGCTTTCAGATTCCTATTCGCTACAATGATCGAGTCCCCACGCCGGTTAACGAGGAACGACGTCTTCTTAGCTACAGAGGCATTCAAACACCTGCAAGAGCGTGGGCATATCTTGGGCTCCGACCCAAAAACGAGCCTGTCAGAAGAAGATCTCCATAATGTCCTGCTCGCTCTGGCCTCCTCCACCGGCCACGATAGATTCCGCACTGATGCCCGTATACTGGCCACACAAGTATTCGACGCACTCAAGGATCGCTCATCCACTGCCCAGGATATCGACCATCCTGTCGATCATGGCCGGCACGAGGCTCAAGGCTCTCTCTTGGTGACCTATATTACGGTGCTATCCAAGACCGGGTCTGCTCAAGAGGCTCTAGAACTTCTGCGCAAGTCACCCACCAGCTCGGAAAGAGCTAGCCTCCCCATGTGGACGGCGGTGCTGAAGGGCCTAGCCAACGAAGGCCGCAACCAGGAGTTCTGGAAAGTAGTGCGGGAAGTGCAAGACACCGTCGGACCCCTCGATGCTGTTTCCCAGGAGACGCTCGCCAGTCACTTCTCCCAACATGACGAGATTAGTGCGCTGAAAAAGGTGTTTGCCTTCCCGTTGGAAAACGGCCAAGTGCCGACTACGCCGACTCTCATCAAAGTGGTGGACTGTGCTATGCGAAACGGAGAAGAGGAGTGGGCTGAAAAGGCAGTTGGCTTGTTACAGCAAAGAACCGATTCCGGGGACATGGCAGGGACTTTGGTCGTCTGGCATGCCACCCATAACCCCAGTGTGAAACATATGCGACAAATCATCGAGCAGCTATCAGACCAAGGGGTTACCGATGCTGTATCCATGAAGACCATGAACCGACTCATCGAGCACGCATACTCACGAAACAGCGCCGAGACCGCCTCACATTACTTAGATCTCGCCCAATCCCTAGGCCTCCATCCCGACGGCCGAACGCGAGTCATACAGCTAGAGTATGATCTCAAACAAGGCAACCGCACCGCGGCAGCTCAAACCTACGAGCTTCTCTCCCGGGAAGACGTGCCTCTCGATCGATCCGACGTGCCCGTCCTCAACCACTACATCTCATCACTCTCCTTTTCCGGCGACCCAGAATACATCCACCTTATGCAGATCGTTGACCACCTCCTCTCCACTGGTGCGGACCTCGAAGCCGAAGCTATCGCAGGCCTGTGCCACGTGTTCCTGCAAAAGGACGAACTCGAAGAAGCCACTGGCCTGCTTCGCCACCGTGTGGATTCCTACCCGAGAGACGACCGCGCCCGCATCAGCGCCGTCTTCCAACAATTCATAACCGACCTCTCCGTCAAAGACCAACGCGCATTCAATGCCTACGAACTCTTCCGCCACGCCTTTCCTGAAACGCCCGTCACGGACCGTGTTGCCATAATGCAATCCTTCTTCGCCCGCAAGCGGCCAGACCTTGCATGTCTGATCTTCGGACACATGCGTCAACGAGAAGACCTTGCCGCCCGACCCACCCCGGCCGCCTACGCCAAATGCTTTGAAGGCATCGCCGCATGTAAAGACATCGACGGTCTCCAGATGATCTACAACATGCTGAAACTCGACCTAGAAGTGGAACAAACCACGCGAATCCACAACGGCCTCATGGCCGCGTACACGGAGTGCCAGCAGCCCTTTGTCGCCATCATCGACCACTTCTGGAAGATCATGGAGTCAAGGGAGGGCCCTACACTGAGTTCGTTCATCCTCGCACTCCGGGCCTGCGAGAAATGGATCCCTCAGGGAGGCCACGAGGCTCGGCAAATCATGGCCCTCATGCAGAGCTTCAACCTAGTCATCACGAAAGAGGTCTACGATGCGTACATCGGCGCGCTGGCCGGGCAGAGCGAGTTTGAAAACACGGTCGAGCTGATCGAGGAGATGGAGCAAGATATAGGCGAGTCGCCCGACGCCCTCACCATCGGCACCTTCTACAACGCCATCCCCTGGCAGTACCGCAAGGACGAGGTGGAGAAGTGGGCCAGAAAGGCGTATCCCGAGCTGTGGGCGGACTTGGAAACCTACGGGGACGTCATCGACGAGGAGTGGGAGATCCGGTACTTCAAGATCGACAGGTCCGTGGACACGGATGACGAATTGCTGTTCGGCGAGGGCGAGTACCGCCCTGTCATCGCCCGAGCGGGCGAAGATATGTTGGAAATGCCGGTGGGTAGGACATAGTGTTTATGACTGGGAATGCGTACAGCATAATTAGTACGGAGTACTCTGTTAAAACAACGAACCACTGTGCCATAAAAGAAAGAGGAGATCGAGATATACTGTATGTATAAAAAATCGGGCTGCTTGCAATACCAACCCTGACAACGTGATGTGTGACACGGATATATGTGATCTAACTTTTTTTACCAATGGGTCCTGATTCTATGCTGTTCAAGTACACGCTGGCGACCTACTCCGTATACAGCATCTGCTTTTGCTTCTTCATCTGCATCTCAATCTGCAGTCATTCAATCACATCTCGCCTCACCAAGACAGTTCCCACTCATCTTCCATGCATACGTGTAGACATGCGTGCAGACATAGACAGGTATGTACGATTATCCTTTCGGGGCCGCCATTTTCTCGCCGTAGCCTGCGGGTTGAAGTACGCATTGGACTGACATGGGGACAGGGATTGAGCTTGAGTTTGAGTGAGCAGTGAATTTGATCATTTATTAAATCAGATGACATTGATTGCCGTTGAACCCGTCGTTGTTGCTTCGTCACGTACATAACGGTTCGTTACTTCGTTACTTCGTTACTGCTGGTCATATGGAGGACCAACCCGTTAGAATGGACGGTCCTGATTACCGAGAAACACATCTGGGACACAGGAAAAGAAGAAAAATCCCCCTTGTTGCCTCCATTCTCCCTTTTCGCTCTCTCCGCGTGTGCGTCTGTGGGAGAGTCCACCTATCCAAGGAATGCATTACTCCAACTCGCGTACTCTGCGCCCACTGCCTTTGCCGGCCTTCTCTGCCGATGAGATGAATTTGACGTGCACGCCGCGTCCCTCCCCGTACGGTATGATATCTTTGTGGACCTTGGGGCAGTCTTGCACGGTGACGGCCCGCAGCTTAGATCTCGGCGCCAGGATGAGATCGACGATGAAGACACCCGTGATCGGTGCCCCCCGGATATGGAACACCTCGAGATCAGGACAGGATCGAACGACAAAAGGGCTGCATCGGTCAACGATATTGGGGCTATCAATATGTAGCTCCGTCAGGCCCAGGCACCATTTCGCTTGTATGATCGCCTCGAAATGATCTAGTGAAGACAGATTGTAGCTGAACTTCAGGCACTTGAGGTGGCCGGGGTCTGTCAGCGCCGCGGACTGGCGGATGATTGGCAAAAACGGCTCTGAGAATCGGGCCCCTGGAAAGCTATGAAGCATGCTGAGGGTCTCGAGATTGTCCAGCCCAGGGAGCATTGGTTGTGGTCCTGCGGCAGGCCATGGGGCTCTTTCTGTCTGCATCTCACAGCTTTCCATGCGCAAGTGTTTGAGGGTTGGCGGGAGATAGAGATCCCGGATGGCACAATCATACAGGCAGAGGGTCGTCAGATACTGGGAATCGCGCAAATCCAGATCTCCTGGCCATTGCGGGTCATTAAAACCACTCAAAGAGAGGACACGGATTTCCGGCAAATCAATGATAAGTCGGAGCTAGACATGGACGATCATCAGCAAGGGTTCACTAGGCGAAGGGGTGAAGTAGGGCACAGAGCAGGAATTCACTTTGACTCACAAATTCGGCCGGGTTCTTTTCGCAATTCAAGTCCAGTTCAATTAAAGTGTTGCTTCTGAGCGTCCACCGAGGAAATTGATCCCCAGACACACAGGTCGTGAACCGGGCATATTCCAGGGCCGTACACCGCCGCAGGACCTCTTGGACTATTTCCATCCCACAGAGCGTCGGGAAGTCAAGCGCAATCTCTCTCAGTACGTCGCTCCTGAAAGAGAATGTGCGCATGGGGATGGTCGGATCACTGATCTCGAGCACTTCCAGGCAAGATATCCTTTTGTCCCAGTGGAGCCAGTCCTGGAGTACGGTGCTAGCACCACTTGTCAGGCCAACCGCCCTGAGGATCTTGGGAGCCATAATTCGCCTGAGAGCTGCGCGCACCATCCTTGAGGAGACGGTTGTTTTGGCGCCCACGAAAGAGACCGTGTCAATCAGAGGTGGAAGGACGCTCAGTACGCGCTTCCAAGAGGTCGAAACTCGGAGCATTCGAACGTGCTGTCTATAGTCGAGGTATGACATGATGAACTCAATTACCTCCAAGGGAAGTGTGGCCACGGGGTCTCTTGGCCGTGAAAGGACACGCTCGGCGGCCAGCTTGTCGCGCACTCTCTGGGTTTCTTTCAGGAGTATGTCCTGGTCATCTGCTTCGGAACAGTGCTTGAGCCCCTGCTCCAGGAATTGCAGTGCGACAGCCATGTTGCCCATCAACCGGTTGACCGCACTGCATCGAAGATATCCTCGCACATCGTTGCGGTCAAGCCGGATCATGGTTTTGGCGTCCTGAAGGGCGAATTCCAGGTCACCCTGACGCACATACGCGGCATGACGATAGTCGTAGACACCGATCAGCTCGGTGACCGTAGTGTTGTTCGCTATGGAGCCATGCAGTGCCGCGGTGATTGAATTTATTGCCTCTTCATATCTCTGTTCTTTGATGGCCTCTCGGCATGCAATCAGAAGGTCAGAGATTTCTTTGGGTAAGGGCAACCCTATGGCCATCGTGACCAGACAGATGATATGGGACGAGCTGGGATAAGACGGGATGAGCTGGGATGAGCTGAAGCCTGGAGGATGAGTGTCGAAAGAGTATTGAAGTGACGATCATCAACGTCGAGCACGCGAGGCGACGCGCTTTCACCGCTTTGCGCGGGGATGCTTGGCTACCCGGTCGGGCAGTCACGTGATTGGGTAATCAGGCAGATCAGTCGCTGCACGTGATTTAGCGGGGTCGCGCCAGTGTTAGTGTCGTCATGACATTGCCAGTTACTCGAACTACAGAAGCATATACTCAGTAGATGCTCATCGTTGGATGGGTCACTATTGGTGATATCAAGATATCAAGTCTGATTTCGACTCCTCAGCTGAGCACAGCCGCAGCCGCAGCCACACTCACAGCCACAGCTCAAGTTGGCGTGGCCATATCTCAGCCTGTTGGAGGGAGTCCATTCAGGCGCATGGTTTCACCAATATGTGGAAGCCCACGTTCTAACATATAGAGAAAGTGATGAATAAAGAAGTCCAGGAAGAGCCGCGATCGTTCTATTCCAGGCCCTCGCTACTCGTACAATACATGAGCAAAGCACGTCTGAGCCAGCACGTCTGAGCCCGGTGCTCTGATCAGCGCTCCTCTGGTCACCCGGTTACTCGTCTACCCTTTCCGCCGCCGCCTTCTCGATCCTATCAATCACCGCATCCTCGAGATCACGCCGCAATTGCCTTGAGCCACTCCGGTCTGTGCCTCCCTCCGTGACCTTTCCGCTCGTGACTTCAGAAGTCGATCTCTGGTCTTGCAGAGGCGATGGCCCGCTATGCTGCACCATCTCCGCAAATATGTATGAACATTCCAGCTCGTCAAATAGCCGCAATACACCAAACAGTGAGTGCGCGAGTGAGGAGATCTCAGTGCCAAGCTGCACATTGTACAGGGTCACATCTGTATCTCTCACGCGCAGGGGCGCGATGGATGTGATGTCAGCGTACGCGGAATGAAGGATCGGATCTGGTTTCTTCTGCCCACCCTCTTTCGGCTTGGAGATCTCGGTGATGCGCGTGGGATCGACTGTCGAGGAGATGTCTTTGAGGCCAGCGAATGGGGGCCAGTGGCAAGAGATAATGCCGACTTTGACGGGTTGATGTGTCTCTGCTCCCGCGAGTTGGTCCAACCTCTCCTGCACCCGACCTGCCTGATATGCGTGTCTGGAGAACAGAACCAACCGTCCCCGGGGCGCATAGTGTTTGTATTTCATTCCAGGGGCACGAGGAGCCCCGTTGACATCCTCTTCATAGCTTGCAACACCATTGCTGCTGCCGTTCGAGTGATCCGCATGTAGCTCCTCAGAAGCTGTAGCGCCTCCTGACCCGCTGGTAGTCGATGCAGCCACGGACGGACTTCCACTCGTGTTTGACGCCGTCTCCACCGCGTGATGCACCGATGTCTTGTATCCGATGGTGGTTCTCGCCCACTTCTCGCCGACCTCGCCACCGACTTCTCGTCCTAAGGCCCTGAACTCTTCCAAACCCACACCGCCCGGTCTGAGGATGAGCGGGGGATCATGCAAGCCGTCGACAACTGTACTCTCGACACCGACGTCACACCCCTCACCGTCCAGGATAAAATTAATTTTCCCCCTCAGATCATGCAGAACATGTGCCGCCGTTGTGGGACTCGGTTTCCCCGATGAATTCGCACTCGGCCCTGCGATCGGCCTGTCCGCGGCTGCGATGAAGAATCTCGCATACTTGGAAGACGGAATGCGGAACCCAATGGTGTTCTGCGCAGGGTGGACGTTCTTCGCAAAGATTCCTGACGCCGGTATAGGGAGGAGGATCGTCAATGGGCCAGGCCAGAACCGGCGAGCCACCGGCTCGTACACGTCAGGGAGAGGCTCGCCCGTAATCCGCTCGAGATGCGCAATGCTCGCGATATGCACGATAAGAGGATTATCGCTAGGTCGGCCCTTTGCGGCAAAGATCCCGCTGACGGCCGCTTCGTTCGTCGCGTCCGCTCCCAGGCCGTATACCGTCTCGGTGGGGAACGCGACGGGAGGCGCAACGCCATACCTGATAGATTCGACGGCATCGCGGAGTCGGCTGGCATTGGAGGCCCTGCTTCCCAGTGAGGATTTCTGGATATACCGAGTGTAGATAGCTCGATATTCTTCCTCAGTTGCCTGATCGGGGATGTTGATGTCGAGGAGCGACACTATACGGGTGTCACAGCCCGAGTAAGGCAGGGAGGATAGGTGGACGCAGTCATTTATGACGCCATCCACGGTGGTCGCCATGGCGTCGACGGAGGGTATATTGTTAGAAGCCGTGCACGCGCTGGTGTTGAAGGAGGAAGAAGGCTCAGTAACCGCGAAACCCCTTCCAGACCACTTCACCCGTGATGTTGAGTAGCGAAGATGAAGTCGACCAAAAGAGGCCCTCGCAAACATCAATGGGATCGCTTAACGCAGACTCCGGAACACGAGCCTCAACTCCGAATAGGTCCGCGACCGCAACTGCTTTGTACCGTCTGAACAATCGAGGCGTCGCGCAAGGCTGAGCATATTGAGCGGGTGCGTGACCCAGGTCGCTGGAATGGGGTAGAGCGAGCAGAAGATAAAGACTTAGATCATACTGTAAGAGCGGAGGAGACTTGACGATGGCAGCCTAAGGGATTGCTACTTATACAATGATAAGATGATTTTGTCATGACTGTCGTGCGAGTTGCCTGGGGATTGAAAACCTGAACAGGGCAAAAATATTCCGGTCGCGGACAAGGCTGCTTAGTCATCTTAGCCACAGCCTTGCAGCTTTGCGCCACACGATGTGGCGCTGCACATTTCCAGGTGAATGATTGCTCATATTTCTACTCAGCTACTCTATTACTCTACTCCAGTCTACTCTATCGCGGTCCACTCGAATGACAAGACTTCCGGTACCCCAGCAAGCGACTTCATAATTATAGAGATTCCCCCAGAGCAGAACCGATATTCCAGGTCCATGAAGCCAAGGCACATCCCCTGTATCCGTGATACCTCCTGTACTCTTGTGCTTGTTAGATGCTTGCATCTCCCTTGGCCATCAGCTCGGCCACCAGGTTCCAGTACTTGACTCTGCTGCGCTCCCTAAATTTCTTGCCATAGAAGATCATGATCAGGAAGACCGAAGACGCCGCCATGCCGATGAACGCAGCCGATATGAAGCAGTCTTGGAGACCGAGGTTATCGAGCCAGGGAGTAATGCCGTATCTGTCCGGCCACGGCCACAAGTTAGCCGACTTAAGCTGAGAAGCAAGGATCCCAGGTGGTACATACCCGATTGCGAAGGACATAGTGTTCCGCACGAGGATGATCGTTGTCATTGCGTCGCCGCTGACTGTGCCGAGGTATTAGCCTGTGTGGAACCCGATAGATGGGATCGTTGCAGAGATGATAGCCACTTACTCTCATGATAAGTATCGATAAGGTAGTTGACACTCAGGGTGATGCCGAACACGGTCGAGCCAGCTAGGGTCCCCATGGCAAATACCAGGCCAAACCAATGAACCTGATGGGCAGCTCCCACGCCCCAGAGGATAAGAGAGGCGGGGACGACAATGATGCACGCGGCGAATGGCCAGAGCCGCTGCTCCGGTTCCATGATGCCATTGTTGCGTCGGGCGAGTCTGATGGTGAGCCAGTCGCTGAATCGACCTGTGAAGTAGCTTCCGACACAAACTCCGATACACGTTGAAAGGTAAGAGAGCCCGACCATTGAAGCTTTGAAGTTGTACGGCGAGCCTCCGAGGATGATACTTGCAGTGGCGTTGAGCACATTAAACCAGATCTGCGAGGAATCGCATTAGCATGGCATACACGCAAAGACAGCGATGCCGCAGCCAACCCACCAGATAACTGCCGTAGCTGAAGCCAGCGTAGAAGATAACAGGCCAGCCGAGATATTTCAGCGACCTGATAGCCCGTGGCAGCATATTTTCTCCCTTCGACGGCTGCCACAGCGAGAGCCTTTGGAGATACGTCTTGTTGGTTCCATAGGTGATGGTTCCGCTTTCAACGCTGGCGGGCTCATTCGTGACCGCGGGCAGTTTCTCTCCGCTCTTCTCGGCCATGGTGACAGACGTGGGACTCTGGCTGCCGCTGGTGGTCTCGACGATGCCGACAGTGGCGCGCTTGTAGTTGGACTCTTCGAGAAAGAAAAAGCACCATACTAGACCGACGACGAGAAATATGGTGGGCCAGTAGAACACCCACTTCCAACCTTGGCGGTCTGCAATGAAGCCGCAGATGACGGGAGCAAAGTAGTTGCTTCCGGCGAGGAAAAAAGCATAGAGACCCATGTACGTCCCCCGCTGGTGGTGGAAGTAGATGTCCGTTACTGACACTTCTGGAAGCGCTTCTATCGGTGCCGCGAAGAAACCGCCGAGAATGTTCTTCGCAATCCACTCGCCGTTACTGCGGGCATATGGGCCCCACATGGTACACTGCAACACCGTCAGTACTGGTAGCACAAAACAAAGGGTGGTCCGGGACCGTCTCGGCCGGGTAGATGTCTGCTCCTCCCAGTAGTAATCCGAGGATGAGGATGACTTACACCTATCGTGCCGCAAATCGAAAGTATGTATGTCAATCGCTTGCCATACCTCAGAGCAAAGGGTTGCTATTGTTCCCCACAGGTTAGTGCCGATATTCGCATGCAATATGGGATGCATGTCTCCGACAACTGGCGTTGTCCTTCCTGGTGCAAAGGCCAAATCTCTGACACGAACTTGAAGGGAGGGAGTGCCTTACCCAGAAGAGCAGGCCCCAGCCTGCGAGGAGGAATAGGTAGCCGGTTCCCTGGTTCAGCGTGCTGATGGAAACGCCGGATGCCTCTGACAGTGGCACAAGCACAGAATAGACGACCGAGTTGGCAATCCCGACGACCAGGGTGTAACTAGAAGTGTTCCGTGGTCAGACAAGCAACGGCGAATCTGATTAGAACTCACATGTTGACCGATATTGTATTCATCAGTTTCCGCTTAGGAGACCAGTTCAACGGATCGTCAGGATCGTTCGAGGGTGTGGGCACCAGAACGATATCTTTGTCACCGGACCCAGCATGTCTCGTGTGCATAGTATGCTCGATATCAACGAGGTGTACCGTGCCCGGGACACTATCGACAGGCAGATTGTAGGCCGCCATCTTGGTTGCCGCTGTTGGTACTCCCACGAGGTGATCGACTGATGGAAAGGCACCCGATCCAGAAGAGAGGGGAAACGTGGCTTTGATAACTCTTTATGCGATCGACAGGTGGAGAGTAACACTGGCACATGCTTCTGTCTTCCCGATATCGCAAATGTCCGCGACAGCTGATCGGGGAGATATGTGGCTGCCTCGAAATGGAAACAGGCCACCGTCGACATTCTCGATAAGGACAAACTCTCACTTTCGAGATAGCTCTAGCAGCTCGATTGTTGATGTCCAGCCAGCGGTAAAGTCGGAGAAGCTTTTTGCGAGAGATAAGGACTTCTGGGATCTCCGCCGGACGGCTGCTGGGGACACACGTGTACGACATGGTTGACCTTGAGAATCGTCACAACGGCCACGAAGACATGCAGGGTTCCTTGAGCCGGTCGACAAGCTTCCCTCGAGATAACCCTGCTGATCTATGTAGTCGTCCAAAATCGGGAGCACGGCACGGGTCTGGGGCATGGCCGGGCTTATCCTGGAGCCCCAGCTCGAGCTGCGCTATCCTGTACGATTGGCTGCGTAACGTGGAGTTCGTCGACCGCCCCATCGCCGTTCCGGGACATTAGCTTGAACCTAAGATCGCGCAATTCCGTGTGATTGACGTCCTTGTCGACCACTGAGACGTCTCGATTGAGGCCAAGTATTCTCGTCCTGTTTGGATGGGCCTAGATGGGCCTTGAGAAGTATGAGCGAGCATTCACCTCCCTCACTTCACCACCTTTTGATACGAAGCCGTGATTCGGGTTGAGCGCCCTCCCTTCGGGGTTCTGATATCGTAAGGTCAGAAAGTCAAGGCACATATAGCTTGGACTTCTCCCACCAGCAACCACCATCAAATCTCTCTCCAGTGGTCTATCGTAATCTCGTTTCGCAATCGATATGGTCCGAGAAGATTGGAGAATCCTCGTCGCGGCGAAACGTGCTCAAGTAGCCAAGGCGTTGCCGCAAGAATGGCGTCTGCCCTCGAGCATTTTGGACACCGTCAGTCCCACTGCTGATACCAATGTCCTCGATGTTCCAGCGAAGTGCGGCCTTCTCACGGAGAAGGAGATTGATATCACCGAGAACCATGATGCCACCGACTTGATCGCCAAGATGGCCGCGAAAGAACTGTCCTCTTTTGAAGTAACCCAAGCGTTCTGCAAAAGAGCTGCTATCGCCCATCAAGTGGTTAGTTAGATCCCCACGAACTGCCGGCCGTCACTGATGGTTACAGACAAATTGTCTGACCGAGATGTTCTTCGACAAAGCTCTGGAGAGAGCCAAATATCTCGATGAATACCTCGAGAAAGAAGGAAAGCCGATGGGACCGTTGCACGGAATGCCTATCTCGATCAAGGTAAGTGGTGGAGGTGTGCCAGATTCGGGAGGCGGGATTGACGAATAATGATATAGGACTCCTTCAACCTCAAAGGCACATACTCGACCATCGGCTACGTGTCATTCATCAGTCGCCCAGCAGCCGAGTCCAACTCGGCCTTGGTTGACATTCTCCTTGCCAATGGCGCGGTGTTGTACGTGAAAACCAACATTCCGCAAACGCTAATGACGGCGGACTCGGAGAACAATGTCTTCGGTCGAGTTCTGAATCCCAACAAGCTCAGACTCACTGCTGGCGGAAGCAGTGGCGGAGAAGGCGCCCTCGTTGCCATGCGAGGCTCGCTTCTCGGTGTCGGGACTGACATTGGAGGATCCATCCGTATTCCCGCCTTCTGCTGTGGCACGTTTGGTTTCAAGCCGTCCGTCGATCGCGTCCCATTTGGAGGTCAAACCAATCCTGTTCTCGATGGCTGGACGGGCATTATGCCGGTAGCAGGGCCGCTCGCCCAGAGTCCCCGGGATCTGCGACTCTTCCTAGAAACCGTTATCAATTCCAAGCCATGGAATTATGACTATACGGCTCTTGCCATGCCCTGGCACCCCGTGGAGGAAAAGACGACTCTGACCATTGGCGTGATCCTCGAATGCCCGACCTGGCCTGTGCAACCCACCATCTTAAGGGCACTGAAGACAGCAACAGACAAGCTCAAGCAGGCCGGTCACAACATTGTCATGCTCGAAAAGTTCCCCTCATTTGCAGCAGCCACCGAGCTGTCTTGGAACTTTTTCGACATCGACAACGAGGGCACGGGGTTCAAACATATCGAGGCCTCAGGGGAGCCGTGGGTTACTTCTGTCAAGGACATGTATACTCCTCCACCAGAGGGACGCAAGGTAAAGAGCTTGGGCGAGCTCTTTGACATGAACGAGGAGCGCCTCAAGTTCCGAAAGGACTGGTTGAAGATCTTCGTCGAGAACAAACTGGATGTGATTGTGGCCCCGGGGTCTCACAAAACTGCAGTGCCGCACGACACATTCAGGATGCCCCCTTACACGTAAGTAGCCCGTCTCCCCAAATCTCCGATCACTTGAAACAGGGTCTGACAAGCAACAGGGTCATGTGGAATCTCCTTGCGGTGAGTAATCAACGCCTGTATCTTGGAATGATTCCCGTGGCCGACGCTAACACCGCAAGCAGTACCCTGCCTGCATCATCCCTTATCTCAAGGCTGACAAGAACATCGACCTCCCTGATCCGAGAATTCCAGACTGTAAGTGTTTTGGCAGCCTGTGTCGCAGTTGACAGAGTTAACAGCTGGTAGATGACCCGGAAGCTGTCGATGGGGCGCCGTGTCACGTTCAAGTCATCGCAAGATCTGAGCAGGATGAGGAATTGATGGCCGCTGTGGAGCTGATATCAAAGGTCCTGGTTTAGGGTGTCTTTCTGTTGCGGATGCAGTGTCATGTGAGACATTTAGAAGCCTCGCATGCCCGCACAGAGACTTGATCTTTATGGCAAGAAGGGCTTCCTTCATTTTCTGTCAGCTATGGTCGCAGCTGTCAAGCGTCAAATGGCAATTGGGCAGACCTTGGTCTTTTCACCCTTGATCTGGAACCAAGCAGAGCGTCCTCCAAGGACAGACAACCTACCAGTTAATGAACGCTCCGATCTCGTCATATAGGCCGGGTACACCACTTTGAGGAACGTATGGAAGAAGGACGCAAGACAACAGAAGTTGACATTGCCTCCGTGGTGCGTGGGGTTATCGTAATGACCGCCGAGAGCATAAGAAGCTTGGTCTTGCGATGTGTCGTTGCCGCGTCGTGTCCAGGTTGTGCGACAAGTTTGGTCGTATTCGTGAAGCATTTCAGAACCAATAACTTGGCTCGGTCGGCTGTGAGGTCGGCTCCAGTACATACTCCGTACTGTGTATCTTTGATGCGGGTGCCCCAATCATGCGTTCTCCTCCTCTTAGCCGCCCTTTCCACCGAAGCCAAGCCCGAATAATTGATAAGGGTTCCTAAAAGCGAGCTAGCCATCTCCACCTGGACTGTCTCGCTCATCATGAATGCTGCCTCCTCCATGACATTGAGACACGCGCGAGCGGAGCTGAGATCAAATGCCCCTCCACGTGGCATCAAGTGCCACACTCCGAACCAAGACTGGTTGTTTGACCTGTAAGTCTTGCCCCGACCCCACGCTGTTGTTCATCACCGACCTCGCGCATTTGGCAGGCCGCAAGAGACGGAAGAAATGCAATGAAGCAGGAAGGCCTGCTTCTTGTGACAGATGCATCAAATCGAGCCGAGCTTGCGTATGGCCCACGCAGGACGAGCTGCACGATCGACGACATCGCCGCGCATCGAGAACGTCCAAGTCACTGTCGCCTGCAAGGTCTGTGAAAAACACCGAAACCGTTGTCCGAGAATCAGCTATCGTCGCACCGGAGCCGGCTACGAGCCCATTGCCATCTTTTGTGTGCCGGAAAATCGGGTTCAGATCAGACCTTTTGAACTCAGCGACATTCCAATCCGACCTAGAAGTAGACTGCTTTCGACACTTCGTCAACGGATTTCTCCCCCTCCTGCTGCTTTCCACTAGCCATCCAGGATTTCAATCGGAGCTTGTGCCTGAAATAGTTGAAATGCTCCTGGGGTTCGATGGGCTGAGGAATGCTATCCTAGCTTGTGGCGCATCACATATGCATCACCTCACGGGAAGTTCTCAACTGAACGAAGCTGGTATTCGGTACTATGCCCGTGCTGTATCGGGCATTAATCGCACCCTGACAAGAATCGACTGGAGTCGTGATGATTTCAATGATGCGCTGCTGCAAGCCATCATCCTCCTGTATATCCATGGGGTAAGTCTCCCGTTCGCCAGCCGCTCTCAGACGGCTTGACCAAATCTTCCGCTTATTGACCACCAATGTATGCAGGTGTTCAATGTCGACACCAACAAGGATATCGGCAAGCATGTGGCGGGGGCCACGCAACTGATGAAGCTTCGAAATGCTCATTCGAGGCGGGCGCCAATGCCACGCCCAATCCACCGAATAATATGGGAGAGTATCCTTTACCAGATATTCCGCCAAACCGCCAACCGTCCTTTTGCAGTTGAGTTTCAGCCTGATTTTGAATTCTGTGCAAAGGCACAAGAGACTTTGCAGTCTCTGACATTTCCAGACGCCTCACCAGCTGATAATAGTCCGGTGATTGGATTCCCGCTGTCACTGCAGACGCTCATCATCGAAATTGTGCAGCTCTGCAAAAGTCCAGCAAAACCAAACGCAGATTTTGGGAGACTCTCAGAAGAGATGCAGCACTGGGAAAGATCAATCCTTAGAGAGGACCACTGCGTGAAAGAAGAGGGTAAATGGGCCACGAAAAAGCCCTCTGAGCGAGCTCGAATCTTCCATCAACATTCCACGAGTCTTCATATTCTTGCTGCGTCGCTTCTCCTCGATTGGGTGATGCGCTCGCACGAAGTGTGCGACTTGGATTCACCCCTGCCGCCCACGGGTGATACCTGGCAAGTTCGTAGAGGACTTGCTATTCTACGGTGCGCACAAGCCAACGAAGAATGGTCGAGGTGTTACCTTGGTTCCTGGCCGACTCTGATCTTCGGGTATGCGGTCGACAAGTCCGAGGATATTGCTCTTGTCCGGCGTGACCTGAAACAACGATATCAGAATATTTGCTCGGGTGAAGAATTGCTCTTCCTGGAGGAGTTGGAGTATGTGTGGCATTCCGAGGGGGATTTCTGTGCAGGAGCTTGATTCATAGCAGAGTCGTTCTAATTGAGTGGGCGGCCATCTTGCAGCTCGGAGCAGATCTTGTGAAGATGTGTTCCCATCACGGGTTTGAATTCTAATCAAACTGACTTGACGCGCATCGCGTGTTACACGCAGAAACCCCGCCTGTACTCCACCGTACCAGCCACTCACTCACAGCTCGCGCCCCGACTTTGTACTCTGCCGTACCATGTACGTCATTAATGCCGCTCTAACTACGGCTTTGAATGTCATTGGAAAGGCGGCCCGCTCGTTTCTATATTGGAGATCCACCAGCCGCGTCCTGAGCGTTCATTCGCTCTCCGACACGCGTTGTCTGGCTTACAAACCTAGCAGCACGCTTGAGCCAATGGGCGTGCAGATTTGCTCTCGCTGCTCTCACGTCCGGGCTTAAGCGGCGGGGTCTCGACTGCGTGCTGACAGTCTCTGCTTTAGTGCTCCAGCAATTCCTCGCTCCCTTGCCCGAGTCCATCTGGGCGCGGTGCCGTTTGTCGCGGACGACGATGGGTGCCTTAATATGTCGCTCTCTCCGGGTTGATTGGGATCCTGGATGACCTCTTTCGGCGTCGTTTTCATCATATTTTGCTTGTTTCGGAGTAGAACCCGCCTTGTCCATTTCAAATCCAGGCCACAAACGGGTGGTTAGACCTTCCGCTTCAAGGAGAATATATATCAATACTTCTGGTGGTGACGCCCATTTACTTCCATCTTCACGTTTCCCATATCAAGGCGAACATTGCTGATGGTAAGCAGAAAAAGGAAAATGGCATTCTTTCAAGCGGCCCCGTGGCATGAGGGTGAAGTTGCAATTCACAAACGAACTCGCGTCGGCGGATATGACAACCCGACAACACCATTTCTCGCGCCACGATATGGCAACTGGATCCAGCGATACCCAATGATGGCGATCGGGACCCTCGACGATGACGACCGACCCTGGTGTACCGTTTGGGGGTCGGATCAACTGCCCATCGCTCAGCCTGTGGCCCAGAGTGTCATGGGGGTCCGGACTACGGTTGACGCAAGCTTCGACCCAGTTGTACAAGCAATTTACCAAGGTAAAGATGACGGGGAAGTCATCCGAGCCGAGGGCAAAGGGCGGCTGATGGCCGGCCTGAGCATCCATCTCGAGGAGCGCTCTCGAGTTAAACTAGCAGGGCAAGTCATTGCTGGTGCATTGACTGCGACCGAGCCAAATGGCGCCAAACCCGAAATTCAAGACGGTATCAAGCACGGCAAATCAGGCGAGCTTCAACTGGTCGTCAAAATCGATCAAAGCCTTGGGAACTGCCCGAAATATCTCAACAAGAAGCACATCATCGCTCACACTCCAGAGCCACGACTCATCTCGTCGTCGACACATCTCTCACAAAAGGCGATCGACCTGATACATAATGCTGACCTGTTCTTCATCGCCTCGGCCCACCAACACGAGGATATGGACTGTAACCACCGCGGTGGACCACCCGGCTTCATCCGTGTCACGCAGCCCGACAACCCAGACGAATCCAGCACGATCGTCTGGCCCGAGTATAGCGGCAACAACCTCTACCAGACCCTCGGCAACCTGGAAGCTACTCCACACGCCGGTCTGGTCATCCCGGACTTCGAAACCGGCGACGTGCTATATGTGACAGGTGACACTGAAACCCTTGTCGGCGCCACTGCAAGCAAAGTCATCGCCAAATCGAATCTCGCCGTGAGCCTGAAGATCACAGGAGCAAGATTCGTCGAGAACGGGCTCCCGTTTCGAGGAGAGTTAACAAACGATGCCTCACATGGTCGCTCACCATATAACCCACGCATCCGATACCTCACGACCGAAAAGACCGACGGATTCGGCAACACGCCCGGCGACAGCGTCCCCACAACCGCCAAACTGCTCAAGAAGACGAAGCTGACTCCGACAATCACGAGATACCGCTTCGCGCTGACCGACCCGGCGGTCTTCGGTCCCTGGAAACCAGGGCAATACATGGCCATGGACCTGTCTGCGGAACTAGACATGGGATACTCACATATGCGCGACGACGACCCTACGAGCTTAAACGACGACTTCATCCGCACCTTCACCGTCTCTTCCATCCCGCAGAGCTTGGGCCTCCACGGCGAAGAATTCGAAGTCACGGTCCGAAACGTCGGCCATGTGACGGGTTGGCTTGAATGGCAAAGAGAGGGGATGTGCGAGGTTGGCATCCGCGGCTTCGGCGGCGAATTCATTTTCGAGCCGAACAAGCGGAATGCCTTCGTTGCCGCAGGCATTGGAATCACACCGCTCCTGGGCCAGATGGGGAGCATTGATCTTGAAAACTTCAAGATGTGCTGGTCCGTCGGAATCCGCGATGTCGGACTACCTCTCGACATCCTCACGCAATACCCCAAGCTCAAGGACTCTGAGACGACGATCTTCCTGACTGGGGACGAGTCCGTGCTGGCTGCTGGTGAGAAGGCCAAACTTCAGCAGCTGATCGACACGGGTGTCAAGATCCAGAGGAGGAGGATCACCAAGGACGACTTGACACGGTGGGAATCCCAAGTCGATAACTGGTACCTGTGTACAGCGCCAGCCATGAGGAAGGAGGTCCAAGACTGGCTGCCTGGGGTGGTGGTTAATTTTGAGAACTTCGATTACTGAGTTTAGCGCGAACAAAGCAAGAGGGGGGAGTAATGTCTGTGTTGGGTGTTTGACAGATATCAGTATGGAGTACGCATCTACGTATCTAGGTACATAGATACGGTACAAGCATGAGCAGATTCTGGCGACCGCTTCAGATAGTCATACCGTATACAAACAAATAATCTCCAACCCACATCCGATCGACCTTGCACTGTCTGTAGGGCACGCACCAAAATACCAAACTACTCGATAGTACCCCTTTATAAATCTCCAGATTTTCTGTTCCCATCCCTCACAACCTATACTCGATCTACTCGTACACAAATAAGTACGTGACAAGCCTACTCAGCCCGGCGTGTCCAGCCAGGCCTCTATCGGCAGAACATACACAGTACATATCGCGTACATACCAGTACAGTACATACGTTGGCAACCATGTCTCAATCCTCCACTGATCCTCACTTTTCCACAACCACCACGGAAGCAACAATCTACAAGCTCACATTCTTCACGCCCCCGACAGCCACCCAATCGTGCGTGTCGGCCCTCCACGCCGTCGGCGTAGGGGTGTGGCCCAACCCGCCCCTCGCGTCCAGCGCCAAAGACACGTCTCCTCCGAAATACATCGACAGCGCCTTCGTCTCGCGAGGGAGCGGGCAGTTCAAGCCGTCCGCGCACGCGAACCCGCATATCGGCACCCCGGGGGAGGTCGAGGTCGTCGAGGAGGACAAGGTCGATATGGTCGTCGTGGGGACGGAGACCGTTCGTAAAGCGGTGGCCGAGTTGAGGAGGGTGCATCCTTATGAGGTTGTGGGCTTGTTTGTGGTAAGGTGTGAAGATTTTTGAGTTGCTATGCAAGTCGCTCGTGCTTCAAGGAGCAACCAAGTCGACGCAAATCATCTCACGTCTAGCAGGAGGCGGGCACAACTACAAATGAGCAAACTTGTTCAATCTCAATTCATTTTCGGTTTTTCATTTTGATTGCCTCCGCCTTGCTTTCGTGGTACAAGACACAAGATAGGTATGAAAAGCCAACGCCGGCGTGCCATATCCGACCTTCCCTTCCTGCCGAGCACGTCTAGATGCTTGCAATCAATTCATAACGCTGGTACAAAATGTCATGCCCCATTCCCAAATCCGACGGCCGCCTCACAGTTCGTCGTGTCCGTAAGAGTCGTCGTCGTCGTCTCCATAATCTGGCATGCCACCAGCACCACCACCTCCACTGTACAGCTTGCTTGAGATCGGGTAGGCGACTTGCGACAGCTTCTCGAATTGCTCATCAAAGTCTTCCGTGTCGGCCGAATCGGCGTTCTCAGACAGCCAATCTTGAGCTTCCTTGACAGCGTCAAGGAGAGTCTCCTTGTCTTCGTCATCAATCTTGCCACCAAGACCTTCTTCGTCGTTGACCTGGTTCTTTAGTGACGAGGCATAGTTCTCCAACTTGTTGCGAGCGTCAATCTTCTCCTTGAAGGCTTTGTCGGCCTCGGCGAACTCTTCTGCTTCGGCCACCATTCGGTCGATCTCTTCCTGGGTCAGGCGTCCCTTGTCGTTGGTGATCGTGATGGACTCTGCCTTGCCGGTGCCTTTGTCGCCGGCCGTGACCTTGAGAATGCCGTTTGCGTCGAGTTCGAAGGACACTTCAATCTGAGGAACGCCACGGGGCGCGGGCGGAATGCCCGTCAGCTCAAACTTGCCCAATAAGTTGTTGTCCTTGGTCATAGCTCGTTCACCCTCGAACACCTGAATCAAGACAACCGGCTGGTTGTCGGCAGCCGTGGAGAAGATCTGAGCCTTCTTGGTCGGGACCAGGGTGTTGCGAGGAATAAGCTTGGTCATGACACCACCGGTAGTTTCAATTCCAAGGGTGAGGGGGTTGACGTCCATGAGAATGAGATCTTCCGTATTGGCTTCACCAGTGAGAATGCCGGCTTGAACAGCGGCACCGTAGGCCACAGCCTCGTCAGGGTTGATACCCTTGCTTGCCTTCTTGCCACCGAAATACTCCTCAATCATGGATTGAACCTTTGGAATACGCGTAGAACCGCCAATGAGGACAATGTCATCGATATCGGATTTCTTGACTTTGGCGTCCTTGAGCACCTGCTCCACTGGTTTGAGGGTCTTCTTGAACAAGTCCATGTTTAGTTCTTCGAACTTGGCTCTGGTCAAGGTCTCGGAAAAGTCCTTGCCGTTGTGGAAGGCCTCGATTTCAATGCGCGTCGACATTTGGGACGACAGTGTCCGCTTGGCTCGTTCGACTTCACGCTTGAGCTTGCCCATGGTCTTCAGGTCCTTGCGGATGTCGACGTCATTTTCCTTGTTGTATTTCTTGACGAAGTAGTCAATGACTCGCTGATCGAAATCCTCACCACCAAGATGGGTATCACCGGCGGTAGCCATGACTTCGAAGACGCCATCTTCGATTGAGAGAAGCGACACATCGAAGGTACCGCCACCAAGATCGTAGACGATGATCTGGCTCTCCTTGCCCTTCTTGTCCAGGCCATAGGCAAGCGCTGCGGCAGTGGGTTCGTTCACAACACGTAGAACAGTCAGACCAGCGATGGTGCCGGCGTCTTTGGTAGCCTGTCTCTGGGCGTCGTTGAAGTATGCCGGCACTGTGACGACAGCGTGTGTGACCTTCTTGCCCAAATACGCCTCCGCGACTTCTTTCATCTTGCCCAGAACCATTGCGGAGACTTCTTCAGGGCTGAAGGTCTTTGGTTGGCCATTGACCTCGACATTGACCACAGGCTTGCCATCCTTGTTGACAACCTTGAAGGGGAAGTGTTTGGCATCTCGCTGGACGTCCTTGTCGTCAAATTTGCGACCGATCAAACGCCTAGACCATCACATGTTAGCCACAGTACACGCGACACGAGGTAGAAGGAGAGCTGCTTACTTGATGTCAAAGATGGTTCTCGTGGGATTTGAAGCATATTGATTCTTTGCTGCGTCGCCAACTAAGCGCTCTTCGTCTGTAAAGGCCACGTATGAAGGTGTTATCCGATTTCCTTGGTCGTTGACAATGATCTCGACCTTGCCGTTCTGCATCACACCGACGCAGGAGTATGTGGTTCCCAGATCAATACCGATGACGGTGCCATAATTCGTATCTGAGTCGTTTAGGGGTGTTTGATCTTCAGCATTCACTTTACCGATCAAAGCTAAGGGACAGACGAAGATGAGGAGAAGGTAGAAGAGAGTGGTCCACTGCAGTGCAGAGGTGGTTGTTCTGCGAGGTCGACGCTGGACGTTACCGGACGCCATGGTGTCTGTGAAAAAGAAACAAGACAACGGGAGGGTGTGAGCTGGTAAGGGAAGAGATCGAGGAGCGACCGCAATGGTGGAAGGAAATATTTATTGCCAGGAGCCAATGCCGCAGTTATCGATACGCTGTCCTTTTCCACGATCTTCACTGGCGGAAGGCACTCGAAAGCCGCAAAAATTGGGGGCCCCCCAAAAACTGTCACTGGCGAGCCTAAGTCGCCCTTGGCGGCAGGTTATAGGTGGCCTTCTGACTCCCTATTTTTGCCCCTGAGTGAATGCCAGCCTGGCCTTTACGGTGCTGTGTACCGAGCACACAGTGGTGGGTGAACATTCCATACTCTTCTAGAAACCCGGGCTGACCGCTGTCTCTGCAAAAGGACATTCGAGGATGTTGGGATGTCAAGACTCGAGTACTCTCAGCATTGTCGTATTTAATTTGAGGCTTCATTGAGGACTGTGCAGTTGGACATGTCACACCCAGTCCTCGTACGCAGGCACCAGTACCGGTTCCTCTGAGGCTCCTGCTCCTGCGTGCCCTGTCCATTAGCGGGCAATGCCATGGACCGCCCTGGTTGTGCGAACACGCACGAAATATGGCGCTCTTACACTCTAACAACCTCCACGTGCCACATGGTGACAACCTTGACGACCACGGGTTACCGGTAACCTGGAGTAGGGTTGATCAAGGTGACACTGTCACGTGACTATGCGATCAAAATGGGGGCACTTATGTAAGCGCTCCCTCACCGGCGCAAATCGACGTCATCGTTGTTTCCTCCTGTCCGCATCGGTTCAGTCACTCATTGCTCACTATTACAACATGCACACCAGACAGCATCAGTGAGGCTGGTCCTGGTCCTTTTCTCTACTTCCTTTGCATTCACTTTCGGATCGCTGTGTACAGTGTCTATGGCATGATCTCCCTCTTCCCGTCCCTGCTGCGCCACAAGATCTCCAGCATCCACCCTATCCAAATCACCTCTCTTCTCGTGCAACACCACGTCTCCCTACCCTCACGTCTATTCTCCTCTTCCACTCTCAAGATGGGCAGCGTCGACACCTCCCTCCACAAACACACCTCCGGCCGGGCGGCCAAATTCGCCGACTCCCACTCCTCCCCTCACCCTCTGATACTGTATGGCGGGTGGTTCTGCCCCTTCGTGCAACGCTCGTGGATCACACTGCACGAAAAGCGCATCCCGCACCAATACTTCGAGATCAACCCGTACCACAAGGACCCGGAGTTCCTGAAGCTCAACCCCCGAGGATTGGTGCCCACGCTGGCAGTCCCGGTGGACCGCCAGGGCAAGGAGCAGAAGCCGTTGTACGAAAGCCAAGTCATCTGCGAGTACCTGGACGAAGTGTACGACGACGAGACGCAGCACGGGCGCGACCTCCTGCCGCGGGGCAAGGAGGATGCGTACCTGCGGGCAAAGTGTCGGATCTGGATCGACCACATCTCCACGAGGATCATTCCGGCGTTTTACCGCTTCATGCAGCATACCGAGGGCAAGGCGTACTCATTGGACGAGGCGCGGGAGGAGTTCCTGGGCCATATCAAGACTTTTGTCGAGGCCCTTGACGCAGAGGGTCCATTCTTCCTGGGCGAGCGGTTCAGTATGGTGGATGTCATGCTTGCGCCCTGGCTGTGCAGGATGTTCTTGTTCGACGTGTATAAAGGGGGCGTTGGCATTCCCGAGGAAGGTCAGGGTGGCAAGGACGAGCAAGTCTGGAACAGGTGGAGGAAGTGGGCGAAAGCGGTGGGAGAGCGACAAAGCGTGCTGGATACGCTGAGCGACAGGGAGCAGTATGTTGACGCCTACCGCCGCTATGCGGAAGATGAAACGCAGTCACAGGTCGGGCAAGCAACGAGAGGAGGTCGGAGCCTACCATGACCAGGGTAAAGATTTGAGGCCAGCTGGGGTATGCTCATTGTGGTAAAAACGAGTAGCGCGCTCAACGACTTTTCTGACCTTGGAACTTTCAACCTCTTGCAAAAGGGCACATGAGCCCACAGCCAGATGCCTTTGCGCCCAAATCTTATGCCTTATGATGCGGATCTCGCAGCTCACACAACATCCTCCATGCCACGTCCTTAGTCTACCTCTTTCCCTCGCCTCTCAAATCCCCTCCAAGCCCATAACCTCGGATTTTCTCCCACTCAACCTTTTGCCTCGTGACGGGCAACTGCCGTCTCAGCGCCTTGAAACTCGTCTCGTTCATGCCCACAATCGTCCTATTCACCTCCTCTTGATACTGTTTCTCAATCGCCGCCAGTTTGCGAATCACACTGTCTGCGTTCCCACTACCTTCCACCGAGACGTCGGAGAAGGATTTGGACGTCGCCAGCGCCACGTTACCGTCCTCGTAATAGTGCACATTGACTTTGATCTCTCCGGAGAGGGTGTTTGCCGAGGGGTCGTACAGGAAGCTCGTCCTCCACCGGCCACTGAGGAAGTTCTTCGGCGAGGCTTTCAGGCTGCTGATCAGGATCGCGACCTTGGAGTCATCGGGTGTGGCGCAGACGGTATACGCCGACGGGGAGGACGTAGGAGGGTAGTGCTCGGCGACGTGCGCGGCGAGGAGTTTTAACAGCGAGGAAATCAGCGACGAGTGCTGTGTGTCGTGGGTGTAGGATTGCGGCGACGAGGGTTTCTGCGACGTGTGGTCGAAGCTGAAGGACGTCGAGGATGCGCTGTCGTAGTATTGAGATTGGCCCGAGGGCGGCAGTTTGTTGTGTGACGATATGAGAACCTGGAGTGCCCAGCGGTGAGGTGTTGTCAGCCTGAAACTCAGCACAAGCTGGCCAACCCGGCGGAACAGCTGGGTTATGGGCGCACGGGCCGGAGGGGAGGTCATACGTAGTCGCTTGCGCCTGGCAGCTTCACGGCGACCATCTGGTCCTCATTGTACTTCTCAAACGCCGGCTTCAGCTTCGCAATCAGGGCTGGGTCGTCGTCCGAAGCGAGGATCTTGATGTCCTTGACCACGTCTTGGATCTCGCCTGGGGGGGCTCCTTCGATGAATGATGAAGTGGTATTACCGGTCGATCCCATCTTGACCAGTGAGAAATGTTCGCAAGGAGGCAGTGTGAGCGAGCGGTTCTGCGGCGATCTGTTGCTTGAGGGGCAGAGTGGAGGGTCGCGCCGGCAGCAGGAAGAACCGTCAGTCGAGGCTCAATGGTTCTGCTCTGCGCGACGTGGTGCGGCGCGGCGCAGCCTTACGCGGGGCAAGGCTCCATCATGCCCGTGAAAGGAGAGGCAGCAGAGACAAGATACGATCACAGCGTATTATGAATGTTATTAATCATGCAGCTTCAAGCACGGAGTATAGACGCCCCGGCGAGCATATAGGAATTAGATCTCATGCTTTGTACATATTCGTCATGTGAGCGGCAGTCACCAATTTTGACCCAGTCCAAACGCCTCGCTTATCAAATTGTTAGGGAGGTGGGTAAACCGTCAGTCGATGCTCATGCTCATGATAGCTTCATTCGTCTCGGTCATGCCTTGGAGACCAATCTTCTTAGTCCCACTAACACTACTTCCACTATTGCTGCGGTCGCCATGTCCGTTTCCTCCCTTCGGTGGCAGCTTAGACCAGGCCTTGTCGCTGGTGAGAACAGGGCTCTGGGGCAATATCGGGCTGCTTTGGACACTCATACCCGGCGACACGGCACGGCGTTTGGTGTACAATGGGTCGAAGTCCTCTTCTCTCCGACGCTTGTTATTGACCCGTCGTGCAACATCTCCAGCCATGGGCGTGCTGTGGGCGAGAGGCGTGGTCGATCTCGATCTAGAACGGTTGAAGTGTTTGAGAGCAGGGTTATCAAAAGAACCAGGAGTGTCCATGAGGTCGTCACTGATGACGGAAGAACACTCTCGGGGCAGCAGGGACGGTGGTGGAGTTCGGTACCGCTCATCGAAGCCGTTCCAGAAACCGACCCCTGCAGAATTCCTCTCCGCTTGTCGGCTGAAGCTATCAGGCGGTAGCAGGTTTTTTGTGTTGTCCATGATCATATCCTCGATCGATTCTTCGATCGGTTCGACCGCGAAGTTATTTGTAGCATGGGTAGGCAAAACCGGCGAGGTCGCTTGTGATATGGTCGGATCGTTGTCCTGCACCTGGCGAATGACTTCAGCCTCGCGGCGCGCTTCGCTTTCGATGGGGGCAGCTTCCTCCAGAAGCTGGGCACGGATGCGGGCGAAGCCTTTCGTCTTGGGAAGTAGATTGCCTCTGCGAGTCACCGCTCTGCGGATCACCTTCCTTGGGTCGTCGTTACTTGGGCCGTCCATATCTGAGAAAGACTGTCCGGCGGTCGTACGGGACGTGGCATTATCTTCGCTGTCAGAGAGGTGGAGATCGTTTGTCCCCAAGCTTAAACTTTCACGGCGTGACTGGACTTGCTGTTTGGTCAGGCCGGTCCCAAAGTAACTGCCTCCTGAGTTCTCCACACTTTTCAGCACTCCGGGAGACAAAGGGCCCGGTGAAGGTTTGGAACTATTCATGCTCACACTGCTTGAGCTATGGTGACTCTTCCCCTTCCTCGTCCGAGCTCTCCTGAAACTCATCAAATTCGGCTGGAAGCTCATAAGGCTCGCTTGTGCTGGCGAGGGTTGATTGCTCATCCACTCCATGCCTGGGCTGTTCACCCACGCCGGCACCGGACCGGGGTTCAGTCTCGACGCTGCCGGGGTGGTCAATATTGCTTCATCCATTTCGCGGTCGATCGCCATATCGTCTGAAGAACTATTCGATTCTGAATCCGAATCTGAGCCCATCATGTTAATGGAGCTGACGGAGCTGGACAGATTTGTCCTGTCGTTTGACAACGACCACAGTGCGTTTGATTGATTGCTCGGGGAATCAAGCATGGTGTTTCCGACGCTTCTTCTTTGTGGTATTTGTATGCCCCTTCCAGTAATTGGCGATGCATCAGGCGATGCCTCTGCCAACGTAGAATGGTGTAAGTTTGTGCATGCTCTCGCATAGTCCAACCCTCTTGACCTCCTTGGGACCATGGAGGATGGCGAGCTATAGACATATGACGAGTCTAACTTTGGAGATAATGGTATTCGTGGTATTGTTGGGCCGGCGCTGGTTCCTGAGGCATCTTTCGACGGCATGTGAAGGGACAGTCCTCTACCGTGGGTGGAGGGTCGAGTCGGTGTGGAAGGAGAAGCAAGGACCGAGTCATCCTTGGACACTTGTCGCAAAGGTTCTCGAAAAGCAGGTGAAGGCGAGAGAACAGGTTTGGGGGCGTCTGAAAGGGATCGTGGTTTCGGAGAGCCCTTGGCCGTGGTTCTGGCAGATCTCGGAGTCCGCTCGCCTTCACTCTGTTCGATCTGCTGTGTGAGATTCGACTTTGTCGGCGAAAGACCCAGCCCGATAGGCTGGGCATGCATGAGAGAAGCGGACATCGCTGAAGCTGAGGAGCAGGCGCTACCGAAGCATTGAGGTTGAGTTGGATTCGAGGGAAATCATGGCGTACAAGTAAATACCAGCTTTGTGTCTCTGAGGGACAGGTGTCCGAGCGACATCACAATGAATGCTGAGTTAGAACGTCCTTGAGGCAGAGGGATCCTCGTGTCGCGTAACTATGGGGTAGTTACAGTATGTGGGCGGCTGCATGGTGATGTTGAATGGGACGAGACGAGAATCCTTGGAACACGTGCCATGACATTGAACTTGACATCGCGATGGCATCGGTCACGTGGCTGACTCGTGCCTCGTCTCTGCTCTTCTTCTGCAACAGCGACCACTTCTAACCCTACGAAGCCAGGTATTTACTTGCTACAGCATTACTGATGCTAGTGTTCATTACCCACCCGGCAGAGGGATACCAAATTCGCCTAACCGAAATGTGGTGACCAAGGTTAGTTCACCATGGTCATGCTGCAGCGCGGCTAGGAAAGTACAACAATACCCGGTAGAGCTCCATCCATCGTCGACTGCTGACTTGTTCTCGGCTTCCACCTCTTGTCACGCTCTGGCTCTGCCTGAGCCAAAGCCATGTACGGTCGTAGAAGCCCACTCGTAAACCCTACAAGCGTCTCGCCCTCGTCGATTGCCAGCATTGACGGCCATGTGTTTCATCCTTGTCGCAACCCCGCATTCAGGCGCCTCACACTGCGACACGGGCGCTCGCAGAATCGAGAAGGTTTCAAAAAGGAACAATTAGATTTCCTGTCTTGCTACTACCGGGAAACAGGTTGATAGCACCGACTACGAAAAACCAGAGGATGGTCGCAGGCTCAGACAAGTCGCTAGATTTTGACAAAGCAGGGCGTGAGTAAGTGCTCTGGCAAGGATATACCACAAAATGTCAGGCAATCCATGAATCAGGTAGCATAATGCATGTACTCCCTCATCCTCTGGCTCTGCTTAGGAGTGGATGCACAGCTGCAGGGGTCTGAGTCCAGTCCAAGAAGAACCTACCATACCTGCACTGACCCAGGGCGCCATCCTCTGCTGTTGACCAGTTCAGGGTCTCGTTGAGCCTGTAAAGCACTGACAACGCCTTCTTCGCATCTCGAGCCCACTGATCCATCTCTCGGTAAATCTTTATTTATTTTACTCGTCACGTGACAACATCCGCCCCCCATCGGAGATCCGTGCCTCTCACATCCCGTTCACGAGCCACCGCAGGCATCCAGCAGACGGCCTGTCACTCTCCACCTGTGACATATTCTCAAGCTTTGGGTTTTGTATCGAATCGAGAATGCCTTGAACTGTGTGCCGATCGAAGGTTCGTCCCAATTCACCAAGGTCTTTGTAGCGGCGTGTTCGAGCCCGCCTTAGACTGACCTCGACGACAATCGCATTCTCATCCTAATCAGACCCCCACCAATCCCCCGCCAATTCCCAGTTTTTTCAATGTCCAACCGCCGCGTCAAATCTCTGGCGCACGATGAAGACGATCTCGACGACTATGATGACTATGACGACGACTATGAGGATGGCGACAACAACGACCTTTCACCCGAAGACAAGGAACTGATGCACCAGGGCACCGTCGAGGTCCGCACTGCTCTAGGATCGACATTTCCTGCCACGGACCGTGAGATCCAGGACGCATTATGGCATTATTACTACGATGTGGCAAAGTCCGTTGCGTACTTGAAGAGTATGATTCACTGTGTTGTCCAACACTTGAGCAGATACTCATTCTACCAGACAAGCAGAAGCCTCCTCCTTCTGCAACCAAGAAGCAGGTAACCCAGAACAAGAGTAAGTCTGCCCCTTGAACATTCTCCCGTTGAAGTGTCTTCAGGTCGTGGTGGTCATGATTGCTTTCGACCGAGCCGTTGCCGAACAGATGCTGATGGCATCAAGATTGCGACGCCTGCACTGCACGCGAAACGCCGTTTTCTGCCGTCGAGTTCTTCCAGGACAGTCCGTGGCTGGAAATTCCAGAGCATCGAAGGGCCGAGATTGTCATCGAGCCACTCTACCCGCGCCTGGGTCTGCTAGGAGGCGCCGCAAACGCCGGCAAAATGTCAAAGCTGGCTGCTTTGGCCGCTAAACGCCGACAGAAGGAGAATCAGCCGCCAGCTTCTGAGCCTAGACCCGGCAGCGAAGTCAAAGAGGACTACTTGTCGGACCTGAAAAACCTGGAGATCACTCCTTCATCCCGGGCCAAAACTGCACCCGACAATCCTCAAGCTCGTGAACGCCGGGCCCCGTCGACGAGTGAAGAAAGTTCAGCGGAGGCGGACCAGCCGAAACACGCACCAGATGCCCCATTGATGGTCGATCAGAACCTACGTGGCCGCCCGTCGACATTTGCAAGCATCATGACCAACCACGGCCCTGAAAGCCGATCGACCCCTTCCACAGACTTCCTGGCGGTCAAAGCAACTGCCAAGTCCTTCAGTTTTGCAGAGCCTAGCCCAGATGACATCGTGACCAAGGCACAATCCGCAAAAGGTCGGATGTAGAGATAGATACCATCGGCCACGAGCTAATCCTGTCATCATCTAGCAGCGTCATCGGCCACGCCTAAAACCAAAGATCCGGCCAAGCCGAAGACGACCTTGAACAATGGTGTCCAGGCTCTGTCGATCCAGGACACACCCAAGATCAAGAGCAAGAATATCGACGTGCTCGCCGAATATAAGAAGACAAAGCGGAAGAATGCGGCAAACTTCGTAGTTATAGGTATGCCGATCCGAATGCTTTCTGTTTGGCCTGTGGTTCGCTAATGGGCCAAGGCCATGTTGATGCAGGCAAGAGCACCCTCATGGGTAGACTGCTGTTTGACTTGAAGGCCGTCGACCAGAGAACCATGGAAAAGTATAGACAAGAAGCCGAGCGCATCGGCAAAGGCTCATTTGCCTTCGCATGGGTTTTAGATCAGGGCACTGAAGAGAGAGCGAGAGGTGTGACTATCGACATAGCCACCAACAAGTTCGAAACGGACAAAACGTCCTTCACCATCCTCGATGCCCCCGGTCACCGAGACTTCGTGCCTAACATGATTGCCGGAGCCAGTCAGGCAGACTTCGCTGTACTCGTCATTGACGCTTCGACGGGAAATTTCGAGTCCGGACTCAAAGGGCAAACCAAAGAACACGCCCTCCTGGTGAGGTCCATCGGCGTCCAACGGATCATCGTGGCCGTGAACAAGATGGATGTTGCAGACTGGTCGCAAGAGCGGTTCACCGAAATCCGCCAGCAGATGGCAGCTTTCCTGAGCAGTGCTGGCTTCCAGTCGAAAAACATTACATTCGTGCCATGTTCAGGCCTGGAAGGTGGAAACATTCTTACCAAAACTACCAATGCGAAAGCAGCCTGGTATAATGGTCCGACATTGGTCGAAGAGCTAGACAGTTCCGAGCCACTAACCTACGCGCTGGACAAGGCTTTGCGAATGACGATTAGCGATATTTTCAGGCACAGCATACAGAATCCCCTGTCCGTGTCGGGACGATTGGATGCTGGCGCCATCCAGGTGGGCGAGGAAGTCGTCATCATGCCCAGTGGCGAGAAGGCGCAGATCCGCAGCTTGCTAGTGGATGATGAACCCCAGGACTGGGCGGTGGCAGGGCAAAATGTGATTATAAATCTTACAGACATCGACCCTATCCACTTGAAGTCAGGAGACGTTCTTTGCAGCACCCTGTCACCCATTCGGAACATCACAGAATGCAAGGCCAAAATACTTGCGTTCGACCATCTCACGCCGATGAATGTCGACGTGCACAAAGGACGCTTGCACGTGCCGGGCCGCATCAGCCAGCTCGTTGGCATCTTGGACAAAGCAACGGGGGCAATCACAAAGAAAAGGCCGAAGATTGTGCAACCAGGGAGCGTTGTTCGAGTCGTGGTGCAGCTAGATCAGGCTGTACCCTTGGAGCCTCCAGCCAGGATTGTGCTTAGGGCGAATGGAGAGACCGTCGGCGCAGGCTTGATTGAGTAGTGGGTCCTTCTTGATGGCGACAACGCAAGATGCCTGCTCGATCTTTCCATCTTCAAACGCCGTCCAGTCATAAATTCGCCCGCTGTGGCCTGACGATCTTATACGAAACTTTAGCGGGTATCGAGCGGCTTGGCCTGCAGATGGAAGAAAAAGGAGACATTATTGGGGCGAAATTCGGCTGCCAAAGCCAATTTACCCCGGCTTTGGCATTCCGAACTCAGACGTTAGCGGACGCCTGAAACGCAAAGTTTAAGATTCACGGGAGAATCGCGATCCTTCGGCCCCACGCCTTCAGCCTCGTGCTCGGCCGACTCGCTCGCTACAACGCTATGATAATTTATGGTCTGAGACGTCGACGAACGTGGCTACCTACCCTGCCCTTCATCTTAAAGATGCGTCTATTCCGGGGTACCCTGGCTGTCGCCAAGGAGTATGTGGATTGGCCTTGGACTACAAAAATGAACATTCTCGCCGACATCTTCGTCTCTCTGTTCTCCAAGCAGTCTTCTTGATTTTCAGGCACTCCACGAGTCCGTTCATTCGTTTCCAGCGCTGTGCGCTCGTCCATTCGCTCAAACAATCTCGTCATTCGTTCAGCTAAGCTTCGAATCTGTGTTTTCAAAGCCGATAGCCGTTGAGATCTTGATTCTGCTACGGATACTGTCTCGACTACTTCGAACAGGCTTTCTGACACGAGGGTTTTCCAACAACATGGCTGCTTCATTCGTCCTATCAGCACTGGCCCTGGCCGGCATAGCCCAAGCTCACGTAGCCGCATTCGCCCCTGGCATGTACTGCCAAAACGGCACAGACCCGAACAACCCGAACCCCAACTCCAACGCGCCAGTGTCCCCGCTGTACAACCTTACTCAAGACCAGTGGTGGTTCCAACACGATCGAGGCTGCGATAAAGTGCCCCCTCCACCAGGCGTCTTTCTTGAGCTCCCCGCCGGCGGCTCCTTCAACGTTGACCTCGCCAACAACCAGGCGTTTTCGAAGTTGTCGTGGGACGGAACCAAGACTTCGGATTGGCCCGATGGAGGTGACCATCCCGAAGATTGGACTGGGTGGACAGGTACGGGCGAAGGGTGTATTCAAGGTAAGTTGTCCGTATTGCTCTGTCATTTTGAGGGAGATTGATTGCTCATTCGACTTCTGTCGCACAGACTCTGGATGGATCCATACGCAGAACGAGACCTCTGCTCAAGGTACCGCGTTTGCCATCGCCTACGAGAGCGACCTGAATAAGATCACAATGGAGGACTTGGTCGTCTTCACCACATTGGAGCACACGCCTTGGAAGCGCTCCGCCACGTACCAGGTTCCCGCTGCGATGCCTGCCTGCCCAGAAGACGGATGTACTTGCGCGTGGCTCTGGGTCCCCCGTGGTTGCGGTCAGCCCAATATCTACATGCAAGGCTTCAAGTGTATGGTCACCGGTGCAACTTCGACCGCTCCCCTTGCAAAGGCCCAACCCCCGGTTATGTGCGACCAGGACACTTCGAAATGCGTGAAGGGTGCAAAGCAGATGATCGTGTGGAATCAGTTGACTGGGAACAACGTTGTGACGACGGGTTCGCAGACCCCTGCGTACAATCTTCGTAACGGGTTTGCGCCAGGACCGCAGGACGATATCTTCGAGGATTCAGCTTCTGCACCTTCCCCGCCAGCATCGTCGTCTTCTACGCCGCCCTTGTCCGCAATCTCGTCGGCCTCCATTTCCATCACATCCGTTCCGTCCGCACCAACCCATGTGCAGTCACCCACCACGCCAAGCTCTGAACCCGTGTTCAGTATCCTTCCCGTCTCTGATTCCCCGGTCTCATCGTCGCGGACGACCTTCTTGACGGCTGTGAAGCCAGCTTCGATGTCAAGCGGCATATCTTCAATTCCGTCAGTGGCAACTCCGGTTACACCGATTTCTTCTCTTGGTGGAGGTAGTCCAGCGACTGTGACGGTGACGGTGACGGCCTCACCGACCCACTCCGGACATCATTACACAGATTGCTGGGTTGATGGTGATGAGTTGGACAACTAGGTGTGAACCTGACCTCCAAGGTTGGAGTAGCACTGCAAGCAACAGCATGGACACGGGGACTTTTCACTTCTTGTAAATAGTACTTGACGTATTACATTGTGAGGCTTAACATGGCATGCTAAGGACATGCTGTGTTGAAGCAATTCCGTACAATATAAGAAGGCATGGCATCTTGCCTCGACCCAAACTCTAGATCTTGAATGCTTCTTCATGTGCTTCGGGCGACGAGGGTTATACCGATTCGAGTAAGGCGTGATTGATTAGGTCACGTGGTAGGCCACTCTCTTTCTTCTCACCAGATTGTGCAAATGGGGAAGGAGATGCGAGTGCCAAGACTGCACTTCCCGTAGGAGTACTCCGTACTTGCGCGCACATTCGCTCCGTAGCAGACACCATCACACAGTTGTTCACATCCTTACATCGTGCTGTATCCCTTCGCAGAGATAATGACGTCTCTTCCCTCGTCTCTCTTGTCTCCTGTGACTCTACAGCTTCAAGCTGTATGATATGGGTGCCAAGTGGATTCACTGTGCATGACGGGAGGGACGTCTTGGGAGGCCCTGGCTGGTCTCTCCTGGGCCCTTCAACATTCCATTCCAGTCCTTCTCTAGGTCCGTGCGCATCACAACGCGATGCGAGGGATGGATTTCAATGCTCATCATCGAGCCTCTGCTTCGTGAGTTGTCCGGCAATGCTGTCTTCGTTTCGTTGATCTGCCGACCCGAGCATCGTCTCAAGATGTCTCCTCTACACTCATTTCTTGCATTTGCCGGCGTTCTGTTTTCCAGCACATATGCCTATGTTGATTTTGGTTCCTTGACACTGCCTGTTGAACCGCTGTACGAGCCGACTCCGAGACCGAACCAGTTACCGCAAGACTACGACCTTCGCCATGAGATTCTTCCGTCAATGATCACGGCAGTCGCTCCTCAAGTGACGCTCGTGGCCAATGGAACTCATGAAACGATGTACAGCCTGCACTATCACCACTATTTCTCAAAGACACGACAAGGAAGAGGAGTGTTTGACAAGCGTGGAGTCTTCGCTGGAGATCCGCCCATCGCGACATGTACTCCTTGTGGGGGAGATGCTGCTACATCAGCACCTGTGAGCACCAGCACGTCCAATGTGCCATGCACGACTCGGACATACCACGTGGGTTCAGGCGGTTTCTCGAATGAAGTCGCCAGAGCTGACCGGAATAGGGTGTCTTTGACTATCCACCAGATTCGGTAGTATCAGCTTGCTATAACACCAATTACACCGGGGTCTTCCAGCCGACCGCTCTCACGTCCACGGGTCTGCCCTGCTGCTTCACAATTCCGGCCTCATGCCGATTGAACAGCACGCTGTTCGCAAACACGACTACGTCGTTCACCGCCTCGACCGGAGTCTTTCGACCGACGAGCACCAGTACTAGTACCACAAGAAGGCTCACCACGACGAGCTCGAGCTCGAGATACTCCCTAACTACTCCAACCAGCACTGGTGGCAGCTCTTCCCAGTCTCGGTCGCAAGGACCCGTCCTGAACAGTGGCACTAGCTCATCTTCTGCCACATCTGCTCGGACGACCGTGACCGTCATCAGTGGTACCACAACGATCTTGACAATTTCTATGAGCTCGACGACAACGACCGGAAGTGGCTCCAGCCTCTTCTCGAGTATTCCATACACATCACCATCAGGCTCTGCAACAACAACCAGCTACTCAATCATCGTCATTTCGAGCACGACAATCACACTTACACCCTCCACGACTACCACGTCAAATAGTGGAAGTGGAGGAGTCTCAGATCTGCCCACCTTAACGGTGATTACGGGAACAGTATCAGCCACATCTTCCGTTTCGGCTTCAGTGTCGCTGAGCACTTCCACAAAGTCAAACACGATCATCGGCTGTGGACAGGCTTCTGGAAGTGGCATTATCGGTATGTTCTATCTTGAAAAACTAGAACCTGACAAGCTGACGTGAATCTAGAGGGCACGGGCACGGTATATCTGGCAGACACGTCCGTCTCGGCCTCAGGCACCGCAAGTGGTACGCTCCCCGATTCCCTGAGAGTTCACCCCTCAATTCAACTGACATGTTGGACAGGCTATGCAACCAGCGTTAGCGGCTGCGGCACGATCGTCGCCACAACCGGATCGTTTTCCGGCATTGCCTCAATCACCGGCTGTAAGTGTCATTCTCTCAGCAACCGTCTTGAGCCATACATGACTGATGCTTCATAGGTGGTTTTGGTTACGGCACCGGTACATTGACCGGCATGGGCACAGTCTGGCCTTGGTATGGCGGCGGCTTGTTATCGTTCGTCAGCTCCGGCACAGTAGCTGGGGCAGGAAGCTTCGTGGGCTGTGGAACCATAGTAAGTCATCACGCGAGTTGGAGACGCACCGCGTCTTACCACCTATCTAGCCTGTTCCCTTGCGACAATCTCATCTCCTCTCCTCTGATCTCCAGCCCAACGCTCCTCGACTAACACGAACCCTCCCCTGCAGACCGGATCCGGCTACTTCAGCGCAACAGCCGGCTCGCCCGTCCTAGTCACACCCTCCAGCACTGCCCGCCCGACTAGGACCATCTCCATCTACCTATCGTACTGTCCGGACCCCACCGCTGGTGCCGGCGCAGACTCGATGTTCCGCCTGGCCTCCAGTTACAACACCACCCAGGGCATTTCTCCTGCAATCCCCAGCCTGAACGACACGTCGCCCTACACGAACTCGAACGCGAACAGTACTTTCGCGTTGAATTCCACCATCGACACGAACCCTCTCTGCCAGGTGTGCCCTAACTCGGTTGGCGTGTGCTGTCCGCCCACGGTCTCCTGCTCAGCCGACGACGGCAAATGTCCGTTGTTCGCGCTCGAGAACTCCGGCAACATGATCAACGGGTACTTGATCCAGCAGGTCGTCAACAGCTCAGCGCCCGTCGCGGGACGGAGGAAAGTCCGGGCTCTGGACAAGAAGAACGTCCACGACCTGGGCATCGGGACTGACTTGGTGCGGTTGGAGATGGAGGTCGAGCAGGGCTTGAAGAAGCACAAGAATAAGGACAAGCATAGAAGGACACATCACAAACATTTCTAGTCCCTCAAAGGCTGCGATTGGGATGGGAGAGAAAGGTATGAAGTTTACGCCTAGGATACCGGTACACCGAACAGGTTACTCTATAGTTGCAGTGATGTCCTGGTGGTGGCAGTGGTGGTGGCGTTTAGAGGCGATATGACACCAGTATTGTCAGTGTATGTGTGGGCTTTATTCTTTTGGATCGTACATATGTGTATCTGTGTCTGTCTGCCTGCCTACCCAGCTACAGTATCTAAATCTCAACGGAGTCCTGAGTAACGAGAAAACAACCAACCCGGAGTCAAGTGTAATGTATTGAGCGTGGCCATGCAGATGTTCTAGTTTCGTCTCCATCTCTGTCTCTGCCTGTCTTCGTACTTTCTAGGAACCGTGATGTACTTAGTATGTATATGATCTACTCGGCTCTCCCTGGGATCAACGTATCTCTCGGGAGGCACGTCAGTTGAGCCTACAAAGCCGCTCAATGTGTGATCAGTGCTGGCGAGAGTAACTGAGGTCACGCACGAATGGACGTGGTGCAGAACAGGCAAGCAACCGTACGACGTATCCGTGAGGAAAAGGCCGAGAGAGAGCGTCGCGAGCATGATCCCCTACCGTCGCGAGCCACAGGATATACAGTAATCTATTGATATGACCCGGACATTGGAATAGCATTTCCAGTAAGATAATGATCAGGATCTGCTAAAGTTATCAACATTCTCACGCTGTTGGTGCTGTTCTTGTTTGTAGATGTACCTGGTCCGGTCCGGTTTGCTGCCAAGACACATGAACAAATCACGTGTTCGCACCGATAGGTTCAGTCACAAAACTCAATTTAAATAAGCCTCTATCTTTTGCAAAAACCAACTTTTCCTCAACAATCAGAACCAAGTCACAGCGCTTCAAACGCAGTGAACACATCTTCCTTGGTCTAGTGGTCATGATTTCCGCTTGTCAAAGCATCATCGCTTAACAAGCGCGGGAGGTAAGCATCAACCATTCAAATCACAGATAAAGCAATCACTAACAGATTCATTAGACCGGGGTTCGATTCCCCGAGGGAGAGTCTCATCACCATTCTTTTTTTGTCTTTTTGTCTTTTTGAGCTTCAGTCATCGTGGGCTGCGATGTTATCATTCTCATTGCTGCGTCTTTTTTTGAAGCCGCGATCGTTGTAGGTCACTCACTACGTTACTCCTTATTATTCTCGTTTTTATACCCGCAGGCATACACAGTAGTGCGCATAGCTCTGCCGCTTTCTGCTTCTTCGGCCGCATTTCCTTGAGTCCTTGAGACTCAGATGCATACCACTGCGACGAAAAATGCCCGATGATTAATCGCGACACATTAAATGCTTCAGCCCGACAATACCGTCCAACACTGCCCTGATGAACTCAGTCCTAATGACCTACCTACCTGCGATTCTGGTTCCTGAGACTGCTAGCATGCTTCCCTTCCTCGAATGTCACTATGTCACCATGTAGCTGTTGGACTGTTCAAGCTCATCTCTCCTACATGCGAGTGCCGCTCAGAGATAGCAACGAGACCATAGCAACGACACAATAACAACGACACAATAACAACGACACAATAACAACGACACAATAACAACGACACAATAACAACGACACAATAACAACGACACAA